TTTTTTATAGTCATATTTAATATTAGTTTAATATTTTACGCTGAAACTGATGCAACAATCGAATTTAAATTTCTTAAGTACATTATTGGATTATGTGATATCGTTGCTGCTAACTATTCAATATCTAAAATTCTGTAGTATGATATAAGTAAACTAACTGAGATCTTTGTGAAATTTGATTACTGAATTATACTTACTACAGGATTCTTCATCAGCTCCATTACGGCAATGGACAGTACAATCGCAGAAATGGCCCACTGGAATCTGCTGATTTGAATTATCACAGTATAAAGCATTGACATCTGGAAAAATAAATTGTATATTTGTCTGTTACATTAACTGAATTCATATGAATATGATGTAATGTTAATAATTCAAGGAGAAATTGTGCTAAAGTTTAGAGGAAATAAATTTTATTGCTAAATATAATTTAGTAAAGGACAAACGTAGTTTGCTATTACCTTGAAATAGTAGCTGAAAGGCAAAAATTACGAAAGCTATCCATTTTTTCATACTTAGTTGCATGATAAATGAAATGTTGTTTGATTCCTAACGCGCAAATTAACAGATTGATAATGAAATGAAAACCTGATACTAATTCTTTGAAATAGTTGCACTTGATTATATATTCAATTTAAAAATCAAATTAAATTTTTATGTACATTATGAGTGAGTAAGCAAATATTTTTATATAATACATATACATAAGTTAAATGATTATAATTAGTCCAGGATTATTATTTACATGCATTTGTACAATTGTAATTGTTATTCATAGACAAACTCTAGATATGAAAATTAGCCAGCAAGCTGTCCTAAAATTAAATAAAAATTTTTGATGAATTAATATATTCTTCACTTATATTTTAGATTCTACACGTTACTATGGACTACAATATCACTTTCAATCCTATATTAGTATACTATCCATAATTTTCAAGTTATTTAATTAGAACATTGTCAAGTGATGGATGATATTTTATTATGGACTTTTTCTTTCACCAGACTTCCTAGCTTGTATATGTCAGATGGCCATTGTATTTTGTAAATTAAAGACATTTATTATTTCTTAAGAAAGTAGCTTAAAATATCGTCATTAGATGAGTCATTGATAGCATTTATTGAATATTTATTGATAAGGGTAATATCAACATTTCTGTTGTGTTAAATATCGAAAATTTAATGTGCAACATGCTATTATTAAAAAATACCGCTAATATGGTCTTAGTAATTACTTGAGTAGGAGTTACCAAAATAATTCATAGTGTAATTATAACAGTTATTGTTTTTATATAGTCATGCTAACTTTATGATAGAATTAAGGTAATAAAAGTTTACCAAACTATACATTTTCTTTTCTAAGACTTAATGAAACTGGAAAGAATATTCTTAATTGGCTTTAGGAGAATTAAATAACTGTTTTTTTATGAAAGATGTTGATCTGGTAACACAAAGATGTTGACGCAAATTTGTACGGATATAGGTAATAAACAGGTTTATATACCATTCAATCGCAGTTGACGATGAAAGAAGAGTAAAAATTATGAACACATGTTTATAACAATGGGCTCAGTAGCCATATTTATTAAGCGAATATATTGCATTATAAATGGAATAAAATTTTCATGCACTAAGATATATCGATGATGCTATTATTTTAATTCAACGCGATTATTGTACCAAAGTAACAATATGCTTCTTTCTGCTTCGTTTTATCAACCGACAAAGAATAAGCCAGAAAACTAAATCCAATGGAAACTTCATAAAGGGAAGCTTTTGCCATTATAGGATAGTTATTCTTGAAACTTCTGAAAATTACAGAAGTAACCACTCGTGAACTTGTCGTCTTCGGTATTTTGATTTGCGATCGTTAAAATAATCGATGACTACAGTCGAATATCTTATATTTTTTAGACAGTCATCAATTTCGGGAATAATGAGACAGATGTAAATAAAAGAATGATTACTTCACCAATATAGACCTTGATAATTTATTTTTAGAGAATTACATCCGGTTTTGATTAGATCTATGCTTTTCGAAAACTTGTCTCTTCGCAATACGAGCCTTAAAGGTGTATCAATAACTCAATACATAGAAGTTAATAATCTAACGTTATTTTATGGCTAGAATTAGCATTAGGTAATATCTCTCCATTAGCTGTTGGTCTTATTAATTAATGGTACAGTACATTAAGCTGCATCGTAGAGGTACTTAGAAATGGGTGCCGGTGTTTATAGTCTTCCATACTCACGGTGTAAACTATAAACGTACTATAGTATTCGATGATCTGCAATAACTATCTTCAGACTAATATGAATTACAACACTCAATAAGGGTTCTATCTTTCTGCTAAAAGATTTTGTGTTAACCTACATAATAGCTACTAATTCTGTATGTACAGGTTTATTGAACTATGTAAAAAAATAGTAAAATGTTATTGTATTAGGATTTAATTACATACTTTTTACTTTTTATTCACAAAAATAATAAAACGGATGCTCTGATATTCTATGCTAACAAATATAATTGTGTCAGTTTTCGCTTACTTCAAGGTATAGCATTAAAAAATAGAATATATTCTATTTAAAAAAATAATTTAACCAGCTGTAGCTTTCTTCAAGGCATAACATTAAAAACATAATGCGTACAAACTACCTCATGATTGATTATTTTTAAATATTGCAAAATAAACATTCAAATTAATACCGAGTAAGTCTTTTGGAAGAAGGAAATACTAATTTATTATTAGAATCATTGTCCTATAGCTAATATACCTTTTTGATGTTAAAGATAAGTCATAAAGAAAATTGCTACACTTCAGAACTACCCGCCTAGTTATTGTGGGATTATTATATTGACGCAATAATAATAATCTAAAACTTCAAGACATATAACAACCACTGGTGCCATATGGCAATAACCATCACTATTCTATCCCATTCAAACAAATGTTAAGAAAGCTATGGCTAATCGGCCAGAGCAATTTGATAGTCCTAATGGTCCTAAAATTCAACAATTCCTGACTGCATTCATCCAACAATTTATATGCAAGTTGTAAACATTCTTTCAAATAGTAGAACTAAAAATTTGATCCTAAATCTGGTAAAAAAGCGGATGCACTTTATACTGTAATTAGTTTAGACGAAGATGCTGTTCTCTTATACCAGTTGGATCAGCAGTTACAAGCTCTATTAAAGCATTACATACTGTGATTAGTAAGACTGCACAACATAAACATCGATGCAAAGCTAAGCATGTTATTGATGCTTTGGAACCTCGAAGAGATGCTACTAAATTAGCAGTCGCTATCATAGGATGTGATATTGCTAGAATCTTTTAGCGGCAGATAGCCATTATTTATGATGGGCAAGCCAGTCATGATATTAAAAATTAACATTTATGATGGTGAATCCGATATCACTTTTATTCCATCCAAACATCACCTTCTTGTTTATGAAAGTCAAGATTATCAAATTGTTTACGAGTATAATTTACAAGGTTAGAGATGATATCCAATTTTAATGGAATGGTAACAACTTTATTACAAGTGTGATCTGTCCAAGGCAGCTTATTTTTCTATTTGTGATCTTGATGATTTGGATAGCTGAGAATCTAAAGAGGGAAAGGATTCACAAAAAGCCATTACTGAAAGATCAGATTGTAACTTTACCTAAAAATGAGGAAGAAACCCAATCTATCCCTTGAGCTTATATTAATAACAAGCCAGCAATGGCTTCTATAGTTAAAGTAGAGAAAGCTGGCACTTGGAAATTAAGGGTGATATTGCTATCATTATGAGTGACAGACCCTGTTACTACGGAGGAGAGACATTTAAGATGTTGATGGAATACGATTTAAAAGATGAATATCAATCTTGCTTCTTATTTGATGATATCACACCCTTTTCCTAGCTCGAAATTTTAAATGTAATCGAGATAACTGCTGTGATAGGCAAGAATTAAAGCACTGGTCAATTTCTTACGTCTAGGATAATGTAGAGATAAATCTTGAATATATGTTTTACTCACTTTTGCCAATTAGACTTTGTGGTAATTCGTTCATTCACTGCAAATTATTTTTCCTGCGCCTTTATTTACGGTAGAGTATTAAGAGTATTATTGTGTTAGAGTCAAGTTTTTCTTCTCAAGTTAAATGTATATGGACTTTCAATTGCGTATGATAGGGTAACTACCGCTATGAATATTCGTAAGTTGCAATATAACCCTCTAATTGAATAAAAACTTCCTGTAAGTTACTATACGGTAAACGATTTGTCTTTATCTTTTCAATACGACCGTACGCTTCAAGTTATGGAATGCACGTATAATATCAAAGATTACTGAAGGATATATTTCCCTACGTAGTAACCTAGCAACGTGAACATGGAACCTGAAATATTCTGCTAATTTGAGAGAGCAATGCAGATCAGATCAACTACTGTTGATCTACTGCAGTATTTGAACGGTCTAGTCGTCTTCCTTTAGCACTCTTCTAACACACACTATATATGAATTATTATTTGTGAGTTAACTAATTTAACGCAAGACGCCAGCTAGCGATATTAAACCAAAGGAAGCAGAATTAAAAATAATATAAAATCTTTCTCATTTTATATGCTATCGATGTTCATCGTTGTTTCCTTTCGATCTACTTGTATATCCATAAATGCAGAAAACGAATAGTCAAAGAATATTTCAAGCTATAAAGATCAACATAATACGTTTCAGTTACTCGGTATTTTTTCTTAATCAATTAATAATAGACCTTTATTAAAGTCATACGGATAAAACATAATCTCACTGATTAAATTTAAATGCAGAGGGCAAATTCTCCAGTTGAAAGTTCGATAATAAAATATCGAATAACTAAAATCCGAGATTATTCAGTGCTTCAATTTTCATACAATTTCTATATGACAATTTCAATATCCACAAAATACACCTATACTTCCATCTTAAATACGCTATTATAGCAATTGCTGTGTAGAATGGACGTAATATTACGAACGGAATTGCGGAATGTAACGCTTAACCTTTCGACGTTTTTTTATTTCTCGTAGTTTTTTATCGCTGTCGACAAAGAAGGTAATATCATTCGATTCCATTTCTCTCTTAATGTGTTGTAATCCAGCTAAATTAAATCCTAATAAATCCTAAGCGAAGAGAAGTAGACGTTACAATGTACAGTAATGCAACATTACCATAGGAAACGGACAACTTACTCGCTGTGATGATATTTTTTTCACGGTGATATCTTTTAGATGGTCCAATGTTGACATTAATGCCTTATTAGCAACAAGCTGTGGATGATTAACTCTGTGGAAAAAATTCTTAAATTTACAATCGCAGACGTATAAAACATTAAATTAATTCCGGAGCATATAAAATGTTCACAGATATAGAAACTTACTTTAGTAAAAATATTAAACATCTACAAACCAACTCTAATTCCTGATCATTCTATATGGTGTAAAGAAGGTTTGCAATTAACATTACGATATCTTTAACTGAAAAATCGTTTGTCCAAGGTGACTATACGGTAACATAAATACTTAACTACGCCAAAACTTATTCTAATAACGGAACAGATTATAATTTACAAAAATTGTGTACCTTTATCCAGTCATTCGTCAATTTCACGAACTTCAATACTTTACCAAATGGTAGTACCAATAGTGCTTCTTCTAACTCGCTATTTTAATATTAATATGTGCGATATATATATCAGCCGTATTCGGTGCATACTTAAACCCGGTAAACTATAATCAGTGCCGTAAATGGCATATCGAATTAGTTCAATTTGACTAAATTCCTCCAACCTGGATTTAATCTTTTTTAGGGTGTTCAAAACGTAAGTTTCTGCCTAATGATATCGAATTCATTGTTTTTTAAGCGTTGCAAATACTGATAGAGTCATGTAGTCATTAGTTCTGCAACACTAACCTTAATATCTCCAAGAGCTTTTAAAATTTGGTTAAATGGGCCGTTTTGCTATACATATAGGTCATAATGAAATCATACATTAATGCGCTATAGGAGTAAAGGAATGATATTAGAATTGAATTTAGGTTTTTCCTACGTTTGGAGAATTTTCCCTTTCACGCAGCTCTTCTTCGTAGATATCAATAGCTTCAATAATACGCTCAGCCTACATAGAGAGGCCAGTAAATTAGATTGGTATAACAGTTGTAACCAATAGATTTGCAAACTACGGATAAATAAAGCCAAATAAATATACCGATTTTACAGTTTCGATAGTTGTTTTGCTAGCCATTGCAACTTCGGTTGATGTTTCTCCAGGTATCTGTTTTGACATACATATTTGTTATTCTAATACACTTAGAATATTATAGATAACAACAGCATCTTTTCATTTTCTTACCACTTTATCAGATGATTCATTATATGTTGATTCCTCGAACATTGTTTCCCTTTCTAACTCTCTCTCTTCTTCAACGAAAACTAACTGATCGGAACGCTCCCACATGCGTAGCGAACGGTCGTGGGAACTACTAACCTAAATTTAAACAATTGAATAAGTTAAAATTTAAAGTTATCCGTTGTAAAATCATTAGCAATAACTCTATCCATAACTTATAATGAAGTAACTAACCAAAAAATTGCCATTTGGACTAACTGCTATACTCCAGATTTCACCATGGTGACCCTGTAACAACGTAAATAATGCGATAATTTCACTTTAGTAAAGCTATAAGATGTAATTTTCTTCCTATTTTCGAATCCAAATGTAAAATAAAATTGTATAAATAAGATAGACCTTCATAGCAGTAATATATTCAAACTTATCACCATCCCAGTACTTGATGGTTTGATCTTTACTTGCAGTAAAAAACAAGTGAGTTCGGGGAATAAACTAGATAAGATAAGGAGAGGCCTTTGATTATTAATTTTTTTATGAATGATAGCGCTGAACCAGTAAACAACAAAAAATTTACCTGCACGGTTGTTATGCTAGTAATGAAAGAAAAGAGAAGAAGAAGTACAGTCTGAATAATACAAGGAACGAATATAAGAGATAGCAACAATATTGTACCTGTCATCATGAGCAAAGATCGACTTATGACAATCACCAAAATCCAAACCCCATAATTTGACGTTCTTATCACTAGATGCAGTAGCGATTAACGTGCTATCCTAGGTATAATGAGATCACTATGACAAGAGTGACTACAGAAAGGCAGCTACACCAAAATAATCATCCTGTCTCACTTACGGAAGATATATCCATAGACAAGACGGGTAGCTTATGGCCATATAGCGACAGGAAGAACTAAAACATGACAACAAGGAGTTACTAATTAAATAATTCTATTGCACAATAAACTATAGGGACGTTACCTTTAAGGTATCCGAATAGAATATCTTAACAGTGCAATCTAAAAGGGCAACACCTAAAAGCCTTTGATCAGGGCTGAACAAATAAAAATATCGTTAAATAAAGACTTAGAATGACCTACATATGATGATTCACTACCTGTACTTCACGGCCAGAACATCTTCTGACATTTGCAAAGTTCTGATTAGCGTGATGGACAATCGCTTACTATAACATCATTGAAATAATAGGAATATTAGATTTCTTGATCTCAATTACTTGAAAGTTGTACAGAGATAACTATGACGATTAAAATAACCTAGAACTGGAAAACTTTTCATCGGAGATAAGTTCAAATTCCCAAAATTGAACATTTTGATCGGCTCCACCAGAAACGAAACCCCTCTGATGATATCGAAGGCGAAAGAATTAATAATTAAATAATAGCTTGCTAAAAAGAAATGTTTGTCGTTCCAACCTTGTCAGGATTTAAACACATCGACCAAACATTCTTGGAATGAGCTTGAACTGTTTCCAACATTAAACCAGAAGCTATATCGAAAATTTGTATTTCGCCACTCTAATGTTGGATGATTAAAACTTATACAGTCAATGCTCACCTCATACACTTATTAAATTCAGTTTGTCAAATCCTGCTTACCCTTGTTCCAACAATTATTTGCCTATCGCCAGGTGCAAAGAACATACTTAAAACGTAACCCGAAGGTAATGTTCGTATACTTTGATGACTAGAACTAGATTGACAAAATGCCCGAAATTCTCGCTATTAGAACTATATACAACAGGCTGCTATTATTTTGTATCGATTATATTCAGACACTTGCTTTACCTGTTCCAGATTTTGACAGATTCTGAAGCGCCAGAAGCAACGTATCGACCATCACCACTAAACGCTACTGACCTAGCGTGCCAAAGGTAAATGGGAATAAGTATATTAATTAATACGACATAAAAGCGGTATTTCTTCGAGTTTACCTTATAACTGTTCTGTGGCCAAGAGCATGTAAATTATTTGTAACCTTGCATTGAATGGCTTTTACTCCGTAATTAATTTGTTGAATTTCTAAGCTATTGTTATTTAGTAATAATAAAACCTATTCCCCAAGATAAATGCATATACTGTATAATGCATAATTGATAATTTATTTATTGGTTGGTATAAGTTGATTACCTTTAAACTATTGTCTACTGCTTCATCTGGCAGCAAAAGGAACGATCTAGAAGTAAAATGACCCGTTAATTTCACGAATATTATAATAAATGTTACATATCAGTTTGACAAACCTAATTTTAGCATCACAGCGGATAGCATATATTCTGTAATATTCATCTTCTAAGGTCGGTTGCAGAAGAGTCTAAAAATAAGTATCGATTACATATGTGTAAGGAAATTATTGTAGTAGTGCTAATAAATCAGCATTAAAGAAATACCACTTCAGAGGATTCGGCATTATCCCTAGCAAAAAATAATCATGGAGAGATATCGTTGCTTTTTAGTTATCGATTTACATGGGATTAAAATTTATATATTGTCACCTACTTTGATTTTTTAGCAATCCTTTTCATACGTCTTTTAACGTGCGCTTTGATTTCTTGATCATTACGAATTCTAAATATCTCCAGTTGTGCATCAGCGGCCTATAGGAAATTATCACGAAAGAAAACATATGCTTGCAAAAGTGTTTTATTGATCACTTCTAAATGTATCACAATTACCAGGCATCCTAGTACTGCTTCATCAGATAAGATTGTTATTAGTCTCTCTTTACTCTGCCTCATCAAAGATCCCTTGTATTGGCAGGCAACAGCACCATTCACGGTTTCCTCATCTTTTTTACTTTCTTGATTCCCTTCATGTTGCATCTTTAGGCAGTGACATATACATAGAATTAATATGCAGCAAAATTTCGGATAAATTGATTAGATTAGTAAAGGGTAATTTCAAACCTTAGTCTGATCGTGCTTATTATATACGAGATCCCATACTCTGAGTTGGCTATCGCTGCATCCAGATATCAGACGTGTTTGATTACGAAGCAAAACAAAATCCCAAACTTCACTACGATGCCCAAGTAAAGTATGATAGCAATGCTGCGTATCTAAGTCCCAAAATTTAAGCATTGAATCTTTGGAACTATAATATCAAGTAAAGATAATGTTAGTTAGTAGCTTTGACATTCAACTGATCTATTGTGGATACAAGGATAGTAGTAAATCATATCAACTTGGTGATACCTGGTAATGAGAACATTTGCATTCCGTAGAAAGCAACATTGGGTAATGGCATCTTTATGACCTTTTAAACGGAATAATCCTGTTTCATTGACAACATCCCATAATATAACATTGCTGTCCTATATTTGAGATTTGTTAGTAAAGCCAATTATGAATTTATCCTTACATGCTTACATTTAAATATCCATATACGAGAAAATACTTGGAATCAAGTAAGTATGTATTTCTATATTATTACTAATTTATTAACGATCCCTGAAAGTGCTATACGATTACAAAAGTCTAGATAGGAAAGCAAAATCTATTTTACCTTGCTGCCACTAACCAGCCTTGTATTGGTCGTATCGTACTTTAATACCGTTATAGCAGATTTGTGCCCGCTAAATACGCACACGAGTACGTCAGAAAAGAGATATAATCGTAGCTGCAGCTATCGTTATATGCAATATTTATAGTTGTATTATTACTGTATAAAATTAGTCTATCTTCATTTTGCATAGCATACCTTAAAGTGACTTTGCTGCTGCCATCATTTGTATTCCATAATTTAATGGTGCCATCATTGTAGCTGGATATGCATAAAGACGAATAGTATCAACTATGTTATTGCAACAAGTATAAGTAACCTTCAATATTTGCTATTTTGCAACTGATGATCAAATGATTTTTTTTGTAGCAATAGGTCAATTTGCTACGGTATCGTTGTCAACGTAACCAATTGTATCATTGACTAATCTCTTTTCCCTGTATACGGCCTAACAATATTGATAGTTAATTAATTACCCTACTGCAATGTGGACCCAGTTTGAGCTATTTGCAAGAGCGGTTACTTCTGCATTTTGATCTCCATGATATACCGCTAGCTAAGAACGAGTAAAATCATTGATGAACAAAGCATGAAATATCTAATCGATGAATTATATCTCATTGCCTACTAACTAGATCCTACCTTACGACCCAATCGAATATCCCAAATGTAGACGTCTTCCAGAGCTGGTGCAACAATAACATTGGATTGATCGCGATAGCTTAAGATGTTGGCGTTAGGACTAGCAATTACACCAAATACACCAGCAGGCTGATAGCGTTGGTAAGATTTAGTTAAGACCATACTTAAGGCAATGTAAAGTTACTAAAACTGTTCTTAGATCTCCACTCGATGACGGTTTGCTTGAGCATGCAGCACATTCATTAATTAACTGTGCAAGCTAAGCAGCCATCCTTAGCAAAACCTATCGACACTGGCCAGTTAAGCGTAATAGCACGGGCTCAAGCGAGACTCAGTACTTATATAAAACTCTGTCCAATTTGCAAAGCCGGTCTGTACAGTACGAAGAATACGCAAGGGAGTTCCGTATGAAGGCTTGCAAGCACATGCTCAATGATTTCGACCAGTGTCGTCCCAACGTCCGATTGTCCAAGTCAAGATGGTAAACTACTGTAAGAACTCCAGTTGCAAGGACATTTCAATTGCTATGGGGCTTTCTTGCAGAATATGTAGAAAGTTTTAATCAGGGAGACAATGATTTTACTAGACTTTAATTTTAGTATATCACTTTGCGGTTACTCGATAAAAACTACTTATCAATTCTTAATGTTAAAGCTTACTATTCTGCAGAGATATAAAGAATAATTTACTCTACGAATAGAGATATCTATCCTTGTCGCTATTTACCAATCTATTTGCGAATTGAGGTATCTCCTTATGATGCTTTGCTAACATGCAAGAGTACTACCCTATTAGGATATCCATATACTATACTTGGTTCGCCTATCATTTCCAAAATTACATACGCGTATGTGTTACAAGCATAGATTAAGAAATAATAATAACTGAAATAAACATAGCAGCATTTCACGTTATGACTCCAATGAAGCATTTGAAATTGCTGCATTGCTTCATTACATGGTTTCAATCTATGTCAAATATTACCACAGTATGCCACAGTACAATCGAAATCATTAAATAAGACAGTGGTTTAAATCGACTTTAATTCAAGATATGCTGGTGTCCATAGCAAATATAATATAGAGGAATTTTACAGTAAGAAATTCATATTACAAATATTAAAATATATATATTACTGTAGTTGCTCCCATGGATGATTCACATCGAATGATGACTGTGAATACTACCCCAATCCCTGCTGATACAAATACTACTAGAATTGAGAAGAATTATAGCCTGCCTGATACCGAGCAGAAAGAAGCAAACCATCTACATATGAATGCTTACGTGAGCAAATACAAACGAGCAAAGTTAAGTTTAGTTTATAAATAGCGGAACTTTCAATATAGTATAACCTAGTCAAATTTAGTAAAATGCAATCAACTAACCAATGCACTATACCTAAAAGGTATAGCTTCCGGTAGTTGATATGGAGCTTCTATTTATAGAAGTTTAACAACTAGGCAAATTCCAATTGCTTTCATTATCAAATATATAATTGCTATCTTTATACTGCTGACTTGAGCGTCTGCAATATAATATAATACTAGTAAACCACTATACCATTTACGAAATGACATTTAAAAGTAATTGTTGATGCCCATTCTAGTACATCTCCTTAATTTGCAATACTGTTTAGCGTCACAAGGATAATGATGCTATCTATTTTCAAATTCGTTATGCAGTACGGTCTATAAAGATGCGATAACTACAAATAACCAATGTAAAAATTAATTCTATACAGTAAAGTAGACGAGAGACGTAGACCATAGTTTGAGTACCATGACGTTGCTTAGTGGCAAGAACTTTAATGATGGAGGATAGTCTTTATTTCTCATTTACGTCTTTACCGATATCTTCCATCTTCTTCTTCCATAATCGTCCTGTGTCAACAAATCCCTGATTTGTCTTGCCAAATGAATTGGGTCCGGAAGACGTAGGTGTGAAACTAAAGGTAACAATACACAGCATAATTTATCATTGGCGTGGAAGATCCCTGTATTATCAGCTATGTTCTATACAAGTATAAGATAGTAGCATGTCATGGATACCAGATTCGGATTGCAATGATCTAAACTACATCTCAGTTCTGATGATTATAACGCTAATGCAAGTTGAGCAACACTGTTGAAATAGAAACTAGGTCTATAATGTGCTCGTATATCCATATATAGAACAAGCTATTACAGAGCTGTTAGTACACGTATCATTCCTATTTGTTATACGAATAATCCGGAAGCAACTCGTGCCTTAAGCGTTGCTCCTTGATGAGAATTTAGACAATGCTACTGCAGAAATTCATAACAGATCAATATCATACAAATACATTATAAATATTGCACGCTATACTTTAGCAAAGAAAAATACAGTAGTCATGCACTGATTGGCATCAGCAGCACAAAGTAAAAAGGTAACATGGTTGCTCATGGCAGGGTTACTTGAGTAATACAATTACCGTCCGACATTCCTCATTCTTATCTTTGCTTCTAAAGGCATTTCTTCCTCTTCGCTCTAGCAATGAGGCAAATTGCATAGGGAATCACTCTTTGTAAGGCTATTATTTATTTGTTATCATCCAATAATTAACATACATAAAATTTTATCATCTCATTTGTTACGACTTTCTAATATATTTTTTTATTCTCATTGTAGTTAACCTCATCCGATTGTTGGAAAGCCTTGGCCACCGACACTCGGCTGGAGTCATTCGGTTTGACTTTCTTGGCAACAACGTTGGTAGCCTATAATTGCAGTAGAAGATTAGTTTATTTATCATCACTACAGCTTGTACAATTCTATAGGCATCTTGCAGTCTATCTAACAAGTAATCATGGTCCATGCGCCATGATAAGCAGCCATAAGCAAAAACACCTACACGATCGACTGCACTTGGCGGGCGTTTCGCTTGGGCTAGGCTGACTTTAATTTTGGTTTTCATGATTGGTTTTTTTACATTTTGCTCGCTGCTTGGACAACTGGATTGATCAGAAGTTGGATTGGTATTGGTCGTGTCTGATCGTTTATCGCTGCTTTTTGGATCATTTTGAGTCTCGTCATCTAATAAATGCCAGCAGGGCTTGCAGGTTCAGTTATACACGAATATTTTTGGTTATACATGCTAGTCAGCAGAGTACAAGACGCCAAGTGGCAAAATGACACTACTGTATTACTACTCAACCACTGGCGCTAGATACCGTATCAATGTCTACTTGCTATATAGCATGGCTAAAGAGCAGAATGACAACCTCGATTGGTTTCGATCTTGTCTTTGGATTCTTTGGCTTCCATGGTGATGCAAACTGAAATAAAAGTTCAACAAATTAGATTGCACTTGAGCAATTGGAGTGGACCAGGGGGCGACTGATGAAGGATATCCAAATACTGCCTGCAATAGTCCCACCGTACGATACTTAACTACACCGTACTGTACTGTATGGGTACAATGACAGTCATCTTATAGTATACGGTAGGCTAACGGACGGACTCGGGCTTTGATCTCAGTAATGTCTTTCTCGAAAATCTTGAGTATAAAAACTTTTCTTTATTTTCTTTGGCAATATCTTCAATACCGAACGAATTTCAGCTTCAAGTATAGTACCATTCGATGCAGTATCTCATGTAAATTACATATAAAACATCGAATAGCCTCCAAAGCCTATCGTTGTTTCTAATTCCACGTAAATATTGCATCGAGTAGTTCAATTGAGTAACAGAAAAAAGGAGTGATGGTCACGTTACGTTGCCATCGTAAAGCTGTTCAAAGGTTAACAGGGCCTTCTACAGTATTGTCAATAAGAGAATTTTCTGTGAGAAACCTCTATTAGTATGCACAGGGACTCTAAACTATCCTATAGAATAGTTTCAGCTGTCGTGATGGGAAAAATCTCTTCAACCTACAGCTAAAAGTGGGCACCATGCAGCAGCCATAATGATTGCATCTTGCTTATTTCTGCCATACAAGACTTGGATATCAATACGATTAACATGGGCACGTATGGGAATTGGGCTGGTGAATGCGCGCTATACACTCAGATATTGCCGGCAGGATTCTTTACAGTAGGACTCTTTACCAAAAGTGTCTACAATACTCAGTACCGTGTTACAGTATAGAGTACTGTACACTGTACACTGTACTGTACTTATTACAGTGTACAGTACAGGATGCTTCTAACAACGAAGACTGTACACTGTAGATACGAACTTACCGCTGGAAGAACAACTATACAGTCTACTATAGACTTGGTGATAGCGTCTGAGTAGCAAGACACAGCTGATGCTCCATCTTATTCTCTTGCAAATATTGCTTGAACTATTTCACTTGGCAACCAAATCGTTCTGGCCAACTTTTGCAGCCATCTTTGAAAAATTCAAGGTAAATCTTCATCGTCTAACGTTAACCATCAACTCGATCGATATCTTATTCATCAACAGTCAATGCAATAGGATTATGTCTCCTAGTTAAATTGACTTTCATGCCTAATACACTTGACAGTATGATACTAGCCATGATAGTTGCACAAGTGTAGCTGAATAGACACTTGTACACTGTCGATATTGAGGGAGAATGGATAGGCTGTCCAATTTCTTCCTTCTTAAGGTGATTAAGATGAATTTGAACCCAAGTCGACTATTTTCATGTCATTTCCATCCATGAAGACCATCATTATGCTATAGGTGTCTAGATTTTTTAAATTATTCACTCGTTATGGAAGGAGCAAAGTGTAATCCGTCTTGTTATCAGGATAAGGTTGAAGAAAGATAGGCTTACTCTTTGATCGGTGGAATAATTCCTTCTATCGACCAATTGTCAGCCATATTCCCATTCATGTAGAGAGTATACCATATTAGTTGCAAGTAAGATAGAGTTTGTTTGCATTTACAACATTATTCATAACCTTTACTGTAGTCATCTAGACGAGTACAATTGCTTACTACTGAATGAAAAATACCTTTAAGCGTTAGATCATCCTAGCACTTTATTTCGACTATTATAAGATAGGGCATGATTATAGCATTGAGTAAATTAGGACATTCATGATAGCCAACTTGCACTTGCAAACAGATCACGTCCGTATATGAATATTGCACATCGTCTTTAAAAATTAGTCGTTATAACCTTACCATGGACTACTGCAGTACAAGAAAATTGACCGATCCTGATTTGTACAGTACATCGTCTTCATCAGTGAACCATAAACGTTATTATTTCCATCTTTACAATGTAGCATTAATTGAAGGACATAGAAAAGACCGTAGCGAGTCAATGATCGTGATACTGGATTGACGACTAGAATAGATTGCCATAATTCAATAGTACGGACTGGAACTAAGCTTGTTAACTTAATAGTGATCAATTGATACCAAATTTGTCGTAGTTATTCGTACTATACTGCATAAAGGTATCAAATGTAAAATAAACCCTACACATCCTTTAGTAGGTCATCGAAAATACTATTGAAAAGGTTTACCCACCAGTGTATGATATTATAGCTATTCGCATAAGCTCTTTCTTATTACTGCTTTCTTCCACCTAAAATCGATAGAGTAGGCTACAGGATGAGTGAGATATCAATCAATCAAACTGCTCCTAGCAATGAAGTGATTCAAGAAGTACCAGAGAAATTGATCAAGCTGGTAAAGACAGTCATGAATTCTTACTATAGCCCAGAAGAAAATATCGTTGTTGATCTTTTAATTAAAAAGCCATGTATCAAAGAGGATGATATTCGTGAATTGCTAAAAATGGAGCAGAAACAGTTAAGGTTGATTTTGGCAGTTTTAAAAAGGGACAAAATTATTAAAAGTAAGCAATTAAATGAAACAGCTGATGGCCGTACCAGCCGCTATACATTCCATTACATCAATTTTAAAGTACTTATCAATGTTATCAAGTATAAATTAGATCACATTAGGAAAAGAATACAAAATGAAGAAAGTTTTTCCAGAAACAGACCGTCATTTTATTGCCCTTTCTGTAATAATCGTTACGAAGATACGGACGTTGGCCAGTTGTTAGATCCCATCGAACAGAAACTACTGTGCTCGTACTGTTCTACACCAGTTGAAGAAGATACGAGCGAAATTGAAGCTAGTAAAGTGAGAACCAGCAGCCTGGTTAGTTTTAATGAGCAACATCGCCCAATTTTCGATATTCTAAAATCAGCCGATAACATTAACCTTGCTCCGGAAATACTTGAGCCCGAACCGTATGTTGCCCCAACCAATAATCGCGATTACCGATCAAATACTAGCAGATCCTCTAAACCTAATATGCCATCAATTGACAATATGTATGAACAAGTTGTAGGAGTGAATGTTAAAGGTGAATTAGACAACGTTAACGATAAACCTAAAATGGAAAAGCCAAGCTGGATGGCCAAAAGTACTGTCATTGATCAACAAGACGATGAAAACTCTACTGATCAGCCCGATTTCTATAAGGCAGTCGATTCTCAACCCACCCGTGAAACTGGCCACGAACATGATACGGGTATATTGCCAGAGTTGCTAGCCCATGAGCTAGCGTCCAACAATAAGCCAACAGCAAAGGAAGATCGTTTTAAAGGTGTCGGGGTGAGCGGCGACCAAGATGAAGAAGCTATTGGTGGCAATTTTGTCGATGATGAACCTCATGGTGTGGAAGAAGAAAGCAATTTTGAAATGGTAGTCAATGGAGAAACTTATTCAATAGATGATATTGATCAAAAAATCATCGATCAGATGACTAGTGATGAATATGAAAAATATGTAGCATTGTGCCAAGATGCCTATAATCAGTACTACTAAATAGCGTCTTCATAAAATGAATATGCTTAGTCAACATTCGATATCAAAATAGTTAAAAAAATTCTGTCATATAGGTAGCCAATGTAGTTAAATCGACGATGGTTACTTAACATGAAAAGAGATATTTATTTTGGTCTATTATTCGACATATGAATATTCCGAAAAATAATACTAGAATATTCGGAAGAGTTGTTTAATTGCTCTAGCAGCATATAGAATATGCACATGATATATCTATTTCTGCATAAATGCAGTCCCCAAAACTGTAATCATATATTCCTAAAGTGACTGCCTAAGGATACTAGGCTATTACTAGTACGTAATTCGTCAAGATTTTGTATGATCCTTAATGTACGATATTAATAAGTATCGCAAGAATTTTCACTAATATCTGTTGTCTCCTATTCAAAATTAGTATAAGTAACGAATGATGGACGATATCGATTCCATCCTGTTGGGATGGTGCGGGATCTACTATACACTATTATATTGCATGAAAGTTTATAAAGTAATATTAATTAGAAACCCATTGATATGTGCTGCACATGTAATCGTTTCGACTATAACAACTTGACGTTGTAGTAAGATAATTTATCATGCTTATTACGATATTATTGTTGATTACAGAATCATACTACTCGCGCTACTTATCAATACATCGTATCGCAGTAGCACTTTAAAACCTCTTTCCAATTCGTGATTAACTTACCTTTGTCAGTTATTACGGTGAATTTTATTTACCTGATTTTGCAAACTGTAATACGAATGTCAGATTATTTCTATTCGGTAATGCTAGCTATCAAGATTTTATTATTATTATGCCTCATTACAAAGTTTTATCTCTTATTATTATTCATTTCTGTATCTTTTCAATTTCTCAGAATAATGTACCGTATTTAGATATCGGTTTGGTACTAATCAGACTTTTGGATTCTATAACATTTGCATTTTTATGCCACGAAATGCATTGAAGTCTGTTTAGCTGTTGTGTTCAACAAAATCTGATTGCGATTAGTTTATACCTACCTAGCTGTTATTAGTGATATTGCCATATTATTTGCTAGAGTAGGTTGTCTACGTATTCAAGTTGATATAATGCAAATATATTTAAAAAATTGCATTTGTCATCTCGAGGATATAGCTTTAATTATAGTAATTTTAATAATATAACAGTTGGCATACAAAATAGCTTAGGATCACACTGATAGGTGCTATTAACTACAGTAAATGATTTAAAATTTTCTGTTTGCACTTGCTCAAAGCTTGACAATTTACGTATACAAAGTTGAATTTCAGGATTTCTGTTCTTCCAGAAACTTTATCTTCAGAAGTGCTCGCCTCCATACTAAAATTTTGATAAAGTAATTTCCTTCCGATTCCAACATCATTGCAGTTCTATATTCTATTGATTTGCTTTATTTGGAGCGAATAGGTTGCCCACGCTCATTTTAAAGCACTCATAACTAGCCAGTTATCATAATATACTAGAATATATCTCTCGACGGCAAAAATTGTTGATTTTGTATGTCGGAATGTGAGTCGTTTAGCAAACTATGACTTGAGCAACTCCGAGGAAGTATATAAAGCTTGCCGAGCTCTCCAAGGGCGGGAAAGGGGTGGGATGACCGTATCAATGCGCCAAGATATGTACCTTTATGGTATTATATATCGAAAACTTGTTAGTCATAGATGTTTATTCTGACAGATGTTCAAGCTTTGATCGAATTATGTGCGAACGGCACCATAATAATAATAGATTTTCGAAGAACATGTATCAGCTAAAATGTTGAAGTTAATCTAGGTCGGCTCACATATTTGTCGGCATATTGATTATGGCTCGTCTTTCTCTTATCACGAATTATTTTGAACATCTTGATAATGAATAGGTGGATTATCTAATATACAAGATATTGTGCTATTACCTAAGATTGCCTAGTGCTTGATAATTTGAACATTGAATATTAGCTATCATTGTATTTGACACCGTCCGAGAATGTCGCCAAAAGATGGCAGACTCGCCTAAATTATTTTACTGTTTCATAATAATGGTAATCGTAGTCTCATTGTTTACTAGTCGTATTAGGGAGCTCTATGCAGTAATTAATTTAAACAATAAAATATTTCTGAATTATTTCTAAAGGAGTCAAACTTGTCCATTCTGGGATTACTAATTGAATTTCTAGAGCGAATGCTAGCTAAATACCATATTTTTGCTATCAATATGGAGGCGGATAGAAGATAGAGCTGTCTAATAGATACTGGGCATTGACTTTTTTATCAGGTTCCATACTTATTGACCATTAATCATGGTAATTTCGAAGAAATATTCACTATATAGCTCAATGGCCAATCAAGGCAATAATATCCTGGAATTGAATTTAACAATAACTATCTTAGTTTATAGTCAGATAAAGTTAGAATATCTATGCCATAACTTTATCATCACTGTAATATGGTTGCATGCTAGTTTGCGTTAAGGGAGCTTTAAGTTATGAAATTTATCCAGTGTAATCTTAGTAATTCTGTTTAGTGCCAGGTAATTAGTTGGCAAACATTTACAGAAAGATAGCATATTGCACCATTAACCAGTAAGATGTCGGCTGATCAATTAATAAAGCCATTAATAATCTGCGAGAATTAGTGATGCCGTTTAGAAGGCATGTACATATCTACTTCTATTAACCGTAACATTTCAAAGTATATTTTCACAATAGAATAGTGTAAAAGGAGAAGTGTGATTTTCTGCAAGAATTTATTACGCCACATTGGAATATAATATAGCATTGTATCCCGTATACGTGCAGTAAATCACATATGGTGTAGTAATATCGGAAAATTGACTTCAAGATAGAAGTCATGCAGGCCTTATTGATCGTTCTGATGGAAATTGGTAGAGTTAAGCTGATTTTTGTTTTATCACAAAGCTTACCTACCTGGAGCCAAATTATGTAGGGTTTGAATCATGCTACAACTGTATGCTATAGTAGCTTCTATAATGCGCCAAGTTTATTCAGTGCAGTTACAAGTAGGATTAATATTCTATATTTTCTAACAGCTGGAGGCAATTATATTTACAGAACTCATCAACTGTCTTCACAAATAATTGAAATTACTTCAGAAAAGCTATCAGATATTAGTATATATAGTACAATATCTTATAACCATGATTATACACCTACCAGATGTAAAATTAAATCTATTATACTGTTTCATTTAACCTTAGCAGCGCCATTAATAACAATGATATTCGTGTTATAAATCATTAACTGATATTAGATGCATACGACATGCCATCAAGAAGTTACATGGTGGCACCTGAGTTAGGGGCAGCAAATGATGATTGCTAATATTGAATCAGAAAGGAAATGGGACAAAATCATATGTGATCGGCAGTTTAATACTATACCATGCTTATTTGGTAAAGTTAGATATATCACCTAAGCAATCTACTACAGATTATACACAGTATAACATAGACAGAGGAAGCTGACACCTGCCTATACAGCATTAGAGATCATAATCTAAATTCCTTCTTTTGACTTTGTTTGCAAAGTTTTTATAGCTATGATTTTAAACATTTAATTGTGTATTACCGTACTTTTAAAACATAACATAGAGATCAAGGCCATGCTTGATGATATAGGACTAGGTAAAAAGTATCAATTTATCCAATTAGCATCTTTGAAATAGCTTTACGGCCATTATTTACTATTAATAATAATCTTCAATAAATGTGATTTCGTGCCAAGGTAAGGATAAACTATTTGTCGAAACATTTATATTCTCTTATATTCTATTAAAGCGTATATACTGAAATGTTTATTCTCCACTTATTATACATTATTTTTATAAGCAATTCTACAACATCAACTTGCGAGAATTGTGAGTTTAAACTGCCCTTCATTTCACACCTAAAAATAATATTTATGGAATTCGTCATAATATTATGGCTTTTAGGAACAAATCTGTTATTACATTGCAGAACTGTCACAACATTTCTTGGACACATTCCAAACTCCGCCTAATAATTTATCATTATTGCTACATAACTACCAAGACCAAAAACTACTAAGGTTCATTTATTCACTTTTAGCATTGTTCGTATGTCTATGGTACTTTAAGAGATTGCAGCAGTTAATGTTGACAGTAATTTCTAATTAACGGCAGATTGAACGCAAAAAAGCAGATTTTACGTAACTTTCCTTCATGTTACAACGATGCTAAACCGCCAATTTATCATCGTATTATGGATCATTCTATCCTTAGCTATCTTTAAAGCACATGAAACTTGTCTCATAAATAATCTATCGAGCAAATACCAATACCTATCTTATCTTAATGGGTAAGTTTGTTTCCGTTTAGCTACTATTAGCGACTCGGCTTTTCTAGAAATAAGTTTACAAGAGCATTTATATTGGTCTAGCTACGTCCTCATCATAAACCTCTGAATGATATTAATGTTACAGTTTCTGATATTGCGGTTCTGTACTTTTTATTTTTTGGCGGAAAAGAAGATATCTATATTAAACTAGTTCATACTGTATCAACATGCCAGTTAAAGTCTCTGCTCTAGTTCCTTTTAGTATGCAAAAGAATCGATATTAGAAATTAACACTAAAACTCAGTAATTGTCGCCTTGGCGATCGTAATACTTTTAATTAGCGCTAATTTCAAAAGTCTGTTGTCATTTTTAGTCTAACATTCGATCAATTATCACCGCAGCTTGATAAAAGCCAGCGGGAAGATATGAATGTTAGCTTGGTGTTATGCACTGCAGAAATCATATTTATTCCTTGAAAATTTTGCGCCTGAATGAGAGAATTAGATTATATTAATGCAATCTTCACTCCAATTTACTGTCTTGAAAAGTACCATATGGGATTTCCTATATTAAAATGCGGCTAAAATTCGAAATGCTCTCATTATCATGGTATTATGCCTAAAGCTGCTAACCGAACAATACGTATTATGGCAAATTACTATCTGAATGGTCTGAACTATATGCAGTATAGGCGTTCTCACAATTTATATTCTATTTGCTAGCTAGCAGTTTCTCATATTTTTATCTCACACAGAAATAAACTAGTATAATCTATTCAAATTTTACTATCGGCAAGCCATATCTTACATCTCGATTCAGTTTACGCATAAATCTGATAATTTTTCAAGGCAATAGCTAGTCAATTTATTAAGGCAATATATTCTTCTGGTTTAAAGCCGAAACTAATCCAAATATGTTATTAGATATAAGGAAGGATTATTTTGTTAGAAATCTTATTTAAGCAATGATTGACTTCATGAAATGCATCAGATCTCGAGAATAGTGCCGTCTTTTTTAATTTTATTTCAATTCAGGCGAGTTGCTTGCATTAGTGTGGTATATGAATAGATTAGTTTATTAAGGTTTTCGTATCCATGGACATGAACTAAATCCACTAATTCAACTACTGTACAACAGATATACTGCATTCAATCATTGATTGTTTAACTGAAATTATATGCATACTACAAGATTGGAACACCAGATATTTTTTGATTAAATTTTTGAGTTCAGGGTTTGAAATTGAATATTAAAGAGCTGGACATATTATCTTGAAAGCAGATGAGCTTGCTCCATAAAATTTTTTAACTACAGACATCAACTCAATTCGCTGTTTATATTTAGCTTGCACATATGTATGGCACATATCCAATATATATTATTTATGTGCATGGCTTAATAGGTCTTATGTGCTAGACTAGAACAATGTGTAGATTTTAACTGGAATTGGTAGATTGAGCATTCTAGTAGTCGATTCAATAATAAGAGTTTAGGGATATTTGTCTTGATATTGTAGTATTATTTATTTATTTTATTTTCCTTTAATATAAAGGTTTATCTAATCTATCATAGTAGAATTAATATTATACAAATCATGTGATTTGATAAAATAAGAAAGAGATCGTTACTGGCTGACATACGGAAATTTAATTTATATCAAAATCGATAAGCAGTTTTACTTCTGAATCTACTTTTATAGCTAATAGTTAAATTATCATGCTCGCTTGCTTAATAAATCACACAAATCGAAATCATTATTGCTATCCATTAGTCAAAATAGGTAGTGCACTAATTAAGAATATTCCATAATCTTACGACTCTAGATACTGTGCTTGACTGTTATGGATGTAATCAATACTAAACTATAGTTTTATGAGCATACTGTAAAATCCTAAATTCACTTTGCCTAATATTCAATTTAAAATGTCGATTCAAAGAGCTCTGAATTATGTTATGACAAGATTAAGAATTAGCAAGCATTAAATACACAAACAAGCTCTGACAAATTGATTCGGCGTTAATAGATTAATTGTATATTCTTGTTGGTTAAAAGATTGTTAATTTCAGGATATAAGAAATTAAATGTAAATTTACTCTTTATACCATGGATATGTTTCAACAGGACATGGAAATGTTCTTCACCATCAAATCAAATGTTTCTAATAAATATATGCAGCGGATTAAATAATCATACTAAACCAACGATTGATTGTCCACCTGCTACAGCAGTTTGCCGCATCGTATCCAAAATATCAGCACCTGTGTCCGAAGATATTGGCAGTTATACATTCAATCCAATCGTTAGTTTGACAAATGATAGCAGCCACGGATTCAGCCTAACATATCGGAGCACGACAAGTTGCCAATTTCGTCCTGGCACAAAAATAAATACAACTATCTTATTTCGATGCGGAAATACACTAGTAAGTTTATGCATAAGTATGAATGAAATGTTGCATCTTAAGTATAAATTATCCTATAAATGGAATAGCTTAGAGCTCTGCATATTTCGGTATGTGACCAGTAACGCTATTAGTAAAAATATTAAAAATATTAAATAGCAACAGCTTTGTATCTCTATACATAGCGTTATTAGTCAAAGTTTAATCTCTTCTTCTTTATTCTGAGATTTTCATTCCGTGGATAACAAAAAATTGCGATTTATAGCATGTAACAGTATTTTAACTACGGTACCGTACATCAAGAATGATACAAAATGGTTATGGAACAAAAATATTTTTGCAACTTTAATGATTATCGCACATAATTTATTACAGCATGAATTTAAAATTATGTACCTTAAGTAAATAAATATTACCATTCTATTCACACGCGGATGTATATTAGTAAGTCTATGAATTATTATGAGTGAAAAGCTGCGTTTTTGGTAAAAAGTATCTTATAAATGTAGCAGGTTAGAGGTCTGGTGTTAGAGCATGAATTTGAAATTATACCTTTAATCCATGTCTAACAGTGAGTTGTTTTTTAACTCAAAAATAAGTGGATTTAAGTGTTGATTTCTTTGATAACAATAATTCAACATAAAATCTAAAAAGCTATCAAAATCTATATAAAAAGACTTTCATATCTTATAGCACGTATAGCAAACAATTTATTTTGTAATTGCGATCTTAAGGAGAGTTTGACGAATTTTGCTCAAGTTTTATCATCTATTTTGCCTAATTATAGCTATAAATTCATCTGGATTCTATTAAATCATAATAAGAATATACAGTATATAAGTTTAGTTTAGATAAATTCTTACCCCCGCTAATATTAAAACATCCGTACTATTTTATCCTAGGGCTCGCCAGAATTCGTTAATGAAATTGATTGTACTTTCTACTTCCAATGGATTACATCAGGGGCATGTGCTTATGTATCCAGTAAGTTTTCTAAAACTGAAGTTCCCTGCTACGTTTACGATGAATTTAACCGCAAGAGAGACTTGAGCCCTTTAATTAAACTAACAGGTTTGCTAAGAATTTAGTTTGTACAGGTACTAAATTATTCTACTATGCGTTCGATATCCTCTTTTCCAAATTAATGATTTTCCGCTAAGAAATGACAGCTATAATTGTCATTATATTAGCAAATATTTGCACAAAGGTTGAAACTTTATGTCACATACAGATATTATTACTCTAAACAAATGATTTATTTATAATATTTTGACGATGATTATTTTATTTTGCGTGTACTTGTCGAGAAGCATTTATTTCGTCTCGCAGATACTCTTCATATTAAGCTAAAAGTTTTACTTAAAAATACACCTAGTCATGATTATAGCCACGACAGTAACTATATTTATAAGAAAATCAAGGCTTTAATTCATTTGCTATACTCATATATTCTATACTAAATTTATTCCTGATTTTTGCTTTGTGTTTGTGTGTTTAATCTTATTATTCTTAACGCTATTGCAGGTGGCTATTTGGTACAAAACTCAACACAGAAGCAAATTTATATTAATGTCTGTAGAAATATACGAATAAGATCACTTTTCGATCGTTATTATGGCTGCCCAGCCCAATCTAGTGCTTGTATAATCAACAGTGACAGCAACAGAAGTCCAATAAATATCGGTGAGCCGATGTATCCACCGCAATATCGAAATGGCAAAATATTTCTGAGTTATGTGACTAAGCAAAACTATTCAGCATGTATGCAGCGGCCAATTACAACTGAAATTATTTTTCGTTGTAACAAATCAGTGCAGGTGACTGTTTAGTTTTTGCATCATTTCATTTAAAATTCGATTAATCAAGATAATTCATTAACGATAATATTAAGATATAATATACTAGTGAATACAAGAATGATATTCCATCTTATCATAAAATAAATCCTAAATATAAGTTTCAAATTAATAAGATTTAAATTTAGATTATTCCTTCCATTAGAATCCGGGTCCTAGACTGATTAATTCAAGTAGTGCATGTCGGTATATTATAGAGTGGGTGACTGAATATGCTTGTCCGGTGAAAAATTTGCTAATAAAGAATAATTGCAGTTTTACTATGGCCGATGGTTACTATTTTGATTTAAATCCACTCATGAATTCCAAGCATGATTATCGAGTAACTAATTATAAGACTCACTCTACTATCTATTTTAACGTATGTGGTCCTTCTAATTTGCCTGCTTGTGGTACAGCAAATGGAGATCAATCGAAATCTAACGCCGTATGTCAAATTCATGATGCTGGTATCCATCAAGAATATCGAGGTGGCGATTTCAAGTACATGAAACTACGTTATGTGGATAATCAACTGACTTTAATATATAATCATGGATCATCTTGTCGTAATGGAATAAATCGATCGACTGTTATTTTATTTCGTTGCGACATTTTTGAAAATATAGGTATTCCATTCTTTCATGAGGAAGATTCCTGTACCTATTTTATATCCTGGTCGACAAAATTCGCTTGTAAAAGAAAGCTTGGTACAGCATTTCCACCTTATTGTAGTTACAAGGACCCTTTGAATCGATTTGTTTATAACATGATCCCCTTACGGAGGATATTTAGCAGATATGAAGTGAAAATAGGGAACAATCAAACGGTACAATTCAATATTTGCAACCGACTTTGGCATTCTGCGTGCAGAGATTCTGATTCTAGGTAAGTCCTTCATGTAAACTACATTGTTTTATCTAGATTTCATAAAAGGTTTTCCATATTTTAAAACTTTGCATTAGTCAAAAAGATATCGAATAATAATACCTCTATGTTTTTATTGACTACTTCTAATAGTAGTGTAGCTAGCGTTTGCAAGGATAAGATGATTTTGGGTAGGACACAAGGACAACTGGATACTTTAATTAGCAAAGATAATCAGCTACAATTGCATTATCCTTCAATTGGACAAGATTATCCCAGTACAACATTATTATTTCAATGCGATCTCCATGCTATTCACGTTAATAGTGCAAGAATAATTTTTTACCAATTGACATCAAGCGGAAATTATGTATTCAATGTTTCTACTCCATTAGCTTGCCCACCTCGATCCACTTCATGCTATGTACAAGACAGTGCTGGAAATCACTACAATTTGTCGAATCTTTATAGGTCTAATAATAATTGGGATGCTACTGAACGTCGCTACCATATCCAGTTTAGATATTACATCAATATTTGCGGCCCTGTTAATCCTGTCGATGGACCTTTCTGTTCTACCTCCACACCATTTTTAGGTGGTTGTCAAGTCGACACAGTTCACAATATTAGTTATAACATTGGCTACATTGCATCACCACCTATCTTCAAGAACGATCGTATTTATCTTCGCTATATCAATGGCGATCTATGCCATCACCGATATAGAAGGAGTACAACCATTCAGCTGATTTGCTCCGATGTTGAGGTTGGAGCTATTTTCATCACTTTGACTTTTTATTTGCTATATTAACAAATAGGCTTTCCATGGATCTCACTCATAGCTATATTGTTTATATTAGCGCAATCGAGCTTAGTTTAAATACTCATCAATTGTAAGTGCATGTGACCCTGTAGTCATTAATTTTAATTCTTTACTCCCTGTCCTATTAGAACTTTCCGAATAACCATTCTATAAATTGCATGCTAAAGTCTAGCTGATAGTTTTGTATGGTATATTTGCACTTGCCGGCTTTCTTAATTATATCCATTTCTATTGCTTATTTCCATGGCGACCTTCGTGTAAGCACTATTACCTATAAATAAATTTACGGCACCTTAATTTAAGTTCCTAAAGTAACTCATCATCTCTTAAACTGTAGTAGATCGTATTAGGTAATAACATTCATAGCGGCTATTTCCATCGCACCTATAGCTCATAGACCTCGCAACATGTCTTGATAAACCACACAATCTGTATCCTCCCAAAAATTAGCTATAGAGTTTACTTCTTGCGAAAGCTTATGTTATTAAGCTACATAATATTGATCTTATTGGCTCTCTGATTCAATGCTAGGGTCGTCTAACATTTTCTCACGAAACCTACCAATGTGAATATATTTTCTTCTTACAAACTCCAGCAGCATGTCCAACTCCATCAACTGTTGGTCAGCAATGCCAAGCCTTTGATCCTACATTTCATCATTATTATGATTTATCGTCACTTTCAAATTTTAAAAGCGATTATAATGTCATGGTCAGTAATAAAACTATCTATAGGCTGAATATTTGCCAGCCTTTAGTGGTGCCATGTGGAACTGATAAATCGAGTGGAGCCTGCAGTTATAATAAAGGTTGGTTTAATTGACTATTAATAGAAAATAAAGGATACATGATCCTTTATGAAACCTTACGTATTGCTTCTGAAACAATATTGCATTAAATCAAATCTATAGGACTTTCAGTAATTTAGGATTAAAGGTAGCCGCGGTAGATTAACAATGATCACATGCAACTATAAAATATCCATAGAGAACGTATGAAGTAGTTTTGACTGCTTTAAATATATCATTTTACTAGTAACAGCAAATTATTTGCAATTTAAGTCTCCTGTGATCAGAAACAAATGCATCAGCATTTGTGTAATGTTTCTATAACCGGATTGATCTCGATGATGTCTGCCCAAACTCTTCTAAACTAAAAATTTTAGATCAGCAATTTTTTTATTATTCTATAAAATATCTACAAACAACCAAAGAAATAGTTTTTATTGCTCTACATGTATGTTACTTATTCGTAATATAAACTCTTTACGATTTTAGCGCTACTGTAATCAGAAGTAAACGTATTAACATTTGTGATTTTTTCTGCAAATAAGATTAATTTCATTAAAGATGTTTGCTAAATAATTCTAAACTATAAAATTCTACCGCATCGTTACATTAGGAACACAGGCAGTAAAATCACTTGGCATGAATAATGGTAATTTAATTTATGAACGAAATCGTTTAACTCTACGTTACACCCATGGCAATAAATGTGATTTATCTTTGGAAAATCGGGAATCAACTTTAATTCACTTTTATTGCAATTTGACGGGCGACATCATTGGCTCTGGGCCGATTTTTATTCAACGATGGCCCAATTGTATGCATGAATTTCGATGGTATACTTCTGCTGCTTGCTCCTCAGCGCAATTATACCATTGCCAAATGAGCATAACAGATCAAAATACTGGCAAACAGTACGATCTAAGCAGCTTGGTCAAATCGAACGGTGGCTGGTTAGCTGTAAACGCAAAATCTCCGTCGAATCAAATTTATTATATCAACGTTTGTCGATCTGTACAAGGCGTAATGGGTTGTCCAAATTCCTCAAAATCTTGCCTGATAATTAATCAACAGGGTAAAAATAAATCGAGGTATGAAGTTGATTTAAAAGTTCTAGAGATGATGATGCAAATAAACATGAAATTATTAATGTAATCTTCCCTGACTTTAATGATGTATGGTTCTAGAATATTTCATAATCTCGGAAGAATAAGCAAAGGTATTAAGATCGAAAATGGCTTATTAAGTTTATTTTATACGCATGGCGATATTTGCTCAGACGGTTCTAGCAGAAAGACCACCAGGATAATGTTTACATGCAAATATGGAGTTAAAGTAGGTATAACATCAGTGTATCATGTTAGCATCTCTATGATTTTCGATATATTACATAAATCTCCGCGATATACTACTGTATTCTCTATTCAGTTATTTTAATATAAACTGCTCTTCTTTGCTCCATCATTCAATCTAAATAACATTATATATTGATGATTTAATTTAATTACCAACTAGAGTTTTACTACTATTGAGATTTCAATAATTTACTATATAACCATAGAATGCTCCTGTATTCATCAGTCATGAAAATCATTGCCATTATTACTTCCTTTGGATCCACGAAGCCGCTTGCCCTGTTCAGTCAGCAGCTGGAGAAAATTGTAGGATTAAAAATCCGTTATCTGGTCATATATTTAATCTAAATTCGTTATATAATCCGAATCAAGACTATATCGTGACTGATCGCAAAGGACATGCTTTCAATATCAATGTTTGTGGTCCATTAAATGTCAATTATTGCAGTAATCAGTCAGCAAATTGCCAATTCTATCAAACGAATCACACCCTAAGGTATAATTGTGGACGTGTTAATAAAATACTCTACTATCATGCTGGGCAGTTATTCTTCAATTATTCTGATGGAGATTTATGCCATGGACTCCATCATCGAAGTACAATCATCACTTTTATATGCTCGCCAAACATTACTATTGGGCGACCTATTTTTATTAATGAAAGCCGTCAATGTGTCTATTCGTTCATTTGGCCGACCAAACTTGCTTGTGAAGAGCAGACGGAATGCCTAGCCACAAATCCAAATGGTTCAATGGTGGATTTATCTCCCTTGACCAGAAATCAGGGAGGCTGGAAAGTTTATAATGTTCAGAATTCGATAGGTATCGACAAGAAAATTTATATTAATATTTGCAAAGCTCTGAATCCGGTTGAAAACCTACGATGCCCCGCAGGATCTGCCGCTTGTGCTATACTACCACGATCTAACTTAACAGTTAATCTTGGTGGATTTGATCATCCCGCTAAAATAGATCCAGATGGTTCCATCATCTTGAGGTATGCCCAAGGTAGTCCGTGTTCTGCGGATACCTCCAGAAACAGAAGTACTTTAATCATCTTCACTTGCAGAATGGGCTCTATTGGCTATCCAGTTTTAGATTTGAATCGATCAGATTCATGCCAGGATACGATTTGGTGGCGAACCAACCGTGCTTGCACTAGCAAACAAAGTAAATGGAATAGCTGTTGGATCCACAATGCAATCACTAATTCCATGTACAATTTATCTCGTCTAAATCAATTCAGTGAGAGTCATTACGTTATTCAATCATCCTACGGCTTGATCTATCTTCGTATATGCGATACCGTTCAAAACTTAGCTCTGTCAAAGTCCGAATGTGCTGGAGCTAGTGTCTGTTTAGCACAGAATGGTAGCTCTCTTTCGTTAGGCTCAGTCGATAGTAGTCTTTTAACGATTCTCGATCGGGATATATTAACATTACAATACTTTAACGGATCAGTATGCTCTAAAAATTCTAGTCAAAGAATTTCTACTACAATTATATTGATATGTGATAAAAATGGCGGAAATGGTAAACCGATTCTTATAACTCAAGATGATGATTCCTGTGAATTTAATTTTATATGGAAAACCAAATATGCTTGTTCCTTGCATTATCAAAATGAATGCACGATTAGAAATCGTAACGGTCAATTTGATCTAAGCCCATTTTCTCTTATGGGGTCAGATTGGAAATGGGTAGATGCTAAAGGTAATCGATATTGGCTTAACTTGTGCGATCCAATCCGTAATCGACCTCAAGGTTGTTTACCGTCAGCTGCAATTTGCATGCAAGATAGAAATGAAATAAATACTGAAACACTTGGATTAACCTGGTCACGAAATTTTTCTCCATCTAATAGGGATCAATCGGTAGTGACAGTTTCTTATGCTTTCGGAGCACCATTATGCCAACGTAGAAATCAGTCAGCAACAACAGCAATTCACTTTAGTTGCGATTCTAGAATTAGTAAACCGAAACTTCTTCAATTTGACATGACGAAATGTCGTGCTCAATTTCTATGGCCATCTATTCTTGCTTGTAAAAGACAGCATGGACCACTGCCGGATAACGATTGCATCATCACTGTAGATCAGCAGACTGGAATATTTTTTAACGCCAACGATTTTGCTCTGCCGTCAAATAACTGGAATATCACGGTAACTACAAATTATGGTAAAAATTCGACATTATTTATTAATGTCTGCAAGAATTTGAACGCATTAAATCGGAATAGCTCTTGCGTAGATAGCAGTGCCTGCATAGTCGAAAGTGATGGAATTCATCATCAAATTGGTAGCAGTACCATGCATAGAGAATTCTATATGCGAAATCATAATATACTAGAAATGATTTTACCAACAAAACATCGATGCCGCCCAGGCACTAATAAAACTATTACAACGGTTATATTCTTCCGGTGTGATCCTGACCAATATTTGGTATGAGCAAAACAGCCGAGGTTTATTTCATTTTCTCTCTTTTACTATGAAATGATATACCATAATACAAAATACTATAATATAAGGTTAAGCTGTGCCACTTTGTGATAGATTAAAAGAAGTAATTCCATGCTGATTGAGTCCAATACAGAACGATTGATACATATATTTAATGCCTCAAGTTTGAATGAAATTTAATTTTAAAATTGAGTTGTTGTTAGGGAAGTTACGCATCGATATTAATACATAGTCAATCTATTAAGTATCCTTAAATCATATTAGTATGCTAGTATACAGCTGTGTAATCATTGGGGTAAAAGAAAGTAAGTAGCATATCTCATTTTGGCTAAATTAAGCTAGTTTGGAGAGAATTAAATAATTAGCAGCAAAGAGGTATTGTAGCTGTAGTGTCCTGTATTTACAAGTGCAGTTAATCTGGTGATAGTTATATTCGGCAATCAGTACGGCTGATAGATTAGAATAGTTAACTTTGCGATAGAAGCCCACACGACTAATTTCATAGTATATCATAACAAAAGCAGCTCAATTTTATACATGAATCAAATGATTGCAATTTTCGATTATAACCAGACTAAACTGAAAAGTTAATGGCTATCGAATAGTACCGTAACAGACATAATTATCAATGATTTATGATATTTACTAGCATATTGTACTTTTGCTAATATACTTATCCTAAGTTGGATGTAGTAGTTCGTAGCCTAATTTAACAGGAATGCAGTAAATCTATCATTAATTTTATCAACAATTTTAATTGCGAAAGATTTAGAGTAACAGAGCTGATTATTGGTTCTCGTCAACAATTTCCACAATTGCAGATCATAGCTTTGAGGATGAACCTCATTGAGAAAATTTAGCTACTTTCCAATTATTCTTAGCATGTTTACGACCCAAAACGAGGAACTAAGAATGAATTAATTGAATTAAATATAGCTTATAAGACATAGTAAAGAATGAAATTCCACAATTACTGTAGCTTACCACGTAAATAAAATCCGTCCTTCTTTGAATTCTTAAGACTGATGCTAATCAGAACATGGCTATGCTCTGACCGATTGTTTCTATCTTCAAATAAGTCAGGTTTCTTTTGCAATCGTATTACGTAGAACTTACATGCATCCAGTATTATTCTAGGATATGAGCAATTCATTATTTGAATCGCTATTAAGCCAAGAAATATTTTAACCTTGAAATAGAATCATCGATCCTGAAATGATGCTTAAGCATTTATAATCATTACAAAGAAACGAAAAGAACCATTAAGAATTTGAGCTATTAATAATATTCTTCATATTAAAATAATAGGGCCAGCCCAACTTTGTTTACGAATCTCAAGATTGTAAATACATTTTAGTCTGGCCAACTTTGTTAGCCTGCTATTTGTAAGTAAAAATGATACAGATTTACTCAATTTGATGGCTTAATTTATATAATAAATTAATATTCGATCGTGCCATAACATATTTACTGCTAAAATAGTGCTACACATTACGTGATGCATAGTATTAAATCTGTATAGCCTAAATGAATCAATTGATTCTCTAACTTTTAAAATTAAGTTCTAAAACTATTATCCATGCACCACTATTTACAGCTCTGAAATTAAAAATCTTAATGGCACAGTCATAACAGCAACAGATAATACTACTGGAATATCACGAGATCAAGCTAGAAATCATGTTACTATCATTGTTATTGTGGTTTCAGCTTTCATAATATGTACCTTAAGCACTCGCTTATTAGTCTTTTGGCGTAATAATAGGAAAAACGTATTATTTATGAGGTAAGTATTAAAAACTCTAGCTGTATTGAATAAACCTGTTACTGCAAGTGCGCTTCAATAATTGTATATTACGAGGTTATGTAAATGAAACTCGTTTGCAACTATAATTTCATGCTGTAAATTGATATATGGTGGTATCCTATTTACATTGTTATACTACTTGAGTAGTAGTAACATATTTAGGTCATGCTCAAATTGGATTACTTTTCTTAATTGTGATAGCATTTCTTTTCACCGCAAGCAGAATGAGGAAATGAGTGATCTTACACCAATTGTGACTTAGTGGAAGGACTAATATTATGGGCGATGCAAATATCCAAAATTTAAATTTTAGTAACAAACTAGTTTTAAGCTATCTTCATGAAAATGAGAATAGGTTAAAAGTTGCAATCAACTAAGTAAAATATGTTGTCAAAACTTGATATTGATAGATAATAGATAAATAACAGTTGAGTTAATGATGAGTTATGATAAATTATTAATTTTTGCATTTTTCTAACGTGATGGAGCTTATGCCGATGATGATTATATTAAAAAATTGTATAGCAGGCCCTATTAAACTATAAGGAAGCACTATTACTGATCCCATATCAGCGAATGCTTCGTGTAATTAATATTTACTCAATCAAGAAATTCTAATTTTAATTAAAGTGCCTAATCTCGATTCTGTTGCTTATCATCTTGGCACAATCGATTATAAGGGATACCGGTACTTTGAGTAAGCTAAATTTTAATCAATAATACGCCAATAAATCTACCTCTACGCCCGCTATTATCACGATTAGTATGTTCTAATCTGCAATAGACGATAACAGTTTATTACGAATAGTTTATAGCTGGAATGCAATAGTATAAATTACGCTAACGTAGTCTTGTGAGCGGCTAAATCCCCGTTTATCCTCTCTAAAATTGACCTAAATAAATCCAATTCCAATTGTACATTCTCTATTTTTAAGTTTTTTAATCTACATTATAATTCTTACATACTTACTTTCAGTTGAGGGATAGAAGATGTTATCGATATATAATTGATGTCAACATAGAATACTTGTAGCGAAATTCACTTCTAATTTTACAAAATACCAATCGGATAGAGCATGCAGCACTCTGCATTACAATATTCCATATAACTGCATTCGTAATCTGCTAATCGCCCTTCTCCAGCAAAGCTCAGCGAACATAGAATTATCAATATCTGGCAATATATTGCACTAGTAATAAGTCTTTAATTACTTTTAATACAAAATATGTATTTCTCATAAAGTTTTTAACGTAGACAGACCAAATTAAATTTTTATTACAATATGCTACTACTGGTATCTTATCATCGTATATCTAGAGTATATTTCGCATCAACGTTGCCGAGACTACAGAGTAATACAATCATTTCAATTCTAGTTTCACTTAGTAGTTTCGTGGCTTTTTACTAGCAGAAATAACTCCTTGCTTATACGTCGTATAGTATACTTGTATGTTTACTTCAGCTTAAAAGTAACGCTATTTTATTGCAAAATTCTCTTCACTAGCGTAAAACAAATATCCAAAATATGGATAACATTTTGCTTACACTACATGGTCACGTTGATCATTGCCTATACTTAATCAGTAGCTTCTAGTAAATTTGCAATGGAGCATACCAATTTTCAACAATCGATTAAAAATAGTATATTTACCAAGTAAAACAGTTTTAGTATTAATATGTATCATGAAGTAATTTTGAAACCATTTGAATCATAGATAGGAATTTTGAATTTATTATCATGACGATTCATTTTGTTCTACTGCTATAATAAATCAGTTTTAATAAGCAGTTTGCTATTCATAGTCCGTATAGATGAGCTTATACTTTATAGACATGTCTGCCTAATACTACAATATATAAAGTTATTACTCGGCACCGGTAATTTATTTTTAGAGACCTGCTTCATTACTTATGAAAAATTTTGAAAGCAATTATATTTTGAGTTGGTAGATATGAAATTCTAGAGGACTTGCAATGAAAACAAGGAATATCGTAGAATATGCTATACTTTAGCAACGGGATATTATCATCTTCATATTACATTGCGAGTATGATAATAACGGTGCTACATGATTATTTTTATCCATAGCATGGTAAATACTTGTATTAATCCATTAAATTATAGATATTTTGTTACTTGAAGAATAAATAAAACTATGAATAAATGTAAAAATAATTGGCTATTAATACTAATCGATATTTAGCTATAAGACGATTTTGAAATAGACAGATATAAAACGTCAAATCATAGTTGGATAATCTAGAGACGACAATTGGCTACATTAGATCGATTAGCTTTGCACGCCGAAAGAAAGTTTTTATGATGGTTTAGTTATAATTTATTTATTACATAGGATGGCTATGAATTCAATTTTATGAAGCTTATGTTAATTTAAGTAATCGCTATGGTTTAAAATAATCAATTTTATTAGAATTACTTATTTAGAACGATTTCAATTAATAATCATTTCAATATAATCATTTATAGTCATTCTTGGAGCAAGAGACTAGAAAATTTACAATGAATTGCTCATACCAGCTCGGTCTTCTAATTTTTCGGATCTAGTATAGTTAAGAAACAATACGATTGGCATCTTCACGAATTGTGTCACGTATCGAATAATAAATGTCTTTAAGACAGTCCTACATTCTCAACAGAACAATTCATTTTAGCTGTTGATGTGCCAAATGGAGAGGTGTTAGGTACTTGGTCCCGTTTATGATCCGATTTGCTTTGCCAAGGAAGTGTTGAGTACGCATTAATTAGCGGTTGAAAGCTACAGATTGCTTACATATCGTAGCGGACAATGGGAGAAGTATCTATCCTTCTCGATATTTAAGCCTGATTGATACAATCTACGCAGTTTAGGTTGAATATCAAGTGTTATGAAGAATAACGATAATGCTAGATAGATAAAAAGGCTTGGCAAGCAGCATCAAGCGTGATACCATTTTATTTGCAGCTGTGAGATAAATAGTTTCAAATTCTCTGATGTACTGTACAGATCACTAAGATTGATAGTAAAAGAATCAATGTTATCGTACTAGACATAAAGAGGACTAGATTTTAATATGCATTACCCTTCCAGGTGACTGCAGCTGTAGTCAGGCAGAGAAAATCATCGCTATCATTCTGGAATTTAATCTTGTTTTCTGAGAGGTTAATCTCAGGTGTATACCGATTACCAATGTCCTGAGGAATATTTACAGGTTACAGCTACTAATATATCAGCCAATGGATGCAGTGTTTAGCCTATATTTTCAGGTCATTACTTTACTCATTCACAGGTTTTAATAAATTTTCATTCAGATTATAGTTTCATCTGTTTGTAGTAGAACTTGGCTAGTGGATAATAACCTTTTCGGTTCTAAATTAGCTGGTCGGGTTAGCAAGGGACTAGCACATCTGCCATTCACTTGTGATTTACTCGTATTAACTGTCCTATCTACAGATATAAATCGAGAAAAATCTGTTGGAGAATAAGATAATTGGCGTCGCACTTCTGGAGGATTTAGGTTTGTAATACCTAATTCAACGTTGCTTTGCTTATTTGGTGATGCTACAGTGCGCCCTAGACTATTCCAATGAGCAGGCATGCCTCCAGAGGAATTAGCTTTCCTAATTGTAGGCCTTTGAGCTAAGTCCATGGTCATCGTACGTCGTTTACCGGACGAATCAAAGATATTTGCTTTAGTTGGTAATTGCTTCTTTGGACTTTTAGTCTGCGTATAAGATTCATTATCGTTCGGTATATTTAGCACTTCCATGTTTGGTATACTACCATGCGGATTTTCGTCACCGTCATGTATGTAGTCGTAAATATCATCCAAATTATGACGTGATGTCCAACTATACATTCCATCATGGACCATAGGTTGATTTTCTAATGATTCTTTATCTCCAACGTCGATATTATCATCGAGAATAACATCATCTACAACGTCTTCTGGCCCTATTGCATCACTACAGCTCATGAGATTCCCTCTACCAATACTATGCCATTTTTCATCCGTTTGGATGGCATCGCCTCGTTCGATTGGATCGGTAACATATGTTATATCTTGATCAACTAAATGCTTCCTGGTTTCGTCTTCTTTAGCATGGTCAGTGGCACGTTTTTCTTGGCCGCCAATGCGAGTAAATTCCAATAATGAAACTTCAGGCCAATTTTCAAACTAGGATCAATAAGAAATTAAACAAGAATTAGGGTTCTACATCATCTAAAGCGAAGATAATGGACTCTTTCATTTTAATTGGATTCTTAACGTGCAGCTCGATATCTTCTGTTTATAGTGTGTTTATTCTAACAACTTAAGGGCATGAATTTCTTAATTTGACACTTAATACTCTCCATCTATTTAATTAGACTGTAACATCGATGAGTTAAAGGTATCGTTGTGAACTATTCCGTCAAACCTGTTTAAAATTAACATCATCCTGGCCAATACCGTCGAAAGGATCGTCCAAAGCATCAGATACCGCTTGTAGGCAGCCGAAAAGAAACGCAGTTAAAGTGGCAACATAATAAGCCGCCCAGTCAGAGCCAGCCTGTATTTGAGCAAGAATGAAAGTAAAATGAATTCTATCTCTTTTTCAATTATTACTAACTACAAGATATCAAAAGTTGTAATTACGGTTAGATTTACAACGTTGAAATATCTGAATTTTCTCTTCTATGCAGCTTTACAAAATTAATTTAATAAATCTACAAATAACGTCATAGCAAAATCAGGTAGCTATAAGAATTTAAGAGGATTAATCATCCTCTGTGAAGAAGCGTAGAAATAAAGGGTTAAGTTAGACGGTATTACGGATATTAGCTAGGTAAGTGTAAGTGTAAAATAGCGACAAATTATTTATTGTGCCAGTATAATCTGATAATAGCCATAACAAGCTGCTAAGTAGCCTATCCTTCTACTATAATCATTATCTTGGATCGTTAGCAATTACGAAATTTGGATAGCAAAAGCTTACGTAGTTCAATTTAGAAAAAAAATTTCAAACCACAGTGGTAGATATTTAGCCTCTCATGCTACTATAATCATCATCTTGGATCGTTAGCAATCATAGAATTCGGATAGAATAAGGTAGCAGATTACTTGCTATAATCGCTACGTTGTCTCTTAATACAGTAATGACATAGAACTAATCTAGCCTTTAATTTATTAAACCACTTCAAGAGGCAATAAATACAGTACACTATTTCTTCCCCAATTTATTCGACAACCTTACTTACTTTAATGCCAATGTAAACATAGGTTGGAGATAGCAAAATTGGCATCATGAAGATAAATACTTTGGTAAATGACATAATGCTGCGAGGTGATCGATATTCACGGATAATGCGAAGCTTTTCAAAGGAATGGCATATTAAGCTGGAAATGATAAAAAATGAGATAGCTAAATAAAATCACTATTGTCGACATATACGAGTATTTGCAGTATTTTAAGTAAAATACGACATGTACTTTAATCTTTGATTTGTATTGCTCTATTGCCTAGATTTTATTAATGCTAGTTAATAAATTGTATAGTATCTTACTTGTGATAATGGATTACTCTTGTACATAAAGGGCCAGCACCACAGAGTGGAGTATCTCGGATAATTTCATTACGCTCACTAAGGCTGCTAAGCAAGTGATAGATTGTCTAGATGCAAATGAAACATTATCAAATTAATTCTCCGATTCACGTAGAACAGTTAAATTTGCGCGATAATTGATAATACTGTCATACTCGTATATAAATATAAGTAACCACAGTATGATTGGTAATAACTATAGAAGTTTCTATCGCATCGCCATTAATTTTTTTATCTAGTCCCATCTTAAACAACTATATTAACCTGATAAATGATATTACTACTATCTCTATTCCAATGGGATCTACGGTAGGCCAATTAATACGACCAAGTCTAATGTATCACATTTCCATAGAATAGAATTGCTATTCTTGACTTTAAAGAAATTACTACAGTATAGTGTACACCTCATTACCCGTAATAAAGAGAGCCTTTCCTTTTCCTTTTCTTGCAAAAGGTATAGATGGATGCTAACGATAAGTTCTTGTAATCTTAGGGCGGTTGTCCGAGCAAAAGAATTTGGAAGGCCTAAAATATTTACCATGGCAAAATATATTAAGTACATCCTACTGAGCTTGTTTAGTTAGTTTTCGTCTTATTTAAAAATATAAGTATAATAACTTAACCTGCTGGTTTAGTCCAATTCTTATGACAGAAAAGTAATTCCATCAGGGCTGCTTTCATCTCTGCTAAATATTCTAAAACTCGTTCTCGACGCTGGAAGGTAGCTATAGGCAAAAAGGAATTAAGCAATTTTTGATGACTGCATAAGGGTAATACAGAGGAATTTTATACTAGTACTTCTTACCATTAATTTGAAAAGCTAATGGGAAGACGGTAGGACCAACAAAGGTTGTCATTTGAACATCAAAGTAAATGTCTAGGGGAAAATATGCTATCGTTATGATTATACTTGTGTTATAGATACTTGTTAGATTCTATAATATTATAAATCTTGTTGACGAAGATATTTTCATGGGTTAGTCAAAGTTACAGCTAAAGTTTAAGTACTTTAAGATAAACGTATCACTGATCAGTGTTTTCATCAATCAAAGATTAAGAGACTTGTATAGAGCAATATTCAAGATAGAATCCATTAATACGATGGAATTATTACCGTCACAATTCATAAATCGGGTTATTGTAAACATAAATAAAGTACAAAATAAGAATAATTTGCATCGTATGCTTTAAACAAAGCATAGATATGGTCACTGTAGTAATTAATCAGCAGATCTATAAGAGACGCAAAGCTAGCTAGATTTGGAAAATCAACTATTGATTGCTTCTATGATAAACGTCTCTCCAGTCAGTGTCAGAGAATCAAGCAGAAATGTAAGCTATCGAGAAATCCTTTTACTGTTTTGGAAGGATGAGATTTATTCGCGCCAGAATAGGGTTAAACTACTGTAGTATTCCGTACCAATTAAACTAATATCTGATTTCATCACACTACAAATAATATAGTGCAAAATTTTGTCATGGGATGAAAATCTATTCTTTCGGGTTCAATATCAGAAAAATATTACAATTGGAAAGGCTGATATTTCAACATCAGTATAAGAAATTATTATAAACAAAAAAATAAAAGATCCGATAAATAAATAAACCAGTGGCAATTATGACTATCTTGCTTACGAAATCTCTGGCATATCCAAGTTGATAGAGCAGCTAATGCCATTAAGTAAAAAACGACAATGTTCAAAGTATGTAGAAAGGAACGAAGAACCTAACATGATCAAATTGAGATGAGGATTAGAGTTTTTAACCGGAAAACACGTAAAATTGAAAACATTGGATAGAATATCTTTCATTTACACTAGCATAATTAGGCAACAGACTTAACGATAATACAAGATTTTAAGCTGTACTTTTAAAGACCATATGGTTCTATTTTTGTTTTTAAAACTATTTATTATCTAATTGCAATATTACTTAAAGTACTATTTAGCTTGAGAAACTTTAATCATACCGACGAGATCGAGCTAAACAGTTATCTATCACTGTGTTTGTACTATAAAAAGAAGAACGTCAGAGATTTTTGCGAATGATGATTTCTTTAAGCAGATTTAGGCTTAACAACGAATAGGACAGATCAGGAAGTAGAATACGGTCGATAGCCGATAAATATTTATAATCATCATATTATGTATAAATTACTATATATTAGACAGCGAATATATTATTCTTTATAAAATTTTACGAAAGAGAAGAAGCGCCTTAATCCTAAACAGTTATCGACTGAAGATGGGAGATTATTCTTTAACTCATTATGGCTGACTCTAAGTAATATTATAGCCTAAGAGTTATTACCTTAGTGGTTAGAAAGTGCTTCTTGATCCTTTCCAAGGAGAGCCATTTCCTACGATCACGTAAAGCAGCACATTTCTCCAGACGCAACCTACTAACGGCTTTCTCAAAACTATCTTCAATGCCTACACTTTTAATATTCCGTTTGATAGGCATGATAATTATAATTTACCTTTATACATCAAATTCGAACTAATTCTACATTAGTATAATATCGTATGCTTAAGGTATTTTAGTACAACACTTGAGATGTAATTGACTAAAAATTTTCTAGGGACGTGCTATTATATAATTTGCCTGTTGTCATTATTCAAGTGATTTGATAGGGTAGTAGCATCGGTAATGGGTTGCATTTGGTCGTTGTATTAGACAGTACATTTATTAGGATTTGGCTAGGATATCTAGTATGATGGATAGATTAATTAATTATAAGACTACTGACAACGCCAAATTCATGAATTATTCATGAATAATGGTAAGTAATAGATGTATATATATAACTAATAGAGGAATTAAAATATAGTATATTTTATAATAGCGTACATTATGGTCAACATATGTTGTAGTTTATATATGACTTTTGTCAATTTCAAGAAACTTAGGCGTACTAATAGCTGCCGTATAATTATTCTTCTCCTCTATGTTACTGATATTAATTGACCGAATTTGAGACTTTCAATTATATATCGTTTCTGTTTACCGAGGTTTAAATAATCTTTCAATAACAAAACATCAAACAAGACCGTTGCCGATAGGAATTAAAATCATCCCACAGAATTATGCATACATTTACTTGTAACATATGATATAACTAAGTAATTGAATATAATGAAAAGATATAATGACTATACTATAGGTGTATATGTTGGCTTACCGAAACTAAACAATATCTGTCAGTAATTTCCTTCGTAGGAGAGAATTAGATGGAATTCAAATTGAGTATGAGATATATAGAATCTACATGCTAAATGCTTGTATCAGTATGATAAAACATGATAAATTCAAATTCAAATTGTTTACCGATCAGAATTAAGGAAATTTTCGACCATTAGTACTAAATGTAATTTTCAAAATTCCTCACAATTTCATGATGTAAAATATGAAGGATGCCAGATTACCAAACTATCACTAAATATTGTTTACATACAATACTATGACGGTAGAATGCAAACTGGGATAGGATTTGAGTTGGCTATATAAATAGATTATACATATTGCCATATCCGTAACCTATTACAGAATATATGGCTAACTCTTACGTAAGATTGATCACGGATAAAAGTAAATAAAGACGTATTGATTTATGTACAATTGAACATGTTGTAATTGCAAAATTCGCAGTTCATATAGGATTTCAAGATTGGCTATATTAAATGCTAGATAATATTATGTATTACTAACTATTTAATATATGATAACCCAGATTAATTTTGTTTTATTTTAACAGATGCCGCTTAAATTTTAAACTTCATCACTATCTATTGAAATAGCGCAGCTCCACTTAGTAGAGATTAATGTCCACGATTTAAACTCAGTGATATAATAGCAAGCAGTATAAGAATAGAGATCACACCCATGTAGTTTGGTGCTAAGCTGATAATTTATTTCAATTTCTACACTAGAACTACTGTGTATTATAGATTGTAGAAGTCAAAGATCAAATATGATCTGTACAATCTTTCCGATATCGATTCTGAAAATTATGTTTTAAGATACAGCATAAATAAAATTCTGTACTCACATTATTTTTTAAGGTATTTCTTAATGTTTCTTCTTAATCTGTAGAGAATATGGTCCTTACTTTTAAATATGCTTACCTTAAAATAGGTGCATTCAATATTTGAAGTATGGTATATCGGTATTAATGCACTCATTTACACTAACTTTAAAGTCAGATATTATAATACTCCGTTAAGCAAACTAAGCCTGCTGCCAGAGAATTATTGATTGTCGTTGCATTAACAAATTAAATTACGAGTATATCTATAATATGTAACTACGCTAGTCGAATTGGCGAGGTAAGTATCATAAAATTACGGACAGGGCCAAATGTAGATTCTGTATTTGATTACTGAGTTGAATTAACTTAACCTGAGATCTTAATAATTTTCACTTGCTGTAAAATATCTTAAATCAGGTATATAACTGAACGTTGATTTCAGGCCACAAATAATGATCAAGTATAACATAATCTGATAGATATTTTAAAGCATTAAGTAAAATATTAAATAAACTAAATAATTTTCAAGTTATAATACTGCCTTAAGACTGATTGATGTATTGTGCTAATTTGATCATTGCCAGAGCTAATCATGAGCCAAAATAATGTAAGAATTAATCCAGGATTACTCTTAGCTAGTTATGTCAACAACTTCATGTATGGGCTATGTATATTCTATCATGTTATGCTACTGTAAGCCTATCTTGGACGATAGAAAGTGTATTTTACTGAAAGTGTCTAAATGAACTATAAACATAAGTAAGTCTAGCCTCAACAACATATGATGTAGCAGTAATGTCAAAAATAGGCTACCGTATTGTACCATCATCGGATAGGTGTGATAGTTATTGATTCTAATAGGAGGAAATATGAGCCATCTGTCAATATATACATATATATATTATAGGATTCTGATATAGCCTACTGAAGTATATTTTTAGTGTAACCAATAGGTACAAGCTCATATAGATTTCTTTTTAGCTAACAATGTCAGCAGTGAGTAGCTTGAGTCAGTTACAGAATATTCTTGTGTGCAACACTGTAGAGAACATGGGCTGTTGAAAATATCTTTCTCTTGTTCCAAAATAGTTAAATTCGCGTAAAAATTCCATCTTAGTAACTTATAATTCTAGCAGAAAGTCAACAATGTAATATCACTATCAGCTACTAGAAACGATAGAATTCTAGTTTAGTAATGCCTCTAGTTGTGTACAGCTAACAATTCAGCAATATATACTGTATTCTCTTAGAGTTATTAATAAAGACCTCACAAATATTTAACACAGAGTTTAGAATTAAAATGAACGGACGAAAAGCATCACTCTTTCACTTACGAGATGATATGTGGTATTTATGTAACAAGCTTGCAGACAACTTCCGATACACTTACCCATTTGCTCAATAACTGTAAATTCTGCATCAACTTTTCTTAATAGCAGGCTTATCATGTTGTTATATTTGCATCAAATAGTCCTCTCTCAATTACTTTAGGTTGAATTTATTGGCACTATTTTTCGTGTGATTACGAGCTAATCCATGTGATGATAAATGATCAGTAATTAATTATGTAATGAATTATAAGTCGTAAACCTTTATTATACAGCTAATAACTTGCTAGCCTTCTTCTAGCCGTTAGCTCCATAGTTATAGTTGTATGTTATCTTTATTATTTATTGAAAATCGTAAGAGTAGTCAAGTATGCAAAGTATGCAACTTACTTTAGAATTTATTCTCTGTGAGTTGTTTCTAATGTAGTCAGAGCTATTAAACTATTTGCATGTACAGACTGAACTCTATCCCAAATTAGAAGAATACATGACGAGTTAATTAAAGTAAAAAATTGGAGTTTATTGGATAGCGTAATTTTAGAAAGTCTCATATGTATAAGATAGACTGTATCACAGGACTCGCTTGCTCTTAGTCAGTAAGCAAGAAGCGGTGGGGTTTAATATTAGCTACTATAGAAGACGTGAGAGGTAATTCGTTATGGCTAATGATGGAATGTAATTTATGTGCGTGTATTGATAGTCTATTCTGTAAAATTTTCTACAAATTGAAGTAACAAAATCAGCAATTCTATCTATCACAGTATCTTATATTACTATAATTAAAACAGCAAAATTACAGCAATAGAAAAAATATGGATAATTCAATACTATTTTTAAGAATGCTATGGATATTTTTACTGCTTACGAGCTAGTCAAACGCACGAAAAGAATTGGAATAGATCCATTTTATGATCTGTATCAATTGCTAAATATAAATATAGAAGTATGGGCTCAGAGATAAGGCTAACAGTGTGATTTTATGTATGTTTGTTAGCCATATAAATCCTCTAATTTCCTACATCTTTTTCTATAAATTGCTTAGTCTGTATCGTATGACAGCGAAGAATTCAATATAATTTTCAAATATGGTAACAAAAGTTTCCGACATCCATATGACAAAGTATACAGCTTAGCTGTTAAAAAGGTTTAACCACAGAAATTTTCTATTTCCTGGTTAACATGGATGTGCTAAAGATTACAGTAGGAATTGCATCAGCTAATGCGATATCCACAGATATTTAGGATAAAAGATCATGAAAGTCATAGGCATTATGAGAAATATTCCAATGCTAAAAATCGAATGTTGCTATGAAATGGAAATCGTTTAATTCATTATGATCGAATATTATCCCACGATATGCGACCGATAGTACCAAAATTTAGTGAGCTTGTATGTCAAGTTTTTGTTATTCATTTTATAAAAAAATGAAACTTTAATTAGGCTAAATATTTTAACTAGTCAACATAATTGATCTAAGGTACCGGATTAAATGTCAGCTAATTTTCCCAATTCCTGTTAAAATTGGGCAAATTGAAAAAAATGTGCTGGCTAGGTTTTCCTTTTGTTTTCACGGTAGGAAAGAGGTTTTAAATTTGGGAAAGGATATTATTTATTAGGCATGTCATAAGTCTAAGCTATTATTTTTTGTCGGTTGCACCATCAGTGGTGATTTAATTGGAGTTCGCTAATGCACACTTTCTTCTCCCATATATAATTAATAGATACGCTTTGGAAAGTAAAGAAGATTGAATGTAGTTAACCCTAAAATACAAAAACTTCATTTAATTCATATTTGTTTTGGTAGTCTTATCAAATTGAAAAAGTAAATTATTGCATGATTTAGGTTGCATTACAGTGTGAAGCAACCTATACATATTCTACTGGATTATTACTATTATGTAAAGTAGCTGTGGGGAGAATATATGTTGCCTATTAAAGCATAGGCTATGCTCTTATGCCGATATGTATAGTCATAGGGATAAAAGAAATCCATGTGTTTAGTATATGAATAGCGAATGAAATGGAAAGGATATTGAGACGGCTGCAGAAATTGACTATTTCTAAGTTTTTTAAATCATTTAGTGCAAATCAAGAATACGATATGCCTAAGCTGCAAGGAAAAGCTAATCGCTTTAAATGTAGGCCTTTGTCTTTTTCTGTACTGAATAGTTTTTTCCTTGGTTAGAATTTAAAAGAACTGTGCAATTATTCTATTCCGTATGCTTTAGATGTAGGCGCGGTAGAACTGGATCCTAGCGGAGATGTTAAGCTTGAGAATGGTGTCATTATACCATTAGGCGATATCAAGTGTAGAGGCTACCTGAAAAATGTCAATATGTATCTTAACATTTTTACATAAGCTTGGATTGATTTTGTTTGCATAATTGAATTTTTTAGCTTTCCTTAACTGTTTCATATGAACAGGTACGTCGTATATAATGTGGAGCAATTGCCGATGAATTACTTGGATTAGATCATATTAAATTACTTGATGTTGTGGAAGATTAAGTAAGGTAACAGTTAAGCACTCGCAGTATAAAGAGCGAGCTATTGCATGAATATAGAGTAAAGCGCTATGTGACTTGGAATTATGTGTCATCTACATGAAGATATCCTCGTCTGTTAGGGGCCTATTGCTATCGCTGCATATATATGCATAGACTGTAAGTAATAAAAGTGGATTTTTATGTAGTGCTATCTGCAATCAAACGGAGAGTTTGTAGAATTTTAAGTTTTTAGCAATCAATACAGTATGAAACGTTTTATGGGGGAAAAGCGCGGTTACATTGGGTTTGTAGCTAGTATATAACACATATATATATATAAATATATATATATATATGCTACTCTATATACAACCTATAAGCTAAATAAATGCGCCATTTTTTGTAATCCCATCACTGGCAAACGCAGAGTGAGATGGATAAGCATACCCATCACGTGCAGAATCAGCATGAAGTGTACTGTAGAGAGTTCAGTAGATGGTTCTCGTCTATTTTTTATAACTGCCAAATTACTTTTCACAAGCAGTTTGAACCTCGAAATCTCTGACATCCCTTGCATTAGCCACTGATTCCTATGTAGACCAATTGCCTATTCTCATGAAACACAACAATCCTCAATTAATTCTTTTGCTTGCTTGTAAGTGAAAATACATTACGTCATCGATTGTTACTACTATGTTTTCCTTGCGAAATGGCCATGTCATGTGATGCGCTTGATTCTTCATTTTTACACGCTACTATAGTATTTGTTTTGTTTTGTATATTGCTCGCTTGCTGCTTCAGGGTAGAATCAGTAGAACTCTTGTAGCTACAGTATCATTAGCCCAAATAGAAAATAACTACATGTCATTCTCCATTGCAACTATTTCAATTTTGCAAGTTTAGCAATCCGCAACAGGCCAGACTGCATGATCTGCTTGACAAATTTTAACGACAGCGTTGACTCGAGTCACATGCCTCTCATGCATGTCATTTTCCGGTCATGTCGTGGTCTCATGAAATCGTGTGACTGTATTGCCATTACGTCACAGTACAGTACAAGTTGTTACTTTTGAATCGAGTCGTACTGTACACTGTACACTGTACAGCAGGATTAACTTCAGTGGCACTCAGGAAAATAAGCTGTGTATCCTGTACTACTGTACAGTACAGTACAATACCGTACAGTACGGTACCGGCGACAGTCTACAGTGCACAGTACAAAGATCAAACTCCCCATACTGTACTGTACTGTACCAGCATTGTCATCATGATGCCGATGTCAGACTCGTCCAAGCAGTCATAACGTCCGCGGCTTCACCTTCATCCGGTGGTTGCGATAGCAATACTTGATCCAGACTGATTGGTGTTGAGGCAAACTGCAAAAATGGACAAGAAAGCTGCTTTTAATTTACTCATTTCCATCGTTGCCCTCTCTTCCTTGGCAGATGCTTTTGATCAGTGCAATATCAAGAGCTTACCACATCAATTTCAAGTGGATCGTCTTAGCGGGTAGGATTGCAGTCATGAAATTGTTATTTTTGTAGTGTCTTTTCAATCTTGCCTGCCGATAGGCCTTTCACCATTGCTCATTGCTCAGTCAGGGGATATCTTATGCATACAGATGTCTGTATTGATCTTAGCGTGGAGTAAAAATTCTGTAGGGAATAATACATCCATTGAAATGCTTAAATACTAGCGTAGTATAGGGGCAATCGACTGCAATGAATGCAAGTGGCCAATGGACGAGTTAGAACTTGATATTGCTGTACAATTATATAATACGATCTTGTTGGTAGCTTACTTGCTGCAGTTGTACTTTGCAACGTAAGTCGTATTGTCACCTAAGTGGTCGCTGCAAATCCTACTCTTAAATAGAATACTGTAGTTACGCTTAGGCATGGACCTGATAGGAACCTTAGTAAGGTAGTTTCCTTTCTACAAAATGACGAGTCCCTAATGATTGATGTACTGTACTGTACAATATACAATATTGTCGACTTGACATCATTGTACGTTCCTTCCACTTGGGCTAGTGATACGATGCCGTTATTATCTCAAGATTGATGCTATCAACGCAATTGCATGTAGAAACTTCTTACAAATCGAAAGTAAAGTCGTTATCCCTTCAATGCTTTAATATCTTAAATTCATTCCATATGGTGACAAGATACAATTGCTAGGAATGTCGAACTATTCTAGTAGTTTTATGCTTTATAAATTGTTGCTATTGACCGACATACTACCAAGTGTCGTTCATAGCAAAAGTTCTTGCATGCTTTTGATTGTCCGTAGATTTTTACATTGTAACGCATTCAATTTTACTCTATCCTATGGAATACAAGAGTAACGAAAGTTAAAAGCAGTCCAATAATCCATCAATTGTATTTCATGTCAATGACTTGCAGATTAAAAGTAACCCCTAAAATATCGAAATTTCTTTGAACTTTAGATTATGGCAAGCTCATTCTGAAGATCACTCATTTTTTATCAACCTGTGTGGTCATGGAATGGGCAACACCAATTGCCCACCATCATCTGCAATATGTAGAAAAGGCACATTAGGGAAAGCCATCAATATCGGCTCTTATACTGATCAACCAACAGTTCAAATAGCTAATGGTGGTTATCGATTTGGATTTGCCTTGGTCTATTCTAGCAATCAAAAATGCGAGATGAATGGAAATGCAAATATGAATACTAGCATCGCTTTTACATGTGGGAAGACGCTAGTAAGTCATCGGTTCTTACAAATGATCACTCACTGTGATAAGTGCTCCCTATAGCAATACTCTTATAAATTAGTGTACTGTGTGGGTTACAGCAAAAAGATGAAAATAAGGTTTAGTATACTGATCCTGTAGCTTCTACATTCAGTCCAAATGCTATCATTGATGACTGTATTTGTTGCCGATAAAACGTGTAAAACTGTAATATTCCTAGCTGTAGGCTACTTATTGACGTGTATGTCTTTATGAAATTATTACTATCAATATGACCACATCAACGAATTTCTATACCCGAAATGATTATGTTTCAATTCTATGGTAATCGATATTATTTTCCTTATTAATTGTAATAACTCTGAATTGGTTGTATGTGATAGGGATCGCCTGAATTTATAGAAGAAAACAACTGTGTTTACTATTTTAATTGGAAAACTTCTGCCGCATGCTATTCTTTAAATTCCCCATCTTCGACAGAAATACCATGCTATATTTATGATGATCAAAATCGGAAGAGGGATCTATCATTACTAATGAAAGAGTTTGGTTAGTACCAAAAGTGTAATGGATTTAATTTAAATTTAAATTTTAATATGATTGGACAGTCAATTGTACTAGAGCCTTGTATAAAACTTTTAGCGTGTATTATTGCTATAATAATTAGTCAATAAAATTTACTTAAAAGTTTCGTATATATTCTTGATTGACAGAATGCTCATTAAAATGAAACATTTTTATGCGTTGTAGGTGCTTATGCTGTTAAAAGCCAATCTCAGAAGAAATTATACATAAATGTCTGTAGAAATATACAGGCTACGCAATCATCCTCGCTACAAAATTGTGGTTCTCTTTCATCCGCCTGTGTAGTGTCCAAAAATTCACAGGATGGTTCTACAATTGTTGATGGCATTGGTCAACCTTCTGCTAAGCTAACCTTTGTAAATCAGCAAATCAAGCTAGTTTATGAAAGTAAACAAAATTACAGCCAATGTAGTAATAAAGCTATTGTCACCAACGTTTCCTTCCGATGTGGTAAAAGCAAGGTTAAAATTTTGTATAATATAAATTGATCTGCGTTATTTTCTTGTATATAACAGTTCTTGTAAATTAAATTTTATAGTATACTATTTTCTAACCCTAATTTTTTCCAATTATGAATAAGCTATGCGAATTCATTGTCAGTGTTAAATTAAATTAATTATTGGCTGTATAACGTATAGGACAATAATGGTCCAACTCTGATACATGAGTCGCAATGCCGATATGACGTTGAATGGATTACTGAATTGGCATGTCCCATGGAAGATCTGATTAGTCATAGTTGTATTCTAAAGACTAATAATGGCTACTTCAATTTACTGTCATTACGGAATCAATCATCCGATTACCAAGTTACGGTTGTTACTTCGAATGCTCTGAAATATACATACTTAATCAACGTATGCGGGCCAGTTAAATCTACCAACTGCGGTTATTCTGCCAATGGCGATTCATCCAAACCGACTGCGGCATGTCAAGTTGTTGCTGGGCAGCACAATGTAACTCATCGATTGGGCAATTTCAACGATATGGCTCTCAGTTACATTGACGATAAACTCAGCCTTACCTATTACGACGGCTCACCTTGTCACGATGGATTTAAGCGTTCGACTGTGATTTCATTCATTTGCGATCACTCAATTAAGATTGGCAGTCCTCAATTTGTACAGGAAAATCATTGTACATATTTCTTCCGATGGGCTACCAAATATGCTTGTAAAGCAGACAGTATCGATTTGATTAATGAAGATTTCACATCTGGACTATTCTGCTCGCTTTATGACAATAGCACCAATTTCATGTATAACATGATTCCATTACGACTATCAAACAATAGATATAATCTAACTGTTCCTCAGCATAAATTTCAGTTAAATATTTGTGATCAGGTTTGGGGTGGTACTTGCAACAAATCTCATCCAAAGTAAGCTATTATTTCAATCAATTTTTCCCCAAGTGATTTTCTTTTTTTGTCAATTTTAACCAGGTGTAAGAATAATTCGTTATTGAACTTCTATTTCAGTTTAGCACACCCAAATCCGAGTGCTTGCGATTCAGAAATAATTATTGGTCAGACAAGTGGTCACGATACCTTGGTTTATGAGCAAAATCAAATCCGTTTAAAATATAATTCTGTTCAAGATAATCGAAAGACAACCATAAACTTTTTATGTGATATGAATTTCGACTCAAATTCTGGGAAGGTATCATATGTTCAAGAAACGACAAACCATAATTACATTTTTAACTTTGCAACGCCTCTGGCTTGTGGTCCTAAGCCTATTTCATGTATAACATCGGATACTAAAGGAAATTACTACGATTTGTCGGATTTGTATTTATCAAGTGGTAATTGGGACGCTGTTGATGGTCGCCCAGACGAAGCCCATTTGCAATACAAGATAAATATGTGCGGACCAGTAAATATTGGTAATTTGCACTGCCCAAATATTTCTCATTTAGGTGGGTGTCAGGTTGATTCCAAGAATAATCGCGCCTTTAGTATGGGAGTTATGACTTCCAATCCTGAAGTAGTAAATGGAAACTTAATTGTTCGTTACGTCAACGGTGATATATGTCATGGACGCTTTAGAAGAAGTACCAGGGTTGAATTAATATGTTCAGATACACAGGTAGTTAGTGATTGTACACGTACTTTGCTATTTTTGTTATGTATCTATCTTGTTTACGTTATCATTTATGAAATACTATGCTCTATCAAACTTGTATAGGGATCTTTGGTGTTTATTAGAGAAACTCCTTCTTGTGAGTACATTTTTACCTGGACTACGCCTAGTGCTTGTCCAGTCAAGAAATTAACTGGTAACAATTGCCAGGTAGAAGATCCATTAACGCAAGCTAGTTACGATTTGCGTTCACTTGCTAGCAGCGGGAAGGATTACAAGATAACAATGTCTGCGAATAATTTTTACTCCATTAATGTTTGTCGGAAATTAGTGAATCAATGTGGTACTAATACGGCTGGCGCATGCTTAACGACAGGTATGCGTTCAAATTGTTTTTTTACAATTTTCTCCGTAGCCTTTAATTTAAAATCTAGACAATTATTGCGAGCATTTGTACGTTTAACAATTTAATGATAATAAATTGTAACTGTATTCCTTATCGATAGGCCAATCTTCCCGATCGCTTGGGACATTCAATGAACAACTCATTTTCAATAATGGGTACTTACAACTCAACTATACTAACGGTGGTAGCTGTCCTAGCCATGCCGGTATTAAAGATTCCACGATACTAAAGTTTTTTTGCGATGAAAGTATAAATGGTGTGGGCGTAGGCCCTCAAGTAATAAAAGGGAAAGCATCTTGCGTGCATGAGTTTCATTGGAATACATCAATTGCTTGTCCAATTGGTAATTTGGTAGATTGTGCTTATGTTGACGTAGATAAGGGGAAGCAATATGATTTAAGTAGTCTATCTAAGACCACCGGAAACTGGATTGCAACTGTTGTTAGTCCAATGAAGAACAATTGGATTTTCCAAATCAATGTTTGTCGATCGGTTAATAATGTTAACGGCTGCAAGAAATCTTCAGGAATATGTCTCACTGTTACAGCACCAAATAAGAATAGGTAAGATATTTCATGATAATCACGTGTAGTAGTTAGTAAGCAATAAATTAATTTTAAGACTTGCAAGTACGAATTTTTAAAATATCTTGTAAGACTTTGCAACTCGATTTACCAGAGATCATATCTCTAAGTAATCTTTGTAATCGTTACAACTTTGTGTAAATTTTAAAATGATTCCACTATTTTACTTTCATAACTTTTATTCATTAATGATTTTTTCATTGGTCAGTACTTACAATCTAGGCAGAAATAAGAGGGGTCCTTATGTTAAAGGTGGTACATTATATTTAGAATACACCGATGGAGACGCATGTCCTGATGGTACAAAAAAAAGAAGTACACTAATAACTATGGTGTGCAAAAAAGGAAAATTTGTAAGTCTAACAGATAGTTTTATAACATGCCTCCAATTTCTTTCAGTATTACGTAGGAGATACGAAATGATTAATAGGATATCTAATCTGTAGGGACCGCCACTGTTTGTCTCCGAAGAGAATCAATGCAACTATAATTTCATTTGGATACATGAAGCTGCGTGTGCGCTATCACTTAGCGTAAGCGGAAACTGTACCGCTGTTAATCCATTATCTGGATTTGTATTTGATTTTAATCCACTTTATAGTATTTCGAGCGGCTATAATGTTACTGATGGAAGGGACCACGTTTACAATTTAAATGTGTGTGGAACAACCTCTGTGTCTAGTTGCGGAAACACTTCCGGCAATTGCCAATTGAAGAAAAATGATCAAAAGTTTCACTTTAACGGAGGCAATGCTAATGCACAATTGTACTATGAAGATGGTGCAATATACCTTAATTATACTGGTGGAGATTTGTGTCATCAAGGAAGATATCGTCGTAGTACAATAATTTCATTTGTGTGCTCAAGTAACGCAGGCAAGGGTCATCCAGTTTATGTAAGCGAAACAAATAATTGCACTTATTACTTTTCTTGGCCTACTCAATATGCTTGCGAGCAACAAGTAGAGTGTGTTGCTATAAAACCTGATGGGTCTTCAGTAGATTTATCTCCATTGATTAAATCTACAGACAACTGGGAAGCTGTAACGATCGGAGGCCAAAATGGCAGCTATTACATCAATTTGTGTAGGCCTTTAAACCCAATCAGTAATGTTCGTTGTCCGCCTGGATCTGGAATTTGCCTTAAGAAATTGGGTACAGATCCACCGCTAAGTCTTGGCAGACCTTATCAAAAGCCCACAATTGCATCGGATGGAACAGTAATACTAAATTATATCAATGGCAGTCGCTGTCCATCAGATTCAAGCAAGAGACTGTCAGCGAAGATTGTATTTTCATGTCAACAGGGAACTCTTGGCAGTCCAGTCATAGCTGAACTGCCTCATAATTGCCAATACGTATTTCATTGGGCAACATCAGTTGTTTGCAATAATATTGTCAGCAACAATAGTACCTGTTCCGTATACGATCCAGCTTTAAAATTTAATTTCACCCTTAGCCACCTCACACTTTCGGATAATAATTATGTTATTAAGAGTGGCAGTAATACCATTGAGCTGAATGTTTGCTCTCCTGTAAATGGTCAAACCTCTAGCAGCACTTCTGGCTGTGCAAATTCTGGTGTATGCCTTCATACTCCTTCGAAAAATATCTCATTAGGTTTAGCGACTAGTAGGTCATTAACGTATAGTAATAGCTTATTGATACTAAAATACACGAATGGAGAAGTGTGTGCATCCGATAACACCAGACATTATTCATCAACGATATTTTTTGTTTGCGATAGAAACGAGATAAATAGTAAGCCGGTTTTAATGAAATTAATGGACAAGTGTTCCTATCAATTTGATTGGAACACACACTTTGCATGTCCAATACTTTCTCAAAATTGTATGATCAAGAGGGATGGCAAAATTTATGACGTTAGCCCATTATCACAAATAACTGGTAGCTGGAAAATTACCGATTCATCTTTTAACCAATACTGGATTAATTTATGTCGTCCTATCGTAAATGGGCCTCCTGGTTGTTCCTCAAATGCTGCAATTTGTAAATTAGGATCTACCGAAACACAAGCAACTGAATTAGCTTTCACATCATCGCAAAAAATAGCACTCAGTGGTGATAGCAAAAAATTGTTAGTATCTTACACAGGTGGTAAAAGCGTCTGTCCAAAATCGAGCGTCGATGTTGCATCAGTAGTAATAGAGTTTTCATGCGGTTCTGGCATTGGAAAGCCAAGTTTTTTGAGATTCGATAAAAATAAGTGTACATTTCACTTTACTTGGAGATCTCATGTTGCTTGCCCTAGTACTCGATATCAAGCGTCTGAAAATAACTGTATCATATCAGGAAAAAATGCTGCTAGTCCTTCATTTAACTTTAACGTTCTAACGAAAGTGCAGCAGAACTGGAATGCTACAGAAAGTAGAAGTAACGGAGATAATTACATTTACTTCCTTAATGTTTGCCATAATCTAAATCCTCCTCAAAATGTTAATCAGTGTAAGAGTGGATCAGTTTGCCAAACAAAAACCACCGGTTTCCGACGTAAGATTGGAGGTCCGAATACATCACAAAATCGCAAGTTTTACGTTGATGGTGATATTATTGAAATGCACTTACCAACAAACGAAAAATGTGGCAAAGATAAAAACAAAAATGTTGCAACTATCATTTTATTTAGCTGTGCTGTTCAAAATTCTTTGGTAAATGATCATTATGAAAAATTAAAAAGTTGACTGTACAATAGAGATAGTAAATTTGGTTAGCTGACTTTTATTGATTATGTCGTATAAGTAAATCTTTATTCCAATTTTTTAGGGTAGCCCAAAATTTCTTTATGAATCGGGAGACTGTAAATATTACTTTGAATGGTCTACGTCAGCTGTATGCGAAAGGTAAGCAGAAATAGAAGTTCTATACCTCACATTTTTTGTAGAATAAACAGAAATTTACAATGCCACTTTTGATTAGCGTACCTGCTCCACAAGGAGGAATTGATGGTGGAATCGTAGCTGCTATTATTGTTTCGATTGCTGTGGTAGCCTTATTTTTACTCTTCATTTGTAGAAGGGAACGAAGGTACCGTATTCGTACATATGGATGCGTGTAAAAATGGTGAAGTTTGTATAATAATCTTTTTTCGTTAAAAAATTTATAGACGCAAATTAAAACAAATGGTCTTGCGGGTTTCCCCGGATGGTTACAATTATGTACCTGTAAGTTGCAAGATAGACACGATACCCAACATTGATCGAATGACTACTCTGATTGTGTTACCAAAATTCGCGCTAATAAATTGTTCCGTATTGATGCTTTATATAGGGAAATGATGGATCTTCAGATAGGCTACTTTCTCGTGAAACTCGAAGATACCAAAGGGACGATGATGACGATTTATTAAATATTTAATTAGCTGCTTAATTTACTGTTTGCACAAACTAAGTTCACGGATGTACGTATTTCTAACGTAAGAAATATTGTCTTAATTTATATCCAATTGCTAACGTTATGTAGCTACAAATACGATGTACAGTGAAGTAAAAATACCGTTTAATACGTTTTATAGGTGCGTCTATAAGATGTACTGAGTATCGTCAATACTATTTTGATCGATTCGCAACTTTCGATTTTCTGACAGTATTTCACAGTTGGAAATATTCCTTTACTGGTAAGGAATTTTGAAGCAGTAAAAATAACACTTTAGCACTGTATAGCTGTTGATTCAATACGAACTAACGTTCGTGGTGCTTTAAAGGCAGCCCGCGAGTCTTTTATATTTAACGATCCAGATCAGTAGATAAAATGGATTTTATAAATATCATATAATGCGTACTATTATCTGCCCAATTGTACGATTCGCTTATTATTTTGTAAGATAGCTTATGTATATGGATAGTTTTAAATTTTACAATTTATGTTACAATTAGCCTTGAACATAATGTTGTTTTATTATGCTAATGGCTGTTGGAAAGATACGCGAGTATTAAAATTTCATGCACTATAATTCTTCATGTTTATGAAATATGACAAGCTACTTGTGTGTACTTCTGCATGATAAAGCAGCACATGGCATTTCAATACCGCGCAACTATAGTATGTTGTTTTATGCTAATCATCAATCATTGCAATGTACGATGGAGTTCAATCATGGATTGATTTCTTCTCTATCGTAGACATATCGTAGGCATTGCTATCGGCCTGCCAGGTAGGTTGCAAACTTAACCAGGAAGGTAGTAGAATGGCGTGAGATATCAACGTGAAAGTATCTTGCATTGCAATTACTAAAGGTACACTTGTGCAGGCACATGGTTTAGTCGATTTCATGTCCAATTCAAATGCAGTAATTCTCTTCTCATCCTTGTGAAGTTGTGCTATGTTAGGCTATGTGAGGGGTTTTGACACGTCGTCGTGCTATGATAGCCTATGTATGGGTTTTTTTTTTACACGTTACAGCGGCATTGACGAAGATTGTTGGTACTCGACTACGTATACCACGTCGCCTGTGATGTGCAGATTTACCTCTTTCTACCCATCACTCTATCCATGTAACCTAAGAAGAAAGCACACAAGTGCAGCACGCTTGACGACTCAGGGTGAACTGATTAGAGATAGGGTTATATTAGCAATCACTTTATTATTCTTTTTTGAATGGTTTATGACTTTAGTAGGCTACTATCGATCATCGATGTAGATAGAGATGAGTCTAGAGGGTGGCATTATTTGATGCCAGATATGTGGTTGTGTTTTTTTTGCATTGGAATAACAATGACGTCATACAGTCATGGCTGCGTGTTCCAAGTGTTACACTCGCAGAAGAGGTTAAACACACGACTACTGGAGAAAATACTGGAAAATTGCTCTTTTGGTATACTCTATTTTGCAAATAGAGGTGCTGTAGAATAATGCATTCATAAGATGGACTGCCATGATTGATGTATATTAATTGGCATAAGAGACCAATGATCAAGTGATATACGACGCGATATCGACGTAGCATTTCCTTGTGGATTTCTAGTTTCATGTTCTGTACAGTACGAAGGTAAAGAAGATCCAAAAGCCTCCATTGCGCTGTTGACCAGTAAAAAGCCCATAGTGCAGTATTGTCCATGGTGCATGTATCAACACTCTTGTACCAAAAGCCTCCAATGCGCTTTTGACCAATAAAACGCCCATAGTGCAGTATTGTCCGTGGTGCATGGTGCACGTACCAATACTCTGTTACGTGGTACTAGTGTCGTCACTTCGATCAGGAGGATCACACTTCAAGTAACGTCACTCTACAGTACTGTAGTAAGGCACAGTATACAGTAGTTAGTATTGTACACAAGACAGTCATACAGTACTGTGTACACCACATGACCTTAAAATACGGTGCCTTATTGCTACCAATGAAATACGTGGTGTGTCGATCTACACACACACAAGCGACACACTCCATGTCAGTCGTAGTCATTACACTGTCTTCTTTGTCCCAATATTGCAATGGCTGAAGAATTTTTCGACCTGTGAAAAAGTCGCAAATGGCGCTCTTCTATTGCAATTATTAAATCTAATTTGAATTTTGGTGGATTGTGACCAAAGAAAAAATAAAGCTACAGGTATAGTCGTCCTTGTTACCAACATTGATATCCTATTGGATTGGTCTTTTTTGAGAATTGACAACGCGTATGTTGGTAACTTGGCGTCATTCATTGGCTAGGAATAGTCGAGATCGGTGAAAATTGAAAAAGAGATTGTGCAAAAAATTGGTCCAAATTGACCTCAAAATCTCTTGTAAACTAGTAGTAGTCAAACTAGTCATTCTTTCACTGACAGTTTGCTACTGTAGTTGGATAGGATTACCATCATGTTCTAGATTAACTGCAAATTATTTTATCAATCAATGAAAGTAGCCAAGTAATACGTCATCCATTTCGCCTTATGGTGTCTTCCAAGCCTTAAACGGCAACATCCAACCGCCAACCAACATGGAAGAAGATAACCAATTACTCAATAATGCCCGATATCGCCAGTATGCTACTGCTATGGATAAAGCTCTTAAGAGCTTTGAATCATCCAGTGAATGGGCAGATTTAATAGCCTCTTTAGGCAAAGTCATCAAGGTAAGTTGTTTAAAAATGCTGTGTTACACTGGAATAGAATAATAACCAACTTCAGTATTTGCAATACTTTTACTTGTCTCATCTTGGATGATGGAAATCAATATTCATCATGATATTGACGCACTATTGAAGAATAAATTCACTAGATTCTACTAATATCCAATGACGGAAAGCAGTTGAAAGTGATGATGGAAACGAAGGAATAACTCTTCAATAAGGGCAAAAACAGATTAATATTGATGGCAACAGTGACATCTCATTTCATCAATAAGCTTGACTACTTTGATTGACCATCTGGTAATACTCGTATATTCCTACATTTCATTGCAGGATAGAGTAGAGAATAAAAGTCATCGATCTCTCCTACTGTAGACATACCAAAAATGATATTAACTTCATCTCTTATCATTTCAAATGTGTAATTTTTTTTTCCCTTAAAATACAGCTGCTAAAATAGTTCGACTCTTACATACTGAAACTTAATATTACTTTGCATTACCTCTTATATGCAGTACTTACAAGGCTAAATCAAGTATCAATCCCATTGATGTTGCCCACCACAACAATAATTATAATAATCAAGCTGATTCGCCTGTGTACATATCACAAATCTACAATTAGTAACATATCTGGCTATCAACTTTCATTAATCTGGTATTTATTGAAGTTCATTTCCGTAACCCACTTTCAGTTTTGCTAAAGAATGACTGAAATCGTTCGTGTTTATGAAATTACCACTGCAGAATTCATTTTAATCGTTCCTGGCAATCAAATCGTCGTATATACCACTAGTTAAAGGATTTACCTGATGGTTAAAGTATGAGATTGTTGTGAAACAATCCCGAAACGTGATATCTGCCCCAGTTCTATCTGCATTCTTCTACAGTTAAAATAAAAAAAGGAAAAATTGGACAACATTAATGATTTACAAGGATAGTCAATTTAAACTATTGCTGTTTGTAAATGCTCGTTGTAGCGTTTTGTCCAAGGCAAAGTTTTCTAAATTAGGTATAAATTTAATGACGAAAATCCTTCGTTAATAACAGCAGTCGATTAGCCAATAGTATCTTAAATTTATCACAAAAGTAGTAATAACATAACCCAATTCTATTTGAAATAAGGTGGAACTGATACTTTGAGACTGCTAGTGAGATCTAATGGCTATTAGATTAGTTTTGTGTTGAATCTAGAGAACTGTTACTTGCTGCAGTAATGATTGACTATTGGACAACACATCTCCATGACATCATATATTTCTTACCTAATTTTCTTCATTATGATTCTCAATATCGAATACAAACAGAGATTCGTTACTTGTAAAAATCGCTAGAAATTACAATTTCTAGTACAATATAACTTATCGTCCTAATACAGTAATAAATAAATAAATAACAAATTATAACCATTTAAGCCAAGGCGTAAACCACCAATCTTTATTGACTAAGAGGAATGTTGATGCACGTTTTATTTTCAATCTAAACGTAGAATCCTGTCTCTCACTGCTACATGTTGCTGGCTAGTTTATAGGAATTTGATTTCTACACATGTGTCCTAGCTGTACGACGGAGATATAACTCGATTTATATGCTACTTAATGTATTATACTATATGATAGAGCAAACTTCTGCTGATTAAATTAACCACCAGAAACTGCTAAACAATCGCGTATAAATTTCACGTTTCTTGCTTTAAATAATTTTTACGAAATGCTATCTTTCATAATATTTTATTTATTATTCTTAAATTAGTCTTACGATATCATTTTTCTCTCTCAATTATCGATAGGCTATACAATCCTATCCAACTTTTACAAAATTACCACGCCGCGTAGTCATTGGTAAACGTCTGGCTCAATGTCTCCACCCTGCATTACCTAGTGGTGTTCATTTAAAAGCTCTAGAAACTTATGATGTCATCTTTCAAAGAATCGGAATAGAACGTTTAGCTCTAGATTTATTCATATACAGTGCTGGCTTATTTCCATTATTAGCTAATGCAGCTATGCAAGTCAAGCCCGTTTTATTAGACCTCTATCAAAATTACTATTTACCGCTTGGTAAAGCCTTACAGCCTGCTTTATCAGGTCTTTTGCTAGGCTTGTTACCCGGCTTAGAAGAAGGTTCCGAACACTTCACTAGGTATTACACTCTAACTAGCATAGCTTTTATAAACCTGAAAAGTTACAACATATAATGTATAGTCTAACATATATTGATTCTTTGGATCAGAGTTGTTGATATTAACAATTTATACACAATATGGATGCATTTATTGAAGCAATTTTACTCTCTCTTTTATTGCTTCTTTACAGAACAAAGCAACTATTAGACTCATCTTGTAATAAGCTCGGCGCAATGACATTTTTTACCGGAATTTGGCAATGTATTACTTCTACACCAACCGTTAGATTGCCAGCACTACTGTATATGACATCCTGCATTGATAGACAACGGCCTGCCAGTGAACAACTGTTCGTCATTGGCAATGATACATCGGTTGTGGTAAGTTTTCTTTGGCGTACATTCATATTTTTAAATTATTTAAATATATTCTTGAAAATTATAGATATACTAGAGGCATTTTATTGTAAAAAACATGTACGTTATTGTAGTCATTATTAAGAATCAGCTTCGTGATCATTATTGTGTATATTTGATATTATGGCGAACATTGTAATATTTTTAGAATAATGCTAACTTTTTGTTTTGGTAACTTTCTAACCAACGTATTAAATCTATTTTATAGGTTAATGCCGTCTGTCTTGCATTGCATGATAATAATATTCTGGTTCAACGCAACATATTAGACTTTTTGATTACCTTCTTTTTATTTCATACAAACACTCTACCTGATAAGGATGCTGTTGCTATCCTAAAGTCTGCATTAAGTGTGTTACTTAGACGAGATATGTCTTTAAATCGAAGATTTTATGCTTGGTTGCTTGGCACTAATGTCAATGCAGCTATTATGAAAAGCAATATGGGTTCTAATGAAGACTCTGATGGTCACACATCTTGCGTTGATCCCGATACTTTGAATAGCAGGTATTTCAGTGCCTACAGTAAAGTATACGTTGTAGCTGCTGTCAAAGAAATGCTACATGACAGCTATAATTCCGTAGTTAGCAGCAAAGGGTGTATTACTACTGCTGAACGTAGTGGCGTCTTGGGATCATTTCGTGTTGTATTAAATTTACTTGATAAGTCTCAAATAGGTACATTAGTTGTGGAAGATATTCTTATGGATGTTTTACGATTTCTTTATCACGTACATAATTTACTAAGATCATACCTAAAAGTAAATGAAAATAAGCAATTGGCTGATATACAACGTTGTCGATCGTCTGGTACGACGCTGCAAAATTGCAACAATTTAGCAGACGAGGTTATCAAGAGCGCTAATTTAATATTTAATACCTTTGAGCCATACTATTTATGGGATTACTTAGGCAGAGCAATACATTCTTGTACTAGTCATAGTACGTTAGAAAGCATATCCAACGATCAGGATAGTTGCGAATCAATTCAAATACCGAAGATAATGGATGATTCATTATTTTACGATGAATATTTTTCCTTGGTTAGCTTCCTGCAGGATATTTACTTGGTACGTTCAGTAACAGAGCGTTTAGATATTATCTTACGTATATTAAAAATTAGCGTTAGTGTAGCTGATTGTTCCCATTGCTACTAGCATCTCATCGCTTTATTTTATGGTTAACCATAATTTGCTAACAAACAAAATTTTTGTGTATTCTATGTCAATATAGGATCCTGATAATGACGTTCAAACCTTATACTTGCCGCAATTAATGTATATGATAATTGTGGAAATGCATAGATCCTGCTGTAATATATCATTTTTAGAATTAAACTCCGGAATAGTATTATGTTCCAAGTTACTCAATCATATATTGCCTTCAAATGCATTGGCACATCCTATTACAAGTAAAATGCAAACATATCCAAGTGTATCATCGATTTTGTCATCAGGTACTCCATTTCGTAGTAAAACATTGTCTGTTAGCGAAAGAACAAGACGAATTCCCGGAGGTGCAAAACCTGCAGACTCAGATGATGCAGAATCGTTACAGTTAGCTGTTGATAATACTACTGAAAAAGTATTTCAACAATTAATGACTAGCGATAGCGAAATAGAAACTAATAGCTTAGATGAGAATAGATCTCATCGCTTAAATAGTGAATCAGAATCGGAGATAGAAAGTGATAGTAGCCGTGAATTAAGTGATGATATTGGTAATATTGCCAAAGTGGAAAATATGAAACTTAAAGTACGTCGACGTCGTAAAATGTTAGGTCGTTTCTCATCGCGAAAGAATGGCAAGTCCAGCATGTCGCCTTCTGTCGATTCCTCTTCACTGAACTCTTTCACGAGCGAGACTGGCAATGAGAATTACATCCAACCGTCTTTAAAATCTCGCGAACACGTCGAAATTAACGTAATGGAAGCGCCTAGTGAACTGATGCCCAAACAGGATGAGTTAGGTAGAGGCAACTTTAGTTCACAATTTTTTGATGATACCTCTAAAAAGGTTGCTAGTAAAATGACATTACATCCTCAGCAAGATTATGATCATTTTAAAGGCGGAACCGAAACTAGTACTTCCAAAGACCTAAATACTCTATTAAAAAGTTCACGGACTGTAACCACTAACGATATTATGGATGATACTTCATTAACTTTAATGGAAGCTTGTATTAATCAGTACTTAAATTTTCTTGAGCTTTTCATTTTTAGTCAAATTATTCAGCGTCGCGATCATGACATTTCAGAGTTGGGTAACATTGAAAGTGACAGAATAAATTCAGTGCACTCAAGTAATGAAGATGATCTAAATTCGTTCGTGTGTATAGTAACATCTTCTCTGTTTGAAGACTGCGCTAAGTGCGTAGCAGCTGCCAGCCGATTACTTGTTGAATTTTCTTGCTTTCCGATAAATTCTATGAGACAAAATACTGGTCGCTATCCAATTAACGGTTGTACTAATAGGCTTATCTTTGATTGTATGAATATTGTATCAGAGCATGTGAGTTCATTTATACTTACGATGTAATTCCTATTATTTTTAGATACCATACCAGGATGGTTAGATGCTCTCTTAACTGCTTCTTGCACTATCGATGAATTTTCCATTTCTAGACCAATCACAGAAGCAGTTCTTGATTTAATTCATATAACACAATCAGTTATACCATCCACCTATAAGAAAAGACCTTCATTGATAGGTTCAAAGTCATTTGATATGTATATTTCCCAAGTCAACGATCGCACAGTGCAATCCGACTCGGTTGCAACTATACCCTTAATGTCCATTGATCATCTGTGTTTCTTGAGAAAGTCCACTATTTTTTTTAAGGTTAGTTATACCGCAATATTCTACATATGTCTTCTGGAGCAAACAATTGATTTATTATTTTAATTACGAACTGTAAGTATCATTGTTTGAGCTAACGCTCATAATTAATTATCGCCAAACTATTTACAAATATCTCACGATTGTATTTAAATTATTTCTTTATTATAATACGATATAATGACACAGGCTTATAAATCAGTTACAATACTGTGGCAATCTAGCTTATTTGTCTTCTATATTTTGTTATAGATTGTTACTAAAAAGCTATGGTTGACTTTATCGTATGAAACCCCTACGCAATTGCAATACCAGGCTGCTAATCTACTATGGCATTTAAATGAGCTTGCCTTGACATCTTCTGATTGTGAAGATGTTATAGGACGTTTTTTAATAACCGATGATGAGGTTAGTATCAAGATCTTATAAATGTAAGGATACTGTTGTAGTCTAAATTACCGAATATGTTTAGTAAACTCTGTTGCTGGTACTTATAATTATAGAGTGATCGATTGGAATCATTTAAGCGCTTTAGCGTGCTTTGGCACACAGCAAGGGGAAACAGCCGTATTTGTTCAAACCTAAATAGGTACTAGTATACAAATTAATCGTGTTTTAATATTATGTGGGTATTTAGTACCTTGAATAGCGGTTGAGGAGAATGTTACTGATAATTGAAATATTTCGTGAACCACGTCTGCTTTTAGGTCTCTATTTGTATTTCTTGATAGCCTTTACGATTCAGAACCAAGCATAAGGCAAGTTGCTATAAACTGGCTTGATCAATCTTTACAACAAGGCGATTTAGGACGATTATTGGTGCCAATGCTCATCCAGTTGTTGCATCCACGAACAGCTCGGGTTTCAGCTCAGTCAGTATTGCATGCGAATAGTAACGATAGTGATACTGGTGTAAAAATTTCTATTGGCAATGACACGGAAGATGACGAAGAAGGTAATGATAGTATGGATACTGCCCGCAGAGGAACTCCTGTTAGGAGAATAAATTCTGTAGTAGCATCATTGCCTGAAACACCTATTCGAGCATATTCATCTACGAACAATTTACCAGCTTTACAGCCGCTGAACGAAATTCGGCCTGAAGGCTTAAGTCGAAGGCACTCTTTCGTAGTTGGCACTCAAAATCAAAACTCTAATAAACGAAGTGAAAGCATTAATTTACATTTTCATCGGTTGCTATATATGAATTTATATGATTGCGAAAGAGTGTTATTTATGCTTCGGAAAATTATTAGTATAATAAAATTACGACCTCGACTATTCATCTGTACTATGGCGACAACAGCTGTTGGTTCTGGCCATACACCTCAATGGGAACTTGTTCAGCAGTTGCTATGGAAACATCGTCAAAGTCTTGTCGGAAAGGGTTTTGGGAGTGAGAAAGATATCGGTAAAGGTGGGAGCCAAACTGTGAAAGATCTTACGACAACGGCTATACCTGCTAATGTGGCTAGTGCAACGGGTCGAATGCAATATCTTGAGGTATTAGTATCCATTACTCTATACTACATCAGAAGTTATTTCCCTAAACACCTTTCTGAAGAATCTCAGGAAAGTATGCAAGCTAACGAGAGAGTTAGAATGACGGCAATGGAATTACTAAGTCTTGTCGTTAGTGAATTAGGTCAGGTAATAGAATCCACTGGAGGCTCAGGATTTATTAATTACCTTAAAGATATGTTGAATCGATGTCGAATGCAGAAAGCTGTTTTGTGTTGTTTGCTGGCAAGTATGGAAGTTGAATCATCTAATAATAACATCTACTGTTCATCTGAAGATAATCTTGCCTTTCAGAGTCAGCTGCTATCGCTATTACATCATTTAATCACACTTGAATCACGTTTTGCTAATACTACACAACCAAAAACTTGTACAATCTCTTTCAAAATGATCCACGCCATCTTAATAGGTAATAAAGAAGAAATATGTAGCCTAACTTCCCCTAGATATTTACATTATATTCATGGTAGTGGAATATCAGCACAACCGATGTTCTTAGCATCATTATTGTTGGCGTTACAATCGCAGTCATTTCTTACGTTACACTGCCAATGGATCCAGTTGATTACTGGCTGTCTTCCAAATTTGGGATCGGCTCTAGGCACAGTTGCTTCTGCTACCGTTAACCAAATTTGTGATACTTTAGAGGCTCTCTTTGATTGTGGAGATGATGAGGTAATGATACCACTTCATGCAGTTACTGGATTACCACCCGATTACTGCATCATTTTACTAGAGGGTTTAACTACCATTTGCCATTACTGTTTGCTAGATAGTGTATACAGTCACTCCAATTCCTTGCTTTCTATGCTTCCTTGGGGTATGAGTGACAATCGTAATTTAGATAAATCGTACACAACATCTTTTAATACCGGACTTATTGTTCTCGCAATTATGAATTCATATGACGTTTCAACACCAAGCCAGGCGTCAGTTATTCCAACACGGGAGGGGATGGCTGTTGTCATTTCTCGAGTTATGATTACATTTGCGTTGATTTCTAACCAATTAGATGATGACGCTATACCTGCTGATGGCGGTGATATCTCTCGAAAACTGTTACGCCAATATGTCTCGCAGCTAACGACACCTATTGCTATGAATCACTGTTTTGTTTTAATCTCAGCTATTGGATATGCATGGCATATGTTATCAAAGCCTCTTATTATTGATGAGTCTAATGTTTTGGAACAAATATTACCTGAAGCAAGTAAAGAACAGCTTGTACTCATTGATGTCATCATTAGCATAAAAGCACTATCGATCGAGACTGTAATTGAGAATGTCAAGTCAATAGTTAAAAGTGTACTATCTAACAAGAAACAACTTGCTAGTTCTGGTACAAGTCTAGAAGTTGATATTTTATCATTCTTTTATCATTTATCTCAAAGACTACCTATCGCTAGCATCCAAGGCTGCTGGCAAAGCGTATGCAATACCATAAAAGAGTGCGTTCAGCTGTCGATATCTAATCATGGACAATTTATACTATTAGCGATATTATATACTCATGTTCAAAAAGTTCCAGTTGTTGATGATCGTAAAGTACTACAAGAACGTCAAGACATACTGCAAAAATTAATACAGGCTTGCAGCATTATTGTAGGATCAGCATTACAGCAAAGCACTTGGCTTCGAAGAAATCTAGTTGTCATGGCGCCTTCCACGTCTAGTACATCAGGCTCCAGATTATCTCGCTCATCTGAAAGTGAAAGCAGTAGTAAGTTGTCGTATTCATTAACATTGATTGCTGGTAAAGATGCATTCAAGAAATCACCTCCATTAATATATTGTTTGATTATCATTCTAATACGGACGTATTGATAGCCTCCATTAAAGTTAACGACAGTTCAAATCCTAACGAAGTAACCGTTCAGCAAAATGTTCAAGCATTAACAATTCTAGCTGAGGTAAATTCAACTTTAGGTTTATTATCGTATGTATATGAGTACGTTTATCATTAAATGCAAGTTTATGTTTTCATAGCTTTTGGCTCCTTTAATTGATATTATATTCAGCAGCCTTGAGAAGGACCGCGTTAGCAGCATCCTGTCGTCATTAATGAATAATGTGACTCCATATCTTAAGAATCATTGGTAAATTTCTTTCCCTTAATGAGATTAACAGTTGATGTTATCTTTTTACGGAGTAGCTTTGGTAATGCTTTTTATATCTTGAATAAAGTGCATACAACGCTTCAAGCTATACTGCAAGTGTAAAATTACTAGCGACGCTAACAAACTATCAGTATACTCGTCGAGCGTGGCAGAAGGATGTTTACGATTTATTTTTAGATCCTAATTTTTTTAGGATGGGATCATCATCAATTTCAGGGTAAGCGCTTTGACAAGAGTATCTAACTGATATACTTTCAAGTTAATTAACTGTAAACGAATAATCGAATAATTTCATGACATTTTTAAATATCGTTGATATTTACAGCTATTGTAGATTTGTTTTGTATTCAAATTAACCAGTTATATTTGCTATGCAACATTTAGATGGCGCACCATAATAGACAATTTAATGGCCAACGATAATACCGCTTTTAGGGATATGTTAAGTAAGCGAAAATAACAATAATTTAATTCCTTTTTTGAGTAAACTATCAATAACTTATTAAACCACTTCCAATTAGATCGAATTAATTTATCTTCTACCGCATCATTAAATCTATTTACCAGTCGTGACCAGGTAACTGTATTAAATGATAACAGCTCCGTATTTAACTGATAAGTCTGCGAGATCTGAGTCGTAACACAATTTCGTTGTTATTTCTTTCTTTAAGGAAAGTGAAGGCTGTGCTCAAAATTTAAAGCGTTTATCGTACGTACTATTTAGTGGTGAAATAGATCAATATCAGGGATTTCTGCCAGATATTCAAGGTATTACTTGTAGCTAGGCAATATAGCCAGGTAAAAAATTACATTGAAGATTATTATTAGCCACCGAAAGCTTCTAATACTGCCGATATGCCTTACATTAGTGCATCTGTACTTCTACCATACTGCACGCGTAATGCAGGCAATTTTATCTCGAGTTTGTTCATAAAGAACTTTGAGATTATACTGTTTTTAAGATTATGTGTATTTATTAAGCCTTTTCCTAATCAACAGAACGTTTAGCTGACGGTTTACGTCTCCCGCTAACTCCGGTAGTTCATGAGCAAGTAAGCATATAGGAGTATCCTAGTATATTTTCTGTACACGTACCAAATAAATTAATATTCATTGTGTTGAGTTCTTAGCGAAAGTAATGTTGTTATTTACTGTTTTAGATATTCTTTTGCTTTCGAATTTTACTAATGAGAATGTCCCCGCATCACCTTACATCCTTATGGCCCACTATTATTACTGAATTGGTATCTATAGCGTAGTCTGTTTTAAATATTAGGATATTACCGTATCTAAAAATTCTTAGATTACTTGTGTTTAAATGTATCTTTGCTAACACTACAGGTACAAGTCCTACAGATTATTGAAAAGGCGTTAACTATTCGAGATCCAGCATCTGTCAAGTAATTCAAATTTACTACATGAAGACATCATTCTACTTCAAGATATCACGTTCATTCAATTTGTGTCTTTCTACTAACACTTAGGTTGCCCAATGGTATTATGCTGAATGATTCTGCTTGGTTACCACTTTATCTTTCAGCTTGTAAACTATTAGATCTTGCATTGGCATTACCATCTGATAAATTGCCTCAATTTCAAACGTAAGTAAACCGGACATCAATAATTTTTAAGCTGCTATGATACAAAAAACTAGCTATGGATAACCGCTCATAAGGAACCAGATTAAGTATCTCTTTCTGACTTATAATTACCAATTTTATATCGATGTACGGATATGTAACCAGTGTAAACATAATTTTTTGCATTCGTTACATAAATTTTCGCTCATATTACCTACTCCGTCTACATGTAGTTTTTAAAACATACTAGGCAGTAGTATCGCAACTTTTTAGTCTTATGCATCTACAGTTTAGTTCAGTTCATAGTGTACTTCTTTTATATCTTATATATCGAAGTTCAGTCTAAATACGTGGTATAACCATGAATTTTAGCGCTTTATCCAATAACGAAAATTATCACCTAAAAAGATGTCTACCTATCATCAAAGTAATTATTAAATTGCATACAAAGGTTTGATTTCATATGTTGATCACGTTGGATGAAAGCTATAATCGTAATAAATCAATATATTATCTTCGTATTGAAGATAGCGATAAATAACTTTCTTAAAATATATCTATGATGATTATACAATCAGTCATGATGTTTTATCTGTAATTTCGAAATGAAGTTATCGATGGGCCTTTGTTACCGAAGAAGATTACCTAACACTTGCGAGAGAAAATTCCGGAAAAGTATCCAGTTTTCCGTTGTTTACACCATGTCTTGAGGTTATGGCTGGATTATTAGATGAGGTAAGCTTTTATATCACAGCATTTATAGCTTCTTCACGCTTTGAATGAATAATCCCATGTTTGTGTGGCATTTCTCTTGTAGGGCAAAGTAGCTGTTCCTCCTAGATTGCCAGGAAAATTAATGCTTACAATGCAATCGATAACTTCTATCCACGATCTACAACATTTCTTTTTAAGCTATGTGCGCAGTAATATAGGTCGGGAAGGCTTAGATCTACCAAGTATTGGAACTGTCAGTATTGACAGAATTGAAAGAGTGATTCAGTTAGATTTTCTTGATCCCTTACAGGATTAATAAATTGCGTTAGCCAAATTAGTCCTAATCACTAATTATTGTTTTAGACTTTTAATTTTTCAAATATAGTTGAAAGGCAAATTGTATTCAATCGTATATCCTGTAATAGACTACTATAATAGATGAAGACCTTGACCTTATTTTTAGATGGAATTTTATAAATTATATATCTATTACAAAAATTATAACACTGCTAATCTTGTAATATATTACTATGCTTGACTATACGATAAAATTTTAAACCGGACTAAGTCCGAAAATTTTGATTCATATTGTACAGAATAGGAGCTTAATTTAGAGTTGTTGCCAGTAGCTTCAATACTTAAACAGAAACAGAGAATTATAAAAATAATCAATTGTCGAATATTATCCCCATCTTAAAACGGAAAATGGACACTGTGCTTGCATTTTTTATTTCTTATTAATATCATTATAGTATTATTTATTTGTGATCTAAACTACAAGATAAAACGTTGAACACGTTAACCTAAACATCCTGACGAATTTGAAACTAATATATTGTAATTATAAAAATTTTAAATCTGCAATGGAGATACGGATACATACAAGATCATTTGTAAATGTAACCATATTTAATACATAAATCTTATATATCGAACAATACACGTGTTTATGCGGTATCGAAAATAATATTTTTAGTAATTATGCTTCAACTTTACCCTGCGCGCCTGCATGATAGGTTAGATTTACGGCATTGATTCTAATAGCTTAGGCATGCATGCCACCTTATGATTAGATAGCTTGTAAAAGATATCTTTCCAGCTGACGCTTTAATTTGCTACTCTATTTTTTATTGACTTAAATTTGACTATATTCTGTTTTCTGTACATCTATTCGCAGAGTTTGCAGTTTAAAATTATTAATTTCTATTGCATACGGTATACAGTGTAGAACTAATTGATAATAAAAAAATTGCAACTATTGTAGACTATAAGTGATCAAAAGATATAGCGCATCATTGACTGATGTGGTGTTCCGTAAAGCTTTTTAAAGTAGCAAAACGCGCATTGACGTCTAGAATACCCATTTCAATATTAAATCATTAAATCATTAAAATTCTTAGTAAATGACGAAATTTGAGGTATAGATGTTACAGTCTGTCACGGACTACTTCCTGACAAGTTTATTAATCTAAAGTAAATCACTTACTTTGAGTTGCTTCTACAGATTATTACCCTGATCTGCCGAAAGATCTACTAAGAATATAATACTGCTACTATAACACCTAAGAACTACCCTTGTAAATTATCGGCTAATAGATATAGTACATTATAAATAAAGTTCATAATGCATTGCTAGTGTTGACAATTGATTCCATTAACTAATTAAAGGATTACGGAATTGTCATATTGTGTTAAGAGTTAAGCTCTTTGTTAGTTTATTATTAGTTCTTAATAATAGAGGTTGTTGATAAATTTTCTTATATGAAATCTTTAATGACAATATTCATATTAATCCCTATAACTTTAGAAGTATAGTTTTACTCTATATGCACCAGGAGTTTCTGATGAGACTATAATAGGCTGGTACCTAAAGACCACTTTTTAGTTAGTTAGTCCGGTTAGTTAGTCAACTAGTTTGTCAAGATTTCTTCAGTAATAAATAGTAGTAAATCTCTGACTACCTCGTCTACACTATCAGTGATGCTATAATTATACTATAGTATTCGGTCGTTGGAACTGAATTATTTGGTGATATAACTAATCTCGCCTCTTCAAGTCAGTAAGAGGCGTTCTTCGTAAACATTGGCGTATGTAGACTACTTTGCCCCTAGTGGTGTGTGACAATTACTAAAGCCAACAGCTAAACAAGCAAAATAACTTTGATTTAGTGATCGATATGTGCTATGGACCAGGTACAACAGTCAATCGTTATGTTCTGTATTTTAATTGAATTATCGGTTTTGATCATAGGGTAGCTCAAATTGATCAAGCTCATTAAGACAACCAACATGCTAATATTACCTATCAAGAGAACTCAGCGGAAAATCTACCCCTTTAAGACAATGTTGACGATTTTGTCACTTGTACTCTGACTATCCATTGGTTAGATATTGAACGATTGTTGATGAAATTCATCGTGTAATTAAGTCTGATACAGGTTGTGCACCATTTGCATGCTTATAGGTCTCCTGTTACCGTTAATTTATGATCCAACTCAGCAATTCAATTTTTATGTAAGTTGCTATCAAGAAATAGGAATGGATTTGAGTCTATTCGATCTCACACCAATACCTATATCCTACCGTTGTTTACTATTATTCAGCGTGAAATTTTCGAGTAGATACACTCACAAAGAATCAATTTGAGTCCTCTCCATCCAATATCATTACCAATGCCTATCAGTGTCTACTATTTTAATCGTTGGCCATGATTTATAAGCAGTAAGACTCATTCATAGTAGTAGGAAGATCAGTAAAAGCGATTACATTTTAATTTATTTATAATCAAGTAGCATAAGATGTAAAATTGGCGTGTGCAACATGCAAGTCGAAAAGTAGTTTAGCAACACTATTTAACTTATAGTAGAGCAGTAGTATAACACCAAAGCTATAAGATTAAGTCATGGCTGCAAAGGAATAGACATAAGTATTAAGTAGCACTATTTGCAAGGTTAACCTACATTGAAACATAGCAGAAAAAGAAATAGTTCAACGATATCAACAGAGCAGTTTAGGACAGTCATACAAAGTGGACTGCATCATAAAAAATAATTAATCCCTCTGCAATAAACGGTCATTAATAGAGATGGCCATAAGAAATCTGTAAAACTACTAGGAATGATTAGCTACTCACTTGATACAGAATAATGACTGAATTGCTAGCTTATGGAGTAGGTTCAATCTTAACCAGATATTTCTTACCAATAAATTATTGTTTATTTTTGTTTATTTATTTTCTGAGGGCAAAAATATTTAGACTTAGATTTTTAATGACATGTTTGGCGTTCGCACGCTTTGACCTCCTCGATATTTCACTGAATGTCGCTATAAAAATATCGAGTGGCCTTATCGCCAGATATAAAGGTAGGGCAAGAGAGAGTGGAAGAAAGACATTGTACGAGCCATGAATTTCTGCATAGAATTTGGATAGTATGAGCAGGGATAATAATTTTTCAGGTTGTAAAGTTATTGCACACGATCATGGCTAGTCATCGCAAGCAGTTCGTGCATTGCGGCTATTTTATCTCAATTCTAATCAATTTTATATTTGCCAGGGACGAATCAATTTATGGTGATGGTCTATTGGATGTCGAGACCCATATTAAACTACTTCATACCTTTAGCGATGGCATTGATGTCAAGTTGCCATATCCAGATCCGGAAATGAAAGAAGATCAGTTTCCATAAGTATTTACGGATTACTATCATGTTGGATGGAAATACTAATATGCTTTGTGATAATGAAGGACAACTGCGGGTAGTTTGACAATGAAATAATTAGATTTTAAAGATACAATTCAGCTTTAACTTAGCGAAAAAAAACTATACTATCTACACCAATTGCATGCTATCATTATGATATGCTATACGCTTAATGCCTTAGCTATAAATTTAACAATCCAAACATATTTATCAGGGTACCGCATAAATAGGTATAGGTAACGTTCTAGGATTGTGCTACTAAGTCAAAATAATTTGAAAATAAATCCAGTTTATAATATTCACAACCTAATCTCTGACTCTATGACAATGATTAAGAATATATGATCACTGACATCTATAAATAGTCAACATTACAAAATAATTGTTAATGTATAACTAGAATGAAAGTGGAGGTTATTTATTTAAAGGAACAAGATCGTTTAAAACTGCTATTGATGACGCGCAATTAAATATTTGTTTGACCTTTTAGATTGATCGAAATGCTGAGCAAAACTCCAGGAGCAGAAATGTTGCAGACTCCCTATGATTATTTCTATATGCTTGGTCACAAGCCGTCCATTCTCTAATTGTTTTATACCACCACTTGTTTAAGCAGTTCTGATTAGTGTTATGTTTTCTAAAACTTGTAAGTAATTACTAAATGTTGTATGAGCATATTTTATATTTTTTACAAAGTCATTAATTGCTCTACTTTTTGATATGACGGGTTTGAATTAATCTAAGCTTAATTGCTAAAATAAGCGTATCCATTACCAAAGTGATTTACGGAATCAATATTTGTATTGCTCCCAAAATATAAAATTACTAATAATTTCTATTGGCGTTGTAGCTTCATTACAACAAGTGCAATTGTATTTTCGAAATTATCTAGATATGCATTAGGATTAATTATTCTATCGTCATCGCTAGCGATTGTGGAAATAAAATTGAAATAAGTTCATAGAAATTTCCTGATTATCATTTTGTATCAGTTTTTAACGATATCAATTTATATCTATAACATATATAATATAAAATAATTGTATTCTAATTTTGTTTTTTTTTCTACGGTCCTGTGCTACACCAATCAAATTTGCAGAAATCACTCATAATCATTAATGGTTACATCGTTAGCGTATTTGTATTCGATGGTAGTTTTTACTTGATAGTAGGAATTTTCTGCTGGTAAATATGAAGGATTATATACGTATATAGTTAATAGCATTAGTAATATTCTACAAAATTATCGTAGCATGTTGCAGTTTGCATTTGAGGAGTAGGAATTTCCTGCTAATAATTTGACCATAGTTCTCATTGATACGAATGATTATAGGAGTATACAGTGAATAGCGTTGGTAAGATTCTATTGAGTAATCGTGGTATGTTGTAGTTTTTATTGACAATTAAAAATTTCCTGCTAAAAATTTGACCAAAGTTTTTATTGATGCGAATGATTATTATACGAGTATATAGTGAATAGCGCTGGAAATATTCTATAGAGTAATCGTAATCTGTTGTAGTTTTCATTCGATGAGTAAGAAATTCCTGCTTAAAATTTAACTAAATTTTTTATTGATACAAATGATTATCTATACGGGCATATAGTTAATAGCGTTGGTAACATTTGATACAGTAAATCGTAGCATGTTGTACTCTTGATTGGAAAAGTAGAAATTTCCAGGCCATCATTTGACATAACTTTTCATCAATGTAGATGCTTATTAACGTTGTGGTTATTAAATAGTGGAACTTTATTGTACACTAATAGCGAGCATCTTTTCTATAGCTTATGAATCTGTCTGAACAACGGAAGGAAAATCTTTGTTTGTACCAGAAATCATGTAGTATTGATTATTTATTAATTCAGTAGTAGGATAGACCAATGTCTTGTGTTAAAATTGACAGCAATATTGGGGCCAACGCAAGCAAGAAAGCTTCTTCTGTTCGTTCATAATAAGCTATTCATGGCCAATAAGATTTCGACTTTAGAATAAAATAGAAAAGCCATTGTCAGACTAATAACTGATTCATACGTATATGTAAAATTTACAGTCAAAACAAGTTTATTAAATAATACAGAATTAATTAATGCTATTGCATAATGCCTTCTCTTATAGATACTGAATCGCGGCAGAATAGAATATAAATAGTAATTACTAACTGTAATTGCTTTGGTCATAATTGGTAACAAGTAATTGGTTACTCGATTTGACATTGTTAGAATAATCGCTAAGGTAAAAATAGTTTTCTTCTTAGAAACTATAAGCAAGGGCATCTATTGAAATAGTTGTAGTGTAGTCCTTCATTGGTGCCTCCCAATTTTTATTAGTAGACTTTGGCATGCTGGTTAAGATTGTAAATTCTCTATCATCAACGATCTTGTAGAAATCATTTGGATCCTATCAAGTAAGTAAAACTATGATGGAATAGAAAGATGTCGAATAGCCGCCGTGATTGATTGACAGTATTGATATTAGTAGAAACTAGTCTACTGCAATGGAAGTAAAACTAAGCCCTATTTTACAATCTGTAACAGTAGACTGGTGGGCGCCATCTTTGTTCACGATTCCGATATCAGGGACTACTAATATCAAGCTAATCTTTTTTATCTGGATTAGGAATGATCGTTGTTTAACCATCTTTATTTCAGCTGAGCACTATCTACTTTACATGTTTCCCTTGGCCGACATGAGTCATTCTATTAACGTAGCTAATAGAGTAAGGTAGCTATTCGCTAGACTAGTGAAAAATAACTGAATAGTATCGAACAAAATATTACTGTTTAATTGAATAAAAATTTAAAATTATGCTCCCTCTTAACAATGATTTTAGTTCAAGGAATTGTAGTAGAGTACCCCACTCATTCCTTGATCTCAACTAAGCTCTAGGATTGGGAAGAGAAGTCCAATCCAACACCGGGTACGAATTTGCTTAAAGACTATACCAAGTTTAGGACTACTATACGCATGGAAGAAATGCTTTGACAAACATATGTTTGTCAGCGTGTTGCTACGTTAGATATTAAGTGAATGTTGTAGCGATTGTGTTGCCAAATGTTAACTACTGTAATATTCAACAATAACTATGAAGTAAAACACTATTCTATCCGCTAGGATTTGGAAGAATATGATTGAGAAACTATCACTAGATAGGGGTAGGGGAATAATACTTGCTCGTATTACATCAAACTGAACTCTGACCATAACTCCAAGTTTTTTTTCCTTATTCCGATCGCAACTCGTAGATGCATTGCTTTGAAGACTAACAAAATTGGAGGATAGATTGTAAGTTAATACTATCCTTGAATTAACTCAGAGTGGAACACGGAGCTTTTCCTTTTTCCTTTCTCAACTTTTAGATGCATAGCTTTGAAGACAAATAAAATTAGAATATGGGTAGTAAGTTAATACTATCCTTGAGTGAACTCTGATTATCCAAACTCTTAGATGCATTGCTTTGAAGATAAATTAAATTAGACCATAGATTATAAGTTAAGACTAATGAACTCTGACTGGAACGGAGTTTTTCCTTTTTCCTATCTCAAATCCTTACATGCATCGCTTTGAAGATAAATAAAATCAGAATTTAGATTATAAGTTAATACTATCCTTGAGTGAACTCTGGCTGGAACACAGAGTTTCTCCTTGTTCCTATTGCAACTCTTACATGTATACTGTAGCTTTGGAGATAGATAAAGTTAGAGTATAGGTTATAAGTTAATACTATCCTAGAGTAAACTCTGACAGAAATATAGAGGTTTTTCTTGTTCCAATCTCAACTCTTAAATACATAGCTTTAAAGACAATTGAAATTAGAGAATAGACTGTGAGCTAATACTATCCTGGGACTGACTCTGACTGAAAGACAGAATTTTTCCTTATTCCTATTTTAAATCATAGATGCATTGCCATCCTGGCCGATATTTTATGATTGATTCTTTACAATTTATTTTGTCTAGATTTCGTACCTCCAATCTTTGAAAGTGGTGAATCAACAATCCATTTTATTGTGTTCAACAAGTAAGTCCTGATATACATTGGCTATAAAGTAACTACAAAATCGATCCATTGAACTTGCCTTATTTGATCGATTGCTAGAAACAGTCCTGTATCAGAATTAACTCCAATCTTCCGAAAAGTTCTTAATAACCATGACAGAGCCAACTCAGACGTATCACCTCTATGATAAAACTTGGATAAGTCAAAATTATGATCAATTTAGGCCTAGTTATCCAACCTCTCTTATTCAACGAGTGATGGATTATTTAAGCCAAGGGGCAAGCCAACAAGATAAATTTGATTTAGCCATTGATGTTGGCTGTGGGTCCGGTATATCGACCAAACAGTATGCTCCATATTTTAATCGAGTTATCGGTACGGATCATAGCGCAACTCAACTTGATCAAGCTCGCCAAGAAAATCAACATCCTAATGTTACCTTTCAAGTAAGCGCAGCAGAAACACTACCCTTTGAAGACAATACTGTCGATTTGGTTGTATGTGCTCAGGCTATCCACTGGTTTAATATGGATCAATTTTTTGCTGAAGTGAATCGTGTCCTAAAACCTAATACAGGTTATATATATAGCATTGTACAGTATGCTTATAGCCTTCTTGTTATCATGAATTATGATCAAGTCGAGCAATTATAGTTTAATATGGATCTAGTTTTTGCTGAAGTTAATTGTTTCCTTAAACCTACTCCAGGTTGTGTAGCACTATATGCTTATAGCATTCCGGTTATCATGAATTGTGATGAAGCTCAGCAACTAAATCATCATGTAAGTTACTTTCAAGAAATGGAAATTGACTTAGTAAAATTCTGAGTAGGTATGTTCGCTTAGCTAGAATGAGCTTGAATTCGTTCAATCGAATACTTGTCCCTATCGTAACCAATGGCTAACGTTGTATACTATTTTGATCGTTGACTATGATTCATTAGCCTTAACTCTCCATTAAAGTGGCTGAGGAAAGTAACAAGAATAATTGTAATTTTGATTCATAACCAAGTTAAGTAGCCATACGATGTTAAGTTGGTCTGTGTAACGTGGCGAATGGGAAAATAGTTCACAATAAGACAGTAGTGTAACATGAAAGCTATAAGATCAAGTTATTGTTGTAGGAGAAGAGACATAAGTAATCATTTTGTGATTGTAATCAAGCAAAGTAGTATCATTTGCATGATTAACCCACGCTGGAATATGGCAGGTAGAAACGTAGTTTAACAATGTCATTTGCGTAGATTAGAGTTAAAGAGTATGACTCAGAATCACTAGATTATTTAAGTCATTTTTCGATCGGAAGAGTAGTTTAAAATCACCATGCAAGCTGTTTTATAGTAGTATAGTAGCGTAACATAGAAGCTATAAGATCAAGTTATCGTTATAGGAGAAAGAATATAAGTAATCACTTTGTGGTTGTAATCAAGTTAATTAGTATCATTTGCATGGTTAACTGATGCTGGAACATGGCAGGTAGAAATGCGCGTATAGTTCAACGATGTCAACTAGACTAGAGTTAATGAAGAGTATAGCTTAAAATTACACGATAATTTAAGTAATTTTCCGATCAGAAGAGCAGCTTAGAATCGTCATGCAATGTCGACCATATAATAAAATGATACCTATTGTAATTAAAAGTCATAGACAGTGGAGAAAAACTATAAGGAATCCATAAACTATCAGGACAATTCACTAGTTCCTTGAATGTAAAATGATGGCTAAATAGCTTAAAAACTAGATTAATCTTTGCTTGTTATTGGTTATCAATGGAATCAATTTTTTCATTTAACTTTTTGAAATTGTGATACTTAGATTTATTTTGATCTATTTGATGTTCCGGAATATAAGTCGGCTCATTATTTTACTAAATGTTGCTATAAAAATATCGAATGGCCTTTTAGCCAAACAATAAGGTAAGACAAATGAGAGCGTAGAAGAAAGATATGAAATAAGTAATTTATTTCTTGATAGAACGGGGATAGTATTAGCAGGAATAGCCATATTACAGCTCGAGTGTTTCTTTCAGCTTATAAAATTATTGTATCCGATCATAACTTGTGATAACATGCAGCTTGTATATTGCACGTATTTTATCTCAATTTTAATGAATTTTACATGTGCTAGGGACAGTTCAATTATTGTCGACAGTCCATTGGATGTCGAGGCTTATGTTAATCTACTTCACACCTATAGTGATAACGTAAATGTCGATTTGCCATATCCAGATCCAGAATTGAAAATAAGGTCAGTTAATAAGCACGTATATATTATTGATTTCTATCATCATGTTGGATAGAAATGTTTCCATGCTTTATGACAATGAAGAACAACTATTGGCAATTTTTGTCGATAAATACAAATCAACTGAAAGATACCATTCAGGTTTACCTTAGCTCAATAATACAACTATACCATCTATAATGCCATTAGTAAAGTACATTTTATTCTTAATGGCTTTGTCATAAAAATTAGGAAATTAGACTTATTTTATCGAGGTATTTTGGAGTTACTATTGATAATATAAATTTTAACATTTGCATTGATGTTGCAGACTGGCCAAAATGTTGAAAGAAAGTACAGGGGCAGAAATTTTACAACATCGCTATACATATTATTATATGCTTGGCCGTAAGCCGTCAAAGATATAAATTCTCTAGTTTGATAAACTTAATGACCAGCAATCGACCTTTGATGGGTGTACTTATTAAACTTTCCTGAAAGTATCTCCTTACCTTCCTTTGGGAATTACTAAACGTTATTGAATTAAAAGTATTGGGAATTTGGATCATTCGCTAGTCCATATTCATTTTTATTAAAATCGACAGAAAAAAGACTGCTTTCCTTAATCTACAAATGAGAATGAAAGAATTTATGTTGCTACAAGACTAAGCTATCTCGTAGCTTATCGTTATTCATTAAAAAGGATAATATCAGAATGGACTCGGTCTAGAATGATTGTATTTTTTCGATATTGTTGTAACGTGATAGTTTATTTTTCCGTATTACTACTATAGCTAACTATGGTTAATAATATGCTTTTTTGATATGTTGTTTTAGTGCTAAGACATTGCCTAAGGTAACCGTGATATACTATAGAATCGTAGGATAATACCATATTTGCTAAAATAACATTTTGATAATTTGATATGATATTATAATGCATAACATTACGATATCAATCTTGTGATTTTATTCTTTGTCTGCTGGTTTTAGTGCTATTTTGATTTGCGTAGCTTGTGATTACAATCGAATTACTTAAATAGGGTATCTGCAATATAGAGCAGAATATAATGCTATATCTATTATGCAATAATTAAGTTTATCTTGAGCTGTGCAGCGCTATGGTCATTTTTGGCCTAGTCTTTTGCTTGTGCTACATAATGAAATAATAAACTACTTAGTTTTGCTTAACCTACAGTAGTTACTTCATTTCTCTCCAACACATAACCACTACCTATTTGGTATATTATCAATCACGTTAGAATTAAGCAAATACCATATATGCTGATAGTTAATCCATCCTCTTTTTTAATGATGTTGTAAAAATCGCTTGAATTTGAACAGTTAAAAAAAACAGTAATCGTCCAAGTAGAATAAACTAGTACAAACTCCCGTCGCTTTGCTGACGGTTTACGATAATGTGCTCATTTAACAGATAGTATTACCATTTGATAGACCTGTCAGAGGTTCAGTAACTTTATACCGTGCACTGTACTTTATGCTGCACAAATGTGCGGTACAGCACTGCAATACTGTATTTGTTAATAATTAATAGTTAGTATTACCATTCGACATTATATATATCCCGGCAATAGCCGGGCACTACTATATTCACAACTATGCTTCTAGAATACTACTTTTCAATAATGCATTCACGGATGAAACCTTATTACAGTCTTTGATAATAATTCGGCAATTATAATATCTGCCCTACATATCCTAATGTGAAGAATAATGCTACTGGACAGATTAAAATTATATTAACCATTGCTGAGTAGTAATATTATGATTGAACACTCATTTGCAAGTTTACTTTGCATAATTTGACAACATTTTATTAACATCCGATTACTCTATAATGCTGATTAGAATATTATTGATGTATTGCAAAGGAGCAATAAAAGTAATATGGCAATTACTCCCTTATTGCCAATAAGGATCACAGATTCGATATTGTATGACTTTAAAATATAAAATCGATCATCATTTCTATTGATATTGTGGCTTAATTGGAATAAGAATGGGCGTTTATTCCTTCAGACTACAAACTCAGTCCTTACCTGATACATAGAAAAATAGATTGATAATTACATAATTGTATAGCTCTTAGTCTACTTAATTTTGTTGGTGTTCTGGCTTAATTGGAATAAGGATATGTGTATATTCCTACTGCTACAAACTCAGCCCTTCACTGATACCTAAAAAAATAGATCAGTAAATACATAACTGTATAGTTCTTAGCCTAATTAATTTTATCGATGTTGTGGCTTAATTGTAGTAAGGATAGACATATACGAATATTCCTTCTGACTATAAATTCAGCCCTTAACTGATACTGTTACGGAGCCAAGCTCCGAAATAATGATGACAGCGTTAATTAAAATATCTGATATAAATTGTTGTTTGTTCCAGTAGTTTAATAGACGTTAACGAGACTTGCTGTTGTCAAGGTTAAAATCTAAGTAACTGAATATTAATACTTAAGTGTAAGGCGTAATTCGTGCTGAGCCTTGAGGCTCTAATTAGCGCAAATAGTTTATGATTGTTAATTAGCGTTGACTTATACTGATCTATGTTAACTCCTTTTATCTAGACTCCTATAATATACAGTGTAAGTCGCTATGTCTAAGCTGTTAACACAAGCACCACCGGCGGAGGCCGAGACATATAAAACCGAGCACTAAATTACCTGTTCAGTTCCATTTAATCATTTTTAGATTCACTTGATCATTATTGCCAAGAGTTTTCTAACGTACTTTTTAGTATATTTTTTGACTAGGATTTATCTCAATAAATATAGTCCTTAAACTTATTACCCGTTGGCAACTTATCTGTGTAGTCAAAAGTTAGTCTAACTACGATAAGTCTCCTAAGTCAATTGGGGACACAAGTATTAGTGACAATAGTGTTTAAGACCCGTTCTCAATGTCTAAATTGTAACAGCTACATAGAAAAATCGATTGATTCATATAATTACGTACGGACACTGTATCATTCTGAGCCTAATTAATTTAAAAGCATCATTGTTAGAGGAGTGGTAGGATATTCTAATAGCAATATATGATTTCTGATGGTATATTTTCAGGCTGTTTAATGACGATAATGATAGTAATGCTACAAATAATGTAAGAAATAGATATTAAAATGGATAATACTAAAGCTCTCATATAGGAAACGATTCATGGTCAATAAAAGTTCGACTTAACAATAAAATGGAAGAATTATTGGCTAGCTAATAATTGATCAATACAGAGAGGTAGATTTAGAGCCAATAAAAGGTTCGACTACAATAAATAATTGCTTCCATTAGGTAATATGTCTTCATAAAGAGCTTATACTGACTGATCATAGTAATGTAGAATATGAAGAATTATAGCGTTGGCCATAGTAGGCAGAACAAGTAATACTATACTCAAATTGACATTGTTACAGAACAGTTGCTGCGATAAAAGTATTTTATTATGGTAGCTATTAGTTATTTATTCAACTAGTTGTAGTTCCTTATTGTTATCTACGCATTTATAATTAATCTGCATTATTTTTTATTGAAGTATAATCAAATATTAATGCATGCAATCTCCAGTATCCTATAGAATGATGCTTTATTTTGTAAACTGCCTATCATAAAGGATATTGTGGAAACCATCTTGAAGCCATTCCAACCCTTTCAACTCTCGGTAAGTCAAAGAGTAATAGAATAGATAGATCTAGAATAGTCGCGATGATTGATTTACTTTGTTGAAAAAATTTGTAACAGTAGACTAGTAGAAATTATCTCATTCATGATTCTAATATCAACCTAATCAATTTATCTAGATTGTTATTGATCGTACTTCGTCCATTTTTATTTCATGTGAGTGCTATCCGTTTTACATGTTCCCTTGGCCGACATGAGTTAATCCATTGATGTAGTAAAAATAGTAAGGTCGATATTAGCTAGACAAGTAGAAAATAGTTAAATAAGGTAATACATTGTTAGTTGTTAGATATATATTTTACTTGTTTAACCAACCATTTAAATTGTTGAGTTATAGTTGACTAAGTATTAAAGTAATCATCTACGAATGCTTTTTCCTCAGTTTTTTGAAGTATAGCATCCTTAATAAGTAGATGTATATACACGATATTCTACACTAATTCTATCTTATTTGAAACACTTGGAGTTAGTTATTATATGCATCCTGTGCGCTAGAGTCATCATATTGGATAAAGTAAACTCGAGGCAAATTGTCACCGTGACGTAAATCATTTAACTTGCACCTATTAAGAAACGATCGCACAGTCTTAGCAGTGTACGTGATTAACCATAATGGGATGGCGCTATTTGCCTCTTGAAAGCTTAATCACCGTTCAATTGAACTAGACATTAACTTGTATCATTGAGTTAATTGGAATTGATTCTCGATGAAACTTGATAAGATCGTACAACGAATAAAAATGAGAATTTCAATTTAATTACAACTGTAAGAATATCTTAAACTAAACTTCGTGTTAAGGGGAAGTACTATTTTTTTACTTTAATGACAGATAAGATTTGACCAAGTCAATCTTCTCCTTAAAATGAACTCTGAGCATAACTCACCAGTTTATTTTCCTATCCTTATCTCAATTCTTAGATGCATTGCTTTGAAGATTCATAAAATTACAGCATAGATTTTTAAGTTGTTACGGTACTATCTTTGAAATAGACTCCGATCGAAACACACAGTTTTCTCCCTATCCCTATCTCAATTCTCAGATATGTTAGGGTCCATGTATGTTATAAAGGCATCTTATACGCTGACCATGATGGCGAAAGCTTGCCTGTTAGTTCGGCCATCATATAGATTGCCCTCGTCATCACAGTCAGCATATACGATGTCTTCATCACATACATGGACCGCAATAGATACGTGGCCATCCTAGTCGATATTTTGAGATTCATTCTTTACAATTTATTTTTGTCTAGATCTTCTACTTCCAATCTTTGAAAGTAGTGAATCGATAATCTATTTCATCCTTTTCAGCAACTACATCGTGAAATATTGTACATTGGCTATAAAGTGACTGCAAAATCAATCCATTAAACGTATCTTAGTCGATTAATTGAAGTAGTTCTATATAAGAATTACCTTTAGCTTTCTCAGAAGTTCTCATTAAGCATGACACAACCAGATAAGCCTTATCACGTCTTTGATAAAAATTGGATAAGTCAAAATTATGATAAATTCAGGCCTACTTATCCGCCTTCTCTTATCCAACAAGTGATGGATTATTTAAAACAAGGAATAAATCAACAAGACAAATTTGATTTAGCCATCGACGTTGGCTGTGGTCCCGGTACATCAACCCAGCAATATGCTCCGTATTTTAATCGAATTATCGGTTTCGATCATAGCGCAACTCAAATCGATCTAGCTCGCCAAGACAACCATGATCCTAATATTACCTATCAACTTAGCCCAGCGGAAAATCTTCCCCTCGAAGATAATATCGTCGATTTGGTTATATGTGCTCAGGCTATCCACTGGTTTAATATCGATCAATTTCTTTCTGAAGTTAATCGCGTTCTTAAGCCTGGTACAGGTTGTGTAGCATTGTATGCCTATAATGATCCTGTTATCATGAATTGTGATCAAGCTGAGGAATTAAATTATTACGTAAGTTACTATCAAGAAACTGAAATGAGCTTGAGTTCATTCTATCAAATACTATTACCTATCGCTATCGTTGTCTGCTATTTTCATCGTAAAAATTTGGCTAGGTATACTCGTTCAGCTAGCATGAACTAGAGTCCATCCTATCTAATATGCATATAACGTTACTTATGCCTAGTATTGTACTCGTACACTATTTCGATCGTTGACCATGATTTATAAACTGCAAGTTTCAATCATAGAGGCAGGGGAAGGTGTCGTAACAAGTGTGATTGTATTTAGATTTATAATCAAGTTGAGTAGCATAAGATCTAAAATGGCAAGTTAAAAAGAAGTTCAACGACGCCAACTATTTTACTGTAGGTTAGTAGTATCGCACAGAGACCATAAGATTAAGTCATAGCTATATTCATAGATGTTGGAAAAGAGGCATTAGTAATTATTTTTTGATTTAATCAAGTAGACTAGCATGATTTGCATGGGTACCCGATATAGGAATGTGGTATATAGAAATGCAGTTCAACGATGTCAACTAGATTAGAGTTAGGTAGATGTGTAGCTCAGAATCATAAAATATTTTAAGTAATTCTAATCAGAAGAGTAGTTTAAGATAGCCATGCAAAATGGGCTGCATAAAAAATGATTCATCCTACGGAAAACTCATTAAACAAGGAGACAACTACAAGAAATCTATAACACTGTCGGGACAATTAGCTAATCACTTGGATGTGGAATGATGGCTGAATGGCTTATAGACTAGTTTCAATATTAGCTTGATATTGATTGCCAATAGAATCATTTTTTATTTTATATTTTTCTGTAAATATTGATATTTAGATATATAATGGTCCATTGAGTGTTGAGACATATCAATTTGCTAAATATTGTGGCAAATGTCGCTATAGTAATATCGAGTGGCCTTTTAGCCAGGCAGTAAGGTAAGATAAAACATATATAGAGAGTGAAAGAAAGATATGAAACGAGTAATTCATTTCTTGATAGAGCTTTGATAATACTGTATGAGCAAGAATAGCAACATTTCAGCTCAAGTATTTCTTATAGCTTGTAAAGTTATGGCATACGATCTTGGCTAGTAATAGTCTGCAGCTCGTGCATTGCAGATATTTCAATTCTAATAAATTTTATACGTGCTTTTAGGGGCGAATCAAATACTGTCGACAACCAGATGGATATCGATAGTTATATTGGTCTACTTCACACGTATGGCGATAGCGTTGATGCCGAATTACCGTATCCAGATCCGGAATTGAAAAGAAGGTTAGTGGATAGATAAATATGTCAAGCAGGACATATTATAGTTATTTTATTAGCAGTAGTCATAAAATACCATCTTGCTATTTTAAAGAGAGGGTGGTTGGGGCGATTGTAGTGTTTTCAGAATGTACTGGAATGATCATCATACTCTTCAATTGAGGCATTTTATAACTGTTCTTAAATATATACGTAGGTACCTTTACATTCTTATTACAATACTCGTACATTCCAATATAACTTGTCGTGTTGAATTATTTATAGCACTTACAGTCTTGGCCATTTTCCATAATCATTAGCTTAACTTCCGGAACTAATTCACAATTGTATTCTCTGCCGGTGTACTATCTCTTAAGCTTTCAATGCAGTACTAACAATTTCTGCCTCAGATTAAGTTGTTAGTTGCAATAGTTACGGTGTTAATGATTCTTACTTTACTTCATGATAGCTTACACACTGGTCTGCTGTAAGTACTTGATACTTGTAGTCAATAATTTAAAATCTATTTTCTTACTCTACGCCTTTGTGTCAATCTCTAAATGGCTACGTTACTAAATCTACTTTCGCTGAATCATTGGATCTTCCATCATAATTATCATCATGTTGGATATAAGTCTTACTATGCTTTGTGACTATTAAGAAAAGCTGTGGGCAGTTTTGACGATAAAATATAATCAGATCGCAATATATAATTCAGTTTGACCATAGTTAAATAATATCACTAGATCACCAATGCAAATCGGATGTTATTAGTACGGTATGTAATATTCTTAATAACTTAGCTATGAAATTAGCAAGCCAGACATAATATATCATACGGGTAATACCCTATAAAATAAGTATAGATGACGTTGTAGTATAGTACCAGTACCGGTAAGTAAAAATAATTTAAAAATAATTTCACTTTAAATAGTTATCCCTTACTAAATGAAAATGATCAAGAACATATGATCATTGGGACGTACGTTTAAACAACAAACGCTACTAAAGAATTGTTACTGCATAAATAAAGTGAAAATGGAGGTTGTCTTGTTACAGGGACAAGAGAGTTAGGAATTACTATTTATGATGCATAATTAAATACTTGCATAAACATTTTAGATTCGCCGAAATGTTAAGAGAAAGTACAGGAGGAGAAATGTTACAGCTTTGCTATCCATTTTTCTACATGTTTGGTAAAAAGCCATCAAAATTGTAAACTCTTTAGTATGATAAGGTAAGTCCAACAATCGATCTTTGACCGGAGTTAAACTTTCGCAGACAGTATGTCTTTATTCATTATTTGCAATTTACTAATCGTTTATCCTAATTAAGAATATTTGAAAGTTGGATCATTCGCTAGTCTGCATCCATTTCTATGAAATCTGCTTAAGAAAGACTTTCTTGCGTTATCTACAGAGAAGGATGAGAGAACTCATACTGCTACAAGGATAGTCTATCTCGTAGTTTATCGTTATTCATTAAAAGGACAGTGTCAAAGTGGACTTGGTATAAAATTTTTGAGTATTTTATCGATATAGTGGTAACATGATAGCTTATAAATCAAGTAATACTACGTACTATAGTGCACTATCGTTGATAATATACCATTTTGGCATGCTGCTGTCAGGGACTTCCAAGTCCCAATGTATTAGTTTTAGAAGTTCCTGCTGCTGTATTGTTAAAATATTATTTGCTATAGAATTACGGGACATTGCCGCATTGGTATTTGTTGAATTATCTATTGCTATAATAGTATTATATGAGTTTTATAACATGTGCATAAAGGCAACTATCTGTCTTGTGATGCAATTCTTTATCTACTTGTTTGGGGATTACTATAATTTACCTACCTTATGATTGCAATCGAATTACTTTCAAGAAAGTATTTGCAATATAGAGCAGAATATAACTTTGGCACACAATTATTATCTCGTCACCTTAATCCGTGCTGCTCTACGATATTTTTTGTCTTGTTTTCTACTTTGGCTAGCAAGTGGAATAATAAACTGCATAGTTTTGCTTAATTCTCTTGCTTCATTTCCCTCCAATACATAATCACTACCTATTAAGCAATGTTATCAATCAACTTTTGAATTAATGTCTAATTTACTTTTATACAGCATGTTGACAACGATAACTTATCGAATAGCTTCGTTAAATAGCTCAAATTCTTCAACGAAACTAAAATATTATACTCTGTATTTTAATGATTTTGGATGATCCAAGTTGATATTCAATACCACATCAACAATACTCGTATACAATTGAAGATCCCTTTTTTAGTTAGTTAGTCGGTTAGATAGTCAACTAGTTGATCAATTGATATTTAATTCTAAAGACTATAATCTTGGGTGCTAAGATTCCTTAAGTAATAAATGATAGTAAATCTCTGACTATCTCGTCTACACTATCTGTGACGCTATAATTATACCATAGTATTCGGTCGTTGGAACTGAATTATTTGGTGATATAGCTAATCTCGCCTCTTCAAGTTAGTAAGTGGCGTTCTCCGCAAGGATTGGCGTGTGTAGACTACTTTGTCACTAGTGGTGTGTGACAACAATATAGCAGCAGCACAATTTGCCTGGAGCTTGCTAACATGTTTGGCTTGGGTTAATTTACTAGTGTCTGTTTGCTATAAACTTGTAAACTTTGTTGATAAATTAGCTCAACAGCAGAGGCATACTAGTTAGTTCTTCAATAAGTACTGCAGCGTACGATAGAATAGAAAATTTTTATTTGACAAATCCTTCAACTAGCATAAACTCGCTTTTCTAACCACTAACTTGTTCAGCAACTAACTCACTAGCCAACTTGACTAGCTGAACTAACTTCACACAAAGCAGCTATTATGTAGTCGCTTCTTCACTTTACGATTCTACTATTCGATGTGGACGTGTTTAATTTCAATTACTTAACTTATAATTATTAAGGCGATAGCGTAATTCTGGCTACACATAGTGCCTACAAGTTAATGCGGTAATGATTTATGTCATTACAATATTGTATTCCATCCAATATTCAGTTACAACAAAACGTATTTCTTAATTACAACATATATTGATTAATTATCCAAAACAAGTCCAACTATTTCAAGTCCTTGCAATATACCTATGGTACCAGTGGAATTCATCGGATGCAAGCGTCATTGGTATATGCTATCCATAAACCTTTCCCATTCTATTCTTAACTTCATTAACGATAACGATTTTGGATTTTTGTCATTCTGATTACCAATGGGAGTTATAATCAAAAAGGCTACGCCAGCTAATTGATAGATTGGGATTACAACATTACAGATATAACCAAAGTAATAACAATTTTTTTCATTCTGATTGATTCGGGTGGTCTTTTCTTTCAATTCAATATGCATACAACGAAGGCCACCACTAATAAATTTGACTTGATAATGGCCATTCTCTAAAATCGCCTCTTCTAGCCCACAATGAGATAATTTTGTATCGTCGAAACCGTTAGATATTTTCTAACTTATTCTGTCTTTATCTAGATTATTTTTCATTAAAATAATCTTTAAATGAGCTGTATTTAAATTGGGGATCGATTTTAGATAAATAAGCCACAGCAGTAACTTCTTGCTGATAGGATGGAAATATCCGCTTGGCAAAGATAGGAAAATGCTGATTTAAAATAGATAGCATAGTCTGAGAAATGATAGATAGGAATAGCAATAAGATATTTATCATCTCGAGCAGATACGGATATCCATTCCTTTTCGATACTTTGAATTGTCCAATTTTCATCAGTTACGTTTCGTTGAGCTAATTCTAATTGTAAATCTTGAAGGCAATTAATTGAAAAATACTGAAATAACTCATTGCTACCATAAATTAGTATCTGTAAAATAGCATGAAAAGATGGATGAGACATAAATTGGTAGCCATCAGGTTCAAGTCTTATCACAGGTGATAAATAAATCAAGTGATTATCATCGTGTTCTCGTACTAATTCATGAGTGTAAGGGGGATCTGCATAAAAAACTGTTCAGGTAGTTAAAATATCATCAGTTAAGCTCTATTTAGGTATAGCCACTAATAGCTCCGGTATTTCAGAAATCGCTATGACTTGATTTTTATTCCGTCGACAAAGTTTTATTGCTTACGGATACCCACTTAAAGTTGTAAAATATGAAATAATACATCGTGGAAAATATTAATATTTTAATGTGAACAATTAGTATTAGATTAACATTGACATTAATCTCATATAATCTAATTTTATAGCAGTACAGAATAATATTTACTGTAACCAGTTAAAACTATAATGATTCTCATTGCAATTAATTGATGTCGATTACTATATAAGAATTTTATTCCATAACAGCACATAATTTACTGTAACAAATTTGACCTAAATAATTTCTCCTATAATCGGTTACTGGCAAAAACTATTAAATAATATTTCTGTGGCACAGATTGTCTTGAATTTATAGATATATGGTTCTTGGATACAGGATGACCTTCCAAAAAATCTCGATTTTAGTCGATTTGGGTATACTAATTTTCACCTGGAATCATTCCTGGAAATAGACGATTGGGCTTTTCCTGATAGCTATTCGTCACAATTTTATACGAATCTGTCTTTATTTTCTTGTCGGTATTGATGTTTTCTACAAATTAATTATAAATTAAGTTGACGCTGATTTTAATTCAGGACTAGATAATGATAGGTTAATTAATATTTTGTCTAAGATAATATTTAGTAGTAATGTATGCTATTTCTTAGGTATCGGAAATAGAATTTGAAATAATCGATACATAATAACTTGATACAAGATGATTCTCTAAAAGTCTTAGTTTTGGTCGATTTACTAATACTAATTTTACCTGGAATTATTTCTGAAAGCGTACAATAGGCCTTTTCCATATGATTACTCATCCCAGTTTTATTCGACATAGCCTGTAACTTCTTTTCAGTAATAATGTTTTCTAAAAATTAATTATAAATTAAGCTGGCAATGACTTTCATCTAGAACTAGATAAAGATAGATCAACTAATATTTTCTCTAATAGTATGTACTGTAATGTGAACGCATACACAATCTTTTTTATAAGTCATTTTCTATACCGATTTATAGTTCGTTACTTGTGTTATACTGTACTGTAAAGCGCACACAGTATAGGAACAGGATTGGACTGCTAATATTGCTTAACTCTCATGATAGTTTTTGTTGATATAATGGTATATATGCTACATAAAATGATAAACGAAAATGATCTACTAGATCCATACACCGAAAAGGAAATACTATCTAAATGAAAACCACTTCTAAGGGTATACAGTAATACGATAAAAATGATATATCATTAATAGCTATAAATTCTATGATGCTGTATCTTTATTAGGAAAAGAATACATTCAAATGGGTTACCTTCATGAAACAAGAAATCTGAACCTCTTCGATAACGTAATAATTGATCGTACACGACACTATCAAGGACATTTTCATCGATTTAAGGTCGAAAGGAAGAAATAAACAGTAGCATTGAGTATGCTGATAAAAAACTGAAATAGGAACAGAATCATTTCCTTCGATCATTTTATATTCTACCAATGCTTCGCTAATGATATCCGCAACAGTAGGCCAAAATAAGAAAATGACGGCATATCGGCACTGTAATCATTATAATTAACAATACCTGAGGGGAAAATCATCAGTATTTATATCATTGAGATAAGACACATGCAGAGAATAAGAATTTAAAATTAAATGTTACATTTATCATTACTGTCTATGTAACAGCAATAGCTTGTAAATGACTACGTAGACGGTAAGTAATATATTAAATACAGAATAAAAATTTATATAGTAATATAGTTAAGCATTCTTTAGCAGGGATTCGTCGCTTAGTTTTAAGACTTGAAAATAATGCTTTATCGAGAAATGATTGCATCAAAGTTCATAAAGAAAACCTACGTAAGCTGCTATTAACAGTTCCTTTACTTCTATACAGTACTTTTATTGAATTAAACAAGTAATCATAGAGCATGACAATAAAACGTGAGCTATTATAGCTATCTATCTGTGTCTACCTTTAACGTTATGCCGTAACATAGAAGCAATTATTGTGTGAGACTTACCATTACTCCTATAAAATTTGTTTCATCATCCCGTAAGTAGCCTCCCAAGATAGGTGTGGACAGCTAACGTGTTTGCTACACACAAACTGTCATCGCAATAGGATCTGATTGAAATCAAATTTTCGATTCATCAATCTATATTACCTAAAGATAGGGTGATGCATTATATATTAATTATCAATGCAAAGGCATAGCAAGGAAAGCTCTTCAGTTTTCCATACTACTGATCCAAAGATAGATCTAAAGAAGGAAGTGCAAACTTGTTAACTGATTTTACCTATTCCTAAGAATTTACTCCTCTCTCCGCTCTGTTACATCTAGAATTGCATATTCTCAAAATGGCATCACGAGCTCATTTGCATAATGGTAGACATCTTAGTAGGTAGTCTTTTAGAAGTATTTTATACTGGTATACTACCTCGCATTCATAATATGTGTGTATGTGATCATGTAAAATCATCTTGTCTTCTACTTTTTAAGGCATCGTTGACCTGATTGTTAAGCGAAAAATAATCCAAATTTGATATCGACAATGTCGTTTAATTCGATATCGAAGGGGTGCGATTGGCAAAATTTTCTTGCAAAATGGCACAAAACGACGCTAAATCGTGCCAATAGCACTCCTTCGAGATAGATTGAAATTATACCGTCGATAACAAATATGGATTTTTTATATTTAACGATCTGTCAATGATTACCTTAAAAGTACAGATGTTAGATTTCAATCAAAAATATTTCTTTCTTAAATTTTTCTAACTTATGTATTTGAAGCTCTTCAGCTGTTTTTAAGGTTAGAAAATCCTCGATATAATCATACATCCCATCCCGTACGTCAGTTTCGAACTGTACGCTAAATTACTATTATCTTCATCAAAGCGGCTTAAGTACCTATTAATCGGATGCATTCTAATACAATCGAGGATTACCAGTATCTTTCAATTTTATGACCTTTTCTTTCTCTTCTTTTATAGCCCTTGACAATATCGTAAAATAGATGGTAGTTATCGTCGAATACAGCTAACCAAAAACTGCAGAGGCGAAATAAATTGAATAATTCGTTAACGCGACCAACTAGAGTAACTAAATCGCCAGGCCACTCCTTCTAGTATTTTGTTTAGTCAGTCGCATTCTAATACAATCAAGGATTACAAGTATTCTTCAATTTCATTTAATCTCTTCTTCTTCTCTTATTAGTTCTCGATAGTATAGTACTGTATAAGAGATAATATTCATGATCGAATGTAGCTAACCAAAAGCTACAGAAGTGAAATAATTTAATGCTTCGTTAAAGCTCGTAGCTATAGCAACTAAATTGCTACGCGAACCCTTCTAATATTTTACTCAATCAGGTGCGTTCTAATAAAGTCAAGGGTAACGAATATCCTTCAATTTCATTTGACCTCTTCTAGTACCGTAAAATAGAGGGTTTTTATGGTCGAATGTAGTAAACTAAAGACTGCAATAGCGAAATAAATTCAGCGATTCGTTAAGGCGAGCAACTAGAGTAAGTAAATCGCCACGCTACCTCTTCTAGTATTTTACTCAGCCAGTCTTATTTCAGTACAGTAGTTCCTGATAGTTTTGTAAAAACAGATGGTATTCATGGTCGAATGTAGGTAACCAGAAGCTACAGCAGCGAAATAAATTAAAATGATTCGTTAAGGTTCATAACGACAGTATAGAAATTAAATTACCACACTACCTCTTCTCGTATTTTACTAAATTATTGCATTCTAATACAATCAGTAGTTGCAAATATCCTTCAATTTCATTCGATCTCTTCTTTTGCTATAGTAATCCCTGGTAGTACTGTAAAAATAGATGGTATTCATGGTCGAATACAGCTAGCCAAAAACTGTAGCAGGCAAATAAATTAAGTGATTCGTAAAGATCAGCACTAGAGTATCTCAATGGCCACTCTGCCTCTTCTAGTATCTATTTTGTTCAATGAAACTTATTTTGATACATTATGAATATAATTAAGGGTTATCAAATATCCTTCCATTTCACGACTACGTGTTTATTGGATTTTTACGATATTATGACATAGCAGTCAATTACATACCTGTACGTTACAATAATGTTATTTGTGCATAATCCTATTTCTATAAAATCCCTTTTTTTTAAATTAAAAAGTTTTAAATAAAAAAGGATTACGTCATGATAAATTTCTGTTAAGCAGATTGCTTGCAAAGATGATTATAATGAAGCCTAAAATAGTTCAAGTAGTTTACGAATAAACTGAACATGTAGATATCGTGCCACCAACGCAGAATTTATGGCTAAGAGAACACGAATGATATATACTTGTATAAAGACAATAACAAAAGCAAGATCTTTACATCGAGGTATTACAATTAAAGTTAGATCGTTTTCAAACCCATTCATAGAATTTTTCATCTGCGTTAAAATTAAAACGACTACAACAAGGAAATGCCAGGAATCCACTGCACGTCCATACAATTTCAAAGTATATTAAATAGTTTAAGAAATTAACCCACAGATGAGTACAAATTGCATTCAAGATATGTGTTAAATGGTAACCTAAGCGGATTATAATTCAATCACATCATTACAATAAGTGCAATCTTCATGCACGCTAATAGTGAATCGGACTGCGTAAGGATTATCATAATGTTTATCACATAGCGGCTTTATTTTCCACGGGTATTATGAATACCGCTATTGATTCACACAGATATTCTAGACATAGATGATCATACAACTAAGAGTATGATTGTATACCTTATCTACTGTTTATCTTATTGATTTACTATTTACAATAAGCAAAAACTACCATTCTAGAAATGTTATTATTTAATACTAAATGACGACAATACAATGTTAGCATGATGATAAAACAAAAGTAAAATAATAACGAATAGCACCCGGAACATCATTAAATAGAATAACAGATGGTTGAATTTCATAAATCAGCACAATATTGGTTAGCAAAATTAACAATTTAATAGCTGAAATTGAAGATAACAATATCATAAAGTCAAATTGAACTTTCACAAAATTTCAGCTTGGCTCAGTATACTGTAGTAAAGCTAAAAATATTGAATCCAATATCCGTCAATCTTAATCTTTAGACTTTCTTTGGCTTCACAGCGCACTCATCGTATTTAATTTCCCTTGATTATATCAACTAGCGACTAAAACATTAAGAATAGACATAATATTTTTTAGATACTTTTGATCTTACAATGTCCAAAAAAATGATGTAATTGATATAATATTATCACCGTTATAATAAATCTATTTCTACATTTCTAAATTTTGGAAAAAACAATTACAATAAAATAAAACTCTTAAATAAATGAGTTGTATGATATTCATATCCACAACACTACGGTTACATTTACATTGTCGTATATAATAAGGTTTGTATGGAATAACTGAAATATCGTTTTTATGGCGGAGTCACAATTTCTTATACAGACAGCTATGACGCAAAATTTAATTTATACTTGTTACACTAACTCCTTTCTATAATAAACAAAAACGCCTTTCCTTGCAACGATAACATTAGGCAGGCCATTACATTGTGGTTGTCGATTTTCTTTCCATATAAAACGATGTTGTGCCATGCATGGTATGCAACAGCCGCCTGTAAGCTTCTTCCTTACCAATTAACTTGTAGTAAATGCGCAAAGCTTCCAATTTGATGTGAGCATTAAAATAGCAATACAGAACTGGATGGAATAGTGGATAACAGTAAGCAAGATAACGTAGTACAAATACTGCCCATGCCATGTTATATTGAGCAAGAAAGAGGCTTTGATTAATATATGCCGAAATCCACAAAAAGCAAAGACTACATATCGCGAAAGGGGTCCAACAGATAAAAAATACGCCAATTAAAATCACCATTTGTCGAATTGCTTTGCTATTTTTTGCTAAACGGGCGCGATCCTTGCTCTCTGTTTGTTGTCCGCGAGAGCCATGAGATTGAATTAGGACAAATATACGTACGTAAACAGTAACAATGGTAAACAAGGGAATGAAATACAGTAACCCCAATGTGATAGTAAGGCAGATAGCATCGTTTATAACTATTTGACGAGGCTGAACAATTCTAAAAGTACATTGAGTAAGGCTGATTTCACGATAAAAGAATGAACCCATCATCACGAAGATAGGTAATAACCAAACCGCCACTAGAGCAATAATCACATTGAGGCGATTGACAATCTTATGATAATTAAATGGATACATGACAAAAACATATCGCTCAGCACTAATCAAGCAAAGGTGCAGATTAATATTTGCCATTAATGCCATACTACCAGAGCCGCCAAAGTTGCAAATAAGGCCTCTGATATAGACATTGGGAACTTGTTTTTGCACCAGTACGTCGAAAATTTCATACCATATGGCCACAAGTATGCAGGATACATAAGAACTAATTAAAATGTTATAGGAAGGACCCTTCAAGCGTTGCCTGCCTGATATCAATATTATTAAACCAACAACGTTGGTTATTAACGTTAAACCACACATAACTAGAAAGCCAATGTCAAAGCCATTTAAAGGATATATTATCTCAGGCGGATTGGCAACAGTATTATTGCTCATGATGTTATAACGTTAAAGCTTTTGATGATTTGCAACAATCAAATCGGTAAAGAAAAATAAGTTAAGGCAGAACTGATTGATACTCTTTATGTTATAACGATCCTGGAACGGATACTTCGCTTCAAATACTCTGCAAATAGAGAATATATTAGTACTTACAGAATTGCAATTTATAAAGTATCTTCCTGGATGATAAACAAGTATCTTCATTAACTATGAATCTCTCTCACCGGATTTTAGATGCACCGTTAAATTAAATCAATTATTGGAGGACAAATTTAAGCGTTATATTTTCCGCTCTGCACCTAGATTAGTTAAACACATAGTTATTATTATATAGATACTGCGACAGAAGAAAAAATGTTACAGTAAGCTTCGTGCAACTTAAGTTAGTACACGATGATGCATCACGTAACAGATAAAATCACCCTTATCTGATCACTAAATATCAATATCTAATGGAATATATTTGTCAAATAAAAAAAATAAATTAGTCTACAGAATAAACCGAAGCTAAGAAGATACTGTACACAAGTACTACACAGTTCTACACGCCTTAAGTAAAATTAAGATTGCAAACAGACCTGATGATACAGTTAGCACTAAAGATGAAAATAATAACTTGACTAAACCAAATCTCGGGTACATTTAAATTATGAATACTCTTATCATTTCTTAGTTACTGAAAAAATTTCTTAAACTACTCTTTTCGGTATCACGTATTTAATTTCAGGAAAATACACAACGAAGTTTAACTATATTTTCAGTAATATGGTACAGAATATTAGCATCTCTATTGCACTATCAACGTCCACTGATGTAACAAGTTACTCTAGAGAATAATGCAACTGATTATTTGTAATTTTATTAGCATTTTATATACTCTGCTATTACATTAACAAACTATTTCGACAATATTCTAAATTGCAATGGAAGATATCAAAAATGTTGTTCAGTACTTACACAATAAAACAGTTCAGTTATAATCTTATCAATTATTAAAATATTTAGCAATATCAAAATTACTATGTTATAAATCGGATAGGATGAAGATCACATAATAAGCAAGTGTTTCATAATTGCATTAAAATTATGATATGCAAGAAATTAGTTAACTGTGAAATAAGACTAAACCACTAACGATAACCTACCATACTAGGTGTGATCAAATAGACAATGAGGACAATTTATAAGGAAACACAGGCATTAGATTTATATCATTAGTATTCGATTAACTTACACTTTAGGAATATTGACTATTTTTGATAGTTACTGAAATGGTAATTTCAACTTGTAGTCGTTCAGTAGAAGTGATTTTTTTGGTAATCCAACTCTGAATGAGTAAAATAAAAAAGGAACAATATTTGAAAGAGTTAGAAAAGGATTAAAGCATCAATAATTAAGATAGTTATACATAGCTTAAATTTAATTTTATTGCTATATTTAATAATGAACTTCATTACAGATAAAATTTGGAACAGCTAAAAAGCCGCAGGATAGTGATAACAAAGGGTTAGGAGATGAGATGCAAGTTTCTCCAACAAATACGAGCATATTTAAAATCGGTAGTGATGACTGAATAACGATCAACCTTGTAAGAATTTATAAATGCCAATTACAACCAGATATAAAAAAAATAGTCAGTGTTTGCTAGCAATACTATTATTTTACCATTGCTTACATTAAAGTTAAGATCCGGTCTATTGTCTAGACACGCTACAAGACAGACTTTGTTCCATCTTTTTCACCCGAAAAACTATTGTAAAGTAGTAGACATTGTTGACTATCTGAAAATCGAGATTATCACTATTGTTCTATCAAGATTAATAAGTTAATAACGGAATAAGAAGCCTTCATTAGCTACGATTACTTCGTAGAATTAATATCACGTATGATGTGAGTTTGCTGAAGTTGATATGTTGACGGCTTTACACTGTAATATTTCAAGTGATAATATCCAATAGGTAATCCATAAGGCAGGTGCTATTATTTATGTCAAATAGTCATATTTGTTATCGTAGAGCAGTATCCTTCATAACTTAACTGTACCTCCTTGATTTTAAAGTCCATCACGAATTAAATAATACTAACTAAATTGATAGTATGGTATTTTTTTCCATCTTTCAACATTATCTCTTTATTATTGAACGTATTTCTTATGTCCAGCTGGGTCATTATAATTAATAATCAATGATAATAAGACTATAATAGTTTGTCATAAAACTACTTAAGAAGCTTCTTTAATCCATTTTTGTCATGATAGTAATATTGACCAAACTTCATGGCAATTTCATCTTGATATTGTTAAAATGAAGACTGATTTATCACTACCATTTCAATAGATTTTCCGCGTAATAAACTACCCTCAGTATTATTCTCCATTAATATTGAAGCCTGAAAGGATTTTTAATCAGTTTTAACCATCATAAGATAAGACAAATCAAATTGATAAATCTGCTTTCAGTAATAGGCCCAAATAATCCATTCCCAAATGTCCTCTACCTGTTCACTGGAAATCAACTAATACCATGATTATTTCAACTACGGCTAACTAATTACACCTGTGATAGCTTTGACCACAAAATAACAATTTTTACAGATTCGATGACAACTTTTATATGAAAGTATCTACCATCGACTTTTCGTTTAGTACAATCGATCAAACAATTCATCAATCAATCAATCACCAAAATGTCAAATCAGTGACATTATTTTAATGGATACCCGTTATGAAGGCACGAATGAAGGTGGTAAAGAGGACATGAAGTGTGTAAAAAATACAACTCTTTCATTGTGTAGTCATATTACTCGAGTCTTGAAAACAACAAAACTTCCCTTCATTATAATAATTTTTCTAAAAGCCAAGTAAGTCGTCTTTCATCACGTTTATAATTTACGTCATAACCTTCAATATTTGTATCAATTTCAACAGCAGACTTTTTTATTGCTTATTTTCTTTGAGTATGTATTTCCTCTTTCAATTTCAACTTAACAGACGATAATTTACTCATTTCACAGATATTACATGTATAGATATGACATTTGCATAATGCCAACAGTCATTAAATTGGAAAAGAATGAAGAAATGTTGAATTAATTGTAGACATTATACAATTGTGATGGAATTTTTAATTATCTTCCCTCTGGACTCTATTTATGATGGCTTCTATTTTAATGGTATTTATTAGGCGCTATTTGAAAGATCCTTCATATAGAAGACGCATCAATAATTATAATTTTCTTCTTTCTTTAAAAAAATTAATATCAAAGTATGACGATGCAAAAGTAGATTGTCTGTCTACACCTTGATGTTATGAGTTATTTCAAAACTTCTAAACAAAAATTATATTCGTAGCAAATAAGTGATTTTTCGACGATTATTTAGAGTGGATAAATAAGACTAGGGCAAAATTATCGTTAGGCCTATAATAGAACAATATTAAGCTGTAATATAAAATTTTGCAACAGAGAGCGCACTGTTCCCATATTTAGTCTGCCATTTCTGAGGGAAGGGTAGATTTACTAACTTGAGATAAAAATCTATCTCCCATTTCCATCATTCCAATGATGAAAATGATGCATGCAATATGTAGGTAATTAGATCGACCAACACTCTTATAAATTTTTCACAGGTCAAAAAGATAACATTAATGTGAATATAATATAGCACACAAATATCCTACGGTCATGATTTGCTTTGTATAGGCATAACTATAAGTGGTTAAATATATCCTATCCTATATATTTCACAAACTTTATACGATAATGGAGCATCAGATAAAATTTTAGCTTTTACCAATATTCACAAACATTCAATTGATTTATAATGATTAGATGTAAATGCCTAAGATTTACTTCTAAAATAATAAAGAGTAAACGAAGAATTTAAATCACTGAAAATTTTATGGTTATGAAAGAAAACAGACCTCCAATGTTGAAAGCATAATCTACAATGATTAAACATATTAACACTCATGCATTTTTTATGAGTATACTATTCTCTCCTAGATGAAATAGAATATAACGTAACGATTGCCTTACAAAAAATTTGACTAAAATCTATATGTCCGGTAAATTCTTGATCTAATTTTAGTAGAACGGTGGATGTCTTTAATACTACCGCTAATTTCAAAATGTACCACATATTTTTATTCATATTTATCGGAGAAACTAATTGAGCAGCTAGCGTTAAGTGTGGTCGAGATATTTTTATTAACTGGCTAGAGGGGGGTAAGAACTCTTAATAGTGAACGACTATCACTTTTCTTTGTTAATCTAATTACACCATAAAGACTGAAAAAGAACGGGTAATTAAAAGTCATCATAAAAAATCAGAATCTCTTTCCTTTCTTGAACTCGGAACCCCGACTGTGCTTTCCAATGGTATTGGACTAGATTAGCACTATTTAATAACTCTCTAATTACTGTACAATTTTGCTTTACAGATAGAAGTAGTATCCTTGTAAAATTATAGATAGGACTGATAATTTTAATTAGTCATTTAAAAACCTTCCTCTTTTCCTATGTTACTGCAAGGGATCACCACCATTGAAGTCGTTATTAATTGTTTTACTTAGACTAGTAAACACAATTGGTATCTAACTTTCCCATAATCGTTAATCTACTTTGAGATTGGTAGGATAACAAAGTGAGCTGTAAGGGGAAAAGGTGATGCGTGTTTTTTTTGGTGAAATTTT